CCCCATCGTACGAATCTGTAAGTGCCTGAGCCTGTTTTATAAGCAACAGGAGAGTGAATGCCATGAAGAGGGAGCAAAATAATGACCACAGGGAAGGCAGAGTTTTGATCAACTCCTAGTACTGTCATCGTTTTTGCTTTGGGATTCTTATGTTGCTTTATAACACTACCCTGGAAATGGGGAATGGTGGTGATGGCAGTATCATTGGTGGCAATGCTTTGTCTGCAATTAAGCCAGGAATCAGGAAGGAACTACAGATTTCTTAGAAAGTTGTAGTGCTCTATGAGGGCACTTAACCAGTTGTTTTGACCGACTAGGCAGATACTCACATTGAGCTGATACAGTTGTGGTGCTAAAGTATCATAATTATTAAAATATTAGTCTTATATGTTCTCAACACATGTAAAGGAATAATCTGAAATGTCCAGTTACATGTCGGCCGATAGCATTAATTTCACATTTTAGTATTCTAGTTAAAACTTGCTAATGAATAGCTAATACCTCGAACTGTAGGTGGTTTAGGTTACTTGTTTTTGACCAGCCTTGTTTCTTCAGTTACTGTAGGCCTTTTGAGACCTGTCTCCATCTAGTATTTTACTGAGAAACAAATTGGTGTGGCATTTGCTATGTAAATTACTCATCTAGGAAGATCTTCCTGTTCCTGAGCTTGCTTTCTGTTCTTTCATTTGGTTCCCATCTGTAGCTGACGTGTTCTACCGTGGGCCTGAGTTTTTCTCATGCTTTGGTTTTGCATGCGTCGGAGCATAACCCACAGCTGTTTGTAGGAATGAGGTCGAAAATCTTCATCAGTATTTGAGGACTTGGTTCTTACAGATATATTCAGGAATGCTTTCCCTTTGCCCAAAGGTGAAAGTATCATTAAAGTTGTCATAGTGTGGTAAGGATTTTCTTTTTCTCTGCTTGGCAGTTAAGAGTTCAACATGGGGCTGGGCGTGGTGGCTCGCGCCTGTAATCCCAGCACTTTGGGAGGCTTAGGCAGGCGTTCGAGACCAGCCTGGGCAACATGGAGAAACCCTGTCTCTACCCGAAATACAAAAATTGGCCAGGCATAGTGCTGCACACCTGTGGTCCCAGCTATGCGGGAGGTTGTGGTGGGGCAATGGCTGGAGCCCAGGAAGTGGAGGCTGTGGTGAGCTGTGATTGTACCACTGCACTCCAGCCTGGGTGACAGAACAAGACCCTGTCTCAATTAAAATCAAAGGAGTTCAACATGGTGTCTACCTGATTGGAAGAAATGCAGGGGCAGTTTTTTTGGAACAGGCTCTGTTGTATTTGGTGAACACCTTAGCTTTTGGAAACACAGGGGCTTATACCAGTACTTTCTTCAGTGATGCCATTGCTATTTCCTCTGGTAACAATCTGTGTGTTTCAGGTAGATGACGTTAATGCTGATAAGAATATCTCTTCTGCACAGATTGTTGGTGAGTAGTGTCAATCAGAAACCTTCAGGGCTCAATGCCAAACCCTCTGCTGTTTTCTCATTTCTCATTGTTCCTCCCTTAGAGACTGGTTCCAAGTCCACGGAATTCTATCTACATGCCCTGTTCTCTTCCCAAATGCTAAAATAGAACTCAGGATATCCTGCTTCCAAAGATAAAAGATTGTCCCTAGCCCAGAAGAAGCTTCCATGTTCCCTCTTTGTCAGTGGTATCACTATTCTTTTTCATCCTTCTGGTTTTTTTCAGTCATGCTTGACTTCTTTATATTATTGCTGCTTCAACTTCCATTGTGCTTCAAAATACCAAATTTTAAGTTGGGGCATTAAAGAGATGTTGAGGAGAAAGTAAGTACAAATGCTAAGTGTATAGCTCAGTGGTTTTTTTTTTTCCTTTCCTTTTTTGAGATGGAATCTGGCTTTGTTGCCCAGGCTGGAGTGCACTGGCGCAGTCTTGACTCTCTGCAACCTCCGCCTCCCGGGTTCAAGCTATTCTGCCTCAGCCTCCTGAGTATCAGCTGGGATTCTAGGTGCACACCACCATATCCAGCTAATTTTTGTATTTTTAGTTTAAGGGGTTTAACCATGTTGGTCAGGCTGGTTTTGAACTCCTAACCTCGTGATCTGCCCGCCTCAGCCTTCCAAAGTGCCGAGATTACAGGCATGAGCCACTGTGCCTGGCCAGCTCAGTGAATTTTACAAAGCAAACATGTTCATGTAGCTACGTACTCAATTAAAAGTACTGGCCAGGTATGGTGATTCACATTTGTAATCCAAGCACTTTGGGAAGCTGAGGCAGGAGGATCACTTGAGGCCAGGAGTTGGAGACCAGCCTGGGCAAGATCCTTGTTTCCACAAAAAATTTTTAAAAACCCAGCTTGGTGGTGTGGACCTGTGGTCACAGCTACTCAAGAGGCATTCTTAAGCCCAGGAGTTCAAGGTTACAGTGAGCTATCATTGTACTCCAGCCTGGGTGCCCGGGTGACAAAGTGAGGCCCTGTCTTAAAAAACAAAAATTAAGATACTACCTACCAGCAAAAACCAGAGGGAAGATTAGGGGCCGGGCGCAGTGGCTGGCACCTGTAATCCCAGCACTTTGGGAGGCCGAGATGGGCAGATCATCTGAGGTCAGGTGTTCAAAACCAGCGTGGTCAATATGGTGAAACCCTGTCTCTACTAAAAATACACAAATTAGCTGGGTGTGGTGGTGGGTGCCTGTAATCCCAGCTACTCAGGAAACTGAGGCAGAAGAATCGCTTGAACCCGGGAGGCGGAGGTTGCAGTGAGCTGAGATTGTGCCACTGTACTCCAGCCTGGGCAAGAGTGAGACTGTCTCAAAAAATAAATAAATAAAATTAGACAGTTGTCTTATGGAGATATAATTTACATTAAAAAAAATAATAATAAGTGTATACACACACAAATTCCACTCTCTGGTCAAGGTATGCAATGTTACTCTTACCTCCAAGTTCCCTTTTTCCAGTCAACTCTGCCCTTCCCTCCAGAGTCAGAGCACTATTTTGATTTTTTTGTAATTTAGTTTTCCTGATTCTAGAACTTACAGAAACCATACAGTAGGTGTGTGTGGTGGGGGGGGGAGGGGGTTATCTTAATATGAAATACTAAATAGAGGCCGGGCGCGGTGGCTCAAGCCTGTAATCCCAGCACTTTGGGAGGCCGAGGCGGGTGGATCACGAGGTCAGGAGATCGAGACCATCCTGGCTAACATGGTGAAACCCCGTCTCTACTAAAAATACAAAAAACTAGCCGGGCGTGGAGGCTGAGGCAGGAGAATGGCGTAAACCTGGGAGGCGGAGCTTGCAGTGAGCCGAGATCGCGCCACTGCACTCCAGCCTGGGTGACACAGCGAGACTCCGTCTCAAAAAAAAAAAAAAAAAAAAGAAAAGAAATACTAAATAGAAGACTAGAAATACAGATCAGACTATTATATCAAATAACTTGGACATTATATTCCTTTAAAAAAACTTTGCCCCTCAATCCCTAAAGAATGTTGGTTCTTAAGGAAGCAGTGTTTGTTTTAGCAGAATCCTATTATCACTCCTTGGACTTGGTTGGTAAAGGAGCAGACCTTATGAAAGGGAACAGTCGATTGCTCTGTGGATGTGGCCACATGTATCCCACTTTGATTTCCCTTAAACTTTTTTCTCACCACAGGAAAGTAAAACAGATAGGATTCAACTCTAATTAGAAATTGTAGATGTTAACTGTCATTCAAGTGTTTATTAGCCTTCAGAAATAAAATTTCTTTAGCCAGGTGTGGTGGCTCACACCTGTAATCCCAGCACTTTGGGAGGCTGAGGTGTGTGGATCACTTGAGATCAGGAGTTCAAGACCAGCCTGGCCAACATAGTGAAGCCTCGTCTCTACTAAAAATACAAAAATTAGCTGGGTGTGGTGATGTGCGCCTGTAATCCCAGCTACTCAGGAGGCTGAGGCAGGAGAATCGCTTGAACCTAGGAGGCAGAGGTTGCAGTGAGCTGAGATCACACCACTGTACTCCAGCCTGGGTGACAGGAGCGAGACTCAAAAGTTCTTGAAATAAGGTTTTCTCCTGTATTTTGATCATTTTATTTTTATTGCCAAAGGGGATCTGAGTCATTTCTCTGGTGTTTGTAACATTGTGCTCCTTGCCCTAATTAGGTCCTGGACCCAAACCAGAAGCCTCTGCAAAGCTTCCTTCCAGACCTGCGGATAACTATGACAACTTTGTCCTACCAGAGTTGCCATCTGTGCCAGACACACTACCAACTGCATCTGCTGGTGCCAGCACCTCAGCATCTGAAGACATTGACTTTGATGATCTTTCCCGGAGGTTTGAAGAGCTGAAAAAGAAAACATAGGTCTCTTAAACCAGGCAACTTTCACATTCTGGGAGTTGAGACTGAGCAGTTTCTCCTTGTAACAAAGAATCTCCATGAAATTCCGTTTCATCTGTTAACTGTCACTGAGCACAACACTCCTCCTCTGGGCTCTCTTCCTGCTCCTCCAGATTCTGCTGCTTTCCAGTTCTCTGTTGATCCTGAGACTAACAACTGGAGACTGAGCCGGAGCAGCTGACTCCTGGCAGCTGTGCTTGTCCGTTTCCTGTCAGAGTGATCCCAGGTTTCCTCCTGGCCGGTCCCATGGTCCCTCCACAGGAGCGTGAGAGGATGGGGAAGCACTGTGGGGAGACCACCAAAGATGGCTGGACAGTGGGAGAGAGCACGTCGTGAAGCATCCCAGCCTCGTGTTGAGGTTCCAGACTTAGAAACAAACTTCTCTGTACAGGGGGATTATGAGTGAGAATCAAGGCCACAGTGTGTATTTTCTCACTCTCGAATGCAAGTGGGAGAGAGAAAGTGACTCAGGACGCCATTGTAACTGTTCTTGGAAGCTGGGCCCTCTCATTGGCATACACACTACTCCTTGCCGCAGGGCACTGTCCCACCGGGATCCAGTTGCAAAGTTTGTCTCCACAGTTGAAGGCCTCGCTTAGTTGTACTGGATTCTCAGGGAGCCCTCTGTGGCCTTTTTGCTTTGAGTGCTGTGTTCCCCTTGTACCAGAGGGCGGCACTGTGGAAATTGTTTTCCCCGTAGCATATTCTGTTGGATTGCATTACTGGCAGAGAAAGGACAAGTTGCCATTCAAGTCTAGGGTGGGCTTCCAGCTGCCTTAATAGAAGTACTCAAGTCTTTTGGGTAGTGAGCTGGAAAGTCTACAGGAAAAGGGGGGTACCTGTTTTCATTTGAAAACTTTGATTCATGGAACCTTTAAAACTAATCTCAGATAAATTTTTGGTGCCCATGCGGCTGTAGTTGTTCACTGCTTTCCTGGATGGATGGGACTCTCATGTTGTAACTTCTGTACTCCTTTGGCCCATAGCTAAGGTCATCCTTCCCCACAGGGGTGGCTTTGGGATTGGATGATACAGCTTTTGCTTCTGTGTAGTATACTTGTACATACCTGCTTCAGGCAGCCTTTAATGTTTTCAGTTGGTTTGTATTCTGAAGCTCAGTAGCTGCTAATAAAGTTAAAGATCCTGTGTCTTGCTTTCTTTACTGTTTGGTCAGATGATGAAGTATAAATCTGGATTTCAGTGGAGAATATTTTAACCAAGTGATCCATGTAAACCAGCCCTTACCTTCAGGATTCCTGGAGCAGTGCAGGGCTCATTTTGATCTGTGTTTAGCTAGCCTAGATAGCATCTGAATTTGCTTTGTCCTCCTCTGTGGCAGGGCTCCGCATCTGCCATGCCTCATCCTTGGATGTTTATTTTTAGTAAGTTGCAGTGAGTTCAATTCTGACTCCTTCATTTCCCACAGCCATCCTGGGCCATGGGTGATGAGTGTTCCATTACTTGCTGCTTGGCAGCAGAGCTAGTTTGTCTCGTAGTATTCTTGCATTGTTAATCCTATCTTGACAGTGCCAAGATCCATAAGTAAGGACTTGGGACCAAGGGGATTTTGATTTCTAACTTACAAAATTAAAAACAAAGTATATTATAATTTTAAAGCTATGCCATGCAAAGATTAGTAATATGCTAAGAAATAGCCAAATAGGAAATAACAGGATTAAGGTAGTTCATCTAAAACTTCAGTGTCAGTGCCCATTGCTGTCGTGGCTGCTTGCTCAGATGAGGTTTTTTGGGGCCGACTGATTCCTAACAAATTTGAGAGCTTCTGTAGCAGCATATCTATTAGTGCCACTTCTTTCTGAGTATTGAAAACAAAAAGAGAAAAGTGAGAAAATTGAAATTACTACTAATACTGGAGTGAAAAAAGTACCAAAGTACCAAATATTTTTAAAAAATTAGTAAATGTATAGTAAAGATACATTTCTTTGATAATTTACAGTCAGGCATTGGAGTGTTTCCACTAATCAATGGTTGAGAGCCAGCTGTTTATAGGACAGTGGCTATAGAATATTATGCAGTCTTATAAATTGCATTTCCTAGGAAGATAGCTGGCAGAGCTTTTGAAACTAATAAAGGGAATATGATACTGTGCATTGTAAGTTATGTCAGCCCATAATCTTAGGGGCAGTTACAGTGGAGCTTTCCCAGTGATACAGCAGCATGCTAGTTTATCTTTTAGTTACCTACCTTAAGCGACTTTCTTTCTTTTCCAAAGGCCACGAGAATGGCAGAAACAAAAAGATTAATTACCACAAGTACCATCAAGATGACACTGGTGAGGATCAGAAAGGTGCCCAGGACTGGGTCTAAATCGATAACCTGGGAAAACAATAAGAACACTTTCAGTGACTATTTAGTTTCTACTTTACAAACCTAAGCTACATGCTAACGTTTGGGATCTTTTCAGAAGAAAAGCTTATCCAATGGAAACCAGGGGAGAGGCACAAAGATATTAAGAAGGAAAATACTTTTAAATGGACAGAAGAGCAGCAATGACTGATTTTAAGGAGGTTAAGATAATTTTGACTACAGGGCTTTCACAAGAAAACAGGTGAGTTGCAGTGGAATTGGAGATGATTCAAATGTCACATGAATTTTGGCAATTCCAGAAAATACATCTAATCATCGAAGCTAAAAGGGGGGGGTCACAAACACTGAAAGAATAAATGCTACCGGAAGTGAGAATGCAAACTGTCTCTGCCATATCAAGAAACTACAACCCTAAACACAGGAGCATTCCAGTAAAAGTTAACAGGTTGGCCACAGAAAACTGGCTTTAGAGTACTTTCTTTTTCCCATTGTCATTTTTAAAGGTCTAAGCATTGAGTTCTGCCTTTCTTTACTTTTCTGCATAAGTAAATACCAAGTTCTGGGCTTCCTAAAATGGTTCCCATTACACAAATTTTAAAAATGTAGATGTTCTCAACAAATGGTATTTATTTTCCCTTGGTATTGGCCTATTCATAGTTGCCACTAGGCACTGTTTAAAAATATCCCAAAAGAGGGGATGATTATAATAAACACCACCCTGATGGCAATCTATATGGCAAAATATTTTTAAGCACCAAAATGTTACCTATTTTAAAATACTTAGAACAATTTCAGGTCAACCAGATAATGTGGGCAATCTCAGTTTGTGCTACAAGACTTTTTTCCCAATCAGTTTATTTTTATGTACAATTTTACTCTGTTTACTCTTTATTTTTTTATGTTTTTTACTCTTATTTTTATTTTTTGTTTTTTACTCTTTATTTTTATGTTTACTCTATTTTTATGTACAATTGCATCCAAAGCAGAAAAGTTTGCTTTTTTCCCCAAAAAGCAGGTGTTAGCACAAGTTTGTTATTCTGATTACTTCCTTCACAGCTTTAGGATATGAAGTGCTCCAGTGGCGAAGGCTCATCCCCTAGTTATTGGAGCTAGGACCACAACAGAACAGCCTAGTTCGCCAAAGTAGCAGTTACAATTGTCCCTCAGTATCTGAGAGAGATTGGTTTCAGGGCCCCCACAGGTACCAAAATCTGAGGATGCTTAAGTCCCTTGTTTTTATTATTATTATATTATTACTATTTTTGAGACGGAATCTTGTGCTCTGTCTCCCAGGCTGGAGTGCAGTGGCACGATGTCAGCTCACTGCAAGCTCCCAGCCTCCCGAGTAGCTGGGATTACAGGCACCTGCCACCATGCCCAGCTAATTTTTTTGTATATTTAGTAGAGACGTGGTTTCACTGTGTTAGCCAGGATGGTCTTGATCTCCTGACTTCGTAATCCACCTGCCTCGGCCTCCCAAAGTGCTGGGATTACAGGCGTGAGCCACTGCGCCCAGCCTATTATCATTTTTTGTTTATTGCAACCTTCCCTACAGGTTAAGAAAGTGTCTTCCCCACTCACCTTTTTTTTTTTTGAGACAGGGTCTAGCTCTGTCACCCAGGCTGGAGTGCAGTGGCTTGATCTTGGCTCGCTGCAACCTCCACCTCCCAGGTTCAAGCGATTCTCCTGACTCAGCCTCCTGAGTGGCTGGGATTACAGGTGCCTGCCACCATGCCTGGCTAATTTTTGTATTCTAGTAGAGACGGGGTTTCACCATGTAGGCCAGGTTGGTCTTGAACTCCTGACCTCAAGTGATCAGCCACACCTTTGGCCTTCCAGAGTGCTGGGATTACAGGGATGAGCCACTGTGCCCAGCCTAGAAAGTTCCATTTTAAAAATGGCATAGTAGTTGCATAAACCCTATATACATCTCTCCTATACTTGAAATATCTTTAGATTGCCTCTAGTACCTAATATAGTGTAAATGCTACGTAAAATAGTTGTTATACCAGTTTGTGGCTTTCTGTGGGAGACAGTCTCGCTCAGAGGGTGCTGGCACAATCATGGCTCATTGCAGCCTCACTCCTGAGCTCAAGCAATCTTTTCACTTTGTCCTCCTAAGTAACTGGAACTACAGGTACATGCTACCACGCCTGACTCTTCTCCTGTATTTTAAGATGTGTGTTATTTTTTATTGTTACCTTTCCAATATTTTCATTCTGGGGTTGGTTGAATCTGTGGATGCGGAACCTGCGGATACAACATTATAAACTGAACCTACCTATTTTAATTAGTAATTTTGGAATTCTAGATCATCAGAATGATCAACCATGATCAAAATCTTGCCACTTTCGCTGCTTAAATGGCAGGTTTTTCCTAATTCTTTGTCACTTCCATTGTGTCACTTTTTTTTTGTTTGTTTTTGAGACACAGCCTCACTCTCTTGCCCAGGCTGGAGTGCAGTGGCACAATCTCAGCTCACTGCAACCTCTGCCTCCCAGGTTAAGGTGATTCTCCTGCATCAGCCTCCTGAGCAGCTGGGATGACAGGCGTGCACCACCACACCTGGCTAATTTTTGTGTTTTTATTAGAGACGGGGTTTCACCATGTTGGCCAGATTGGTCTTGAACTCCTGACCTCAAAAGTGATCCGCTGGCCTCAGCCTCCCAAAGTATTGGGATTACAGGTGTGAGCCACCAGACCTGGCCTTTTTTTTTTTTTTTTTTTTTTTAAATAGACATAGGGTCTGGAGTGCAGTGGCATGATCATGGCTCACTGTAGCCTCCAACTCCTGGGCTCACAGAATTCTCTCTCAGCCTCCTGAGTGGCTAGGACTACAGGTGCATGCCACCACACCTGGCTAATTTTTATTTTTTGTTTTTAGTAGAGACAGAGTCTCACTGTGTTCCCCAGGCTGGTCTCAAATTCTTGGCCTCAAGCAGTGCTCCCCGCCTTCTTGGCCTCTCTCATGGCTTGAACCAACTTACCTTACACTGTTAATGCACTTTCAAAGGGCCACTGAGAAGCAGAGAATCATGTTAATCTGGCCAAGCACAAGAGCACAAGCTTCGTCCCAGTGTCCTTTGCCAATAAGATTAAGGACACAAGAAGTGAGGAAGGAGGGACTGAGTGCTTAGGAAAGGGCAGATTTCTGAAAGCAACACCAATGTAAATGCTGTGTGCATAGGCAGTACCTTAAAGCAGAAGAGCAAAGGACTGAAATTTTCCCCCTTTCCAGTGTGCAGTCTACAGTAGGGGGTTGTTTTCCTAAGGACTCCCCCAATTTTCCTTGTTCAATATATTAAATAGAATTCTGTGAGGAAACAAATTATTATTTTTACCTCCTCTTGGTGAGAAATTCCGATCAGGAGACCAACAACAGTCACTGCTGAGCTGAAAAATGTCCGGTAGTCAGAGATGCTGCATCCAAACAGCAGGTTAAACTGAACAGAAGGAGAAAGGCCAGTTAGTGCAAGCCAAGTGCACATCTTTCTGTCTTGAGGTGCCTGGCAATGTGGCCAACATAGAACCAATGGAATGGAAAGAAATTCCTTGTGGCCAAATTATGCCAAAAGAATAATCTTCCATTGTAATAACATAGTGTTTTCATAGAAATTTATTTGACCTTTATATTACCATGTAAGCTTTTATCCCCATTTTAGAGACAAACGTGTGGGTTTAAATCATACCAGTTAAGTATGGAACTAGAACTAAACCCGGCTTTCCTACTCTACCACCTCGGGTTTCTGTGTTGCGACCGTTTCTATGGGAAGCGATGCGGTTCTAAGACCACAGCACACGCAGGAGAGACAGCAACGTGGGGGCTTACGGCAACGGCATAGCCTGTCAGCAGGATTAGGATGATCAGCAGAAAGCCCACCACCTCGTCCCAGGCTCGGCTCAGTGTCCTGCTGATGACCCGCAGCCTGGGGCTATGACGCAGCAGGTTCCATAACTGAACGGTTGCCAGCAGAACCAGGAAGCCCACAAGGTGAGTCGCAGCAGAGTTCCCTTTTACTGCCTCGTGGAAGCTGATAAACCTGCACCAAGGAAAGTTGACAGTTACTGAGCAGGAAGCATGTGCCTATGCCACGGTTTCCCCAGCGCCCCTGCTGCTGAGCGTGGCAGCCCTGAGTCCTGTGAGGTCAAATGCTTGTTGATGTGAGAAATGCTTTCTAGTGTGGCCTCCTGTGAGTTGTGGATATGGGAATAACAGAAGGCCACGGATTATTCAAGTGGTCTACCCGTTGCAGATTGCACTGGGAGCTGTGCCGAAGAAACCTTAAAATGTGACCTCTAGCTGATTTCTTTATTCCAAATTCATCCTGGGAAGCAAAACTAGCCTCCTGCACTGCTCTGAGCCAAATCTCTCCTCTCAAAAGATTAACTCAGCCCAGAGAGAGGAGCCATGCTCCTGGTCTGTTTTCTGTGGCACATGAATCCTGTGTTCTCTGCTGTACAGGATTGATGTAATAGGTGCAATAAAGCTTAGAACAAAATGATGGATGGTAGACTAGAGGTGAGGGGTGTTGCTCAGCAATTAGGCTTTGTTTTGTGAGAGATACATTCATAATTTTAGGTTGCAGCAACCAGGTTACTCAGAAGGAGCCCCACAGACACTAGCAACTGGTGCCCTGCACAGATCTGCTGTGCCTGCATAAAACTGCTCTCCATAAGGCCTACTTGAAACAATGCCTCAGGAACAATTACACAGATCACTGCCCAGGCTGTTGGCCACTGATGCAAAGGTTAGCAAAGCACCACTTGGCAACACTTTGCATGGGAAACATAGATGTTCCTCTCCATGGGAAAAACCAGAGAAGGTGCCCAAAGGGGCAGCAAACATCTCTTAGTATGGATGAGTGAATGGATGAACATCCCTACCCAGAAAGCAGCTCCCTTTGCATTTAAAGGATGGACTATGTGTTGTGGTTTTATTTATTTATTTATTTATTTTTATTATTATTTTTTAGACGGAGTCTCGCTCTGTCGCCCAGGCTGGAGTGCAGTGGCCGGATCTCAGCTCACTGCAAGCGCCGCCTCCCGGGTTTACGCCATTCTCCTGGCTCAGCCTCCCGAGTAGCTGGGACTACAGGCGCCCGCCACCACGCCTGGCTAGTTTCTTGTATTTTTTTAGTAGAGACGGGGTTTCACCGGGTTAGCCAGGATGGACTCGATCTCCTGACTTCGTGATCCGCCTGTCTCAGCCTCCCAAAGTGCTGGGATTACAGGCTTGAGCCACTGCGCCCGGCCGTGTTGTGGTTTTGTTTAAAGGATTATTTGTCCTGCGTTAGGCTTTATGCCTTCGCCAGAGGCGAAGGTCTTTCTGAAATTTAAATGCATTATCCTTAAGCACATACCTAAGCACTAATGAAGACAGAAGAGCTCTTCAATGTGACCAGCAGTTAAATGGCTTCCAGTTCACTGTTATCTCTGCTGTGGACATGAGTCCATGTTCTATTTTAACTCTAATATTATGCATATACAGATCTGGTAGGGCAGTGAAGGAAGGGGAGTCTGAAAGAATACTTGTGTATAACCGGGAAACTTCAGCCATGAGGTAGGAATATGCTGTGCCCCTCAGGTTTCCTCTCACCTGTCCCGGTCATCGCGGTATCGTGCCATGTCTTTCCTAAGTAGAGAAATACTCTTCATGTCAAGCCCCAGGATGATGAAGCTAATGAGGATTATACTTGTGTCCAGAATGTTTCTTCTCTCAGTGAAGAACCTCCACTTCTGCCGTTTCAGCCGACAACCCTAAACATAGACAGCACAGTCACTGTTGCTTGTCTGAGAGATTAACTAGGTCTCTCCCTGCTCAAGTGTGATGAACGCAGCTGATGTCTATGGGCAAAGCACACTGCCAGGCGTTTATCAGATCTCACTTGGACAAATGGGCTATGGTCTTAGTTCAACTCTGTAGTCTTCAGAAATGCTGCTTACAGAAAAGTTATCTTCGAACACAACTTCCATTGGATACATTTCTTCTTTTTCTTGGAGATCATAAACTGTCACTTAAAAATAAATACAAAAGTTTCTTTCTTTGAGACAGGGTCTCGCTCTGTTGCCCAGGCTCGAGTGCAGTGGTGTGATCATAGCTCACTGCAGTCTCAACTTCCCAGGCTCAGGCTCAAGCAATCCTCCTACCTCAGCCTCCCAAGTAGCAGGGACCACAGGCACATGCCACCATGACCAGCTAAGTTTTTTTTTTTTTTTTTGTAGAGACAGAGTTTTGACATTTTGCCCACGCTAGTCTCGAACTCCTGGCTTCAAGTGATCTGCCCACCTCAGCTTCCCAAAGTGCTAAGATTACAGGCATGAGCCACCATGCCCAGCAAAAGTTTCTAAATTAGTTATCAAGCCTGAGAATGAAGAAAAAAATACTGTGTTTGGCTTAAGATATAAATATATTTTCTTCTGAGTGTAATCATCTGTATTTTTCTTTTTTTTTTTTTTGAGACGGAGTTTAGCTCTTGTCACCCAGGCTGGAGTGCAGTGGTGCCATCTTGGTTCATTGCAACTTCTGCCTCCCAGGTTCAAGCCATTCTCCTGCCTCAGCCTCTCGAGTAGTTGGGACTATAGGAGCCCGCCACCACTCTCAGCTGATTTTTGTATTTTTAGCAGAGACAGGTTTCACCATATTGACCAGGCTGGTCTTGAACTCCTGACCTCAGGTGATCCACCTACCTCAGCCTACTAAAGTGCTGGGATTAAAGGTGTGAGCCACTGTTCTTGGCCACTTTTTTTTTTTTTTTTTTTGAGAGGGAGTTTTGCTTGTTGCCCAGGCTGAAGTATAATTGCGCAATCTCAGCTCACTGCAACCTCTGCCTCCCGGGTTCAAGTAATTCTCCTGCCTCAGTCTCCTGAGTAGCTAGGACTACAGGCATGCACCACCACACCCAGCTAATTATATATTTTTAGTAGAGACTGCATTTCTCCATGTTGGCCAGGCTGGTCTCAAACTCCTGACCTCAGGTAATCCGCCTGCCTCAGCCTCCTAAAGTGCGGGAACTACAGGCATGAGCCAATCATTTGTATTTTTGAGTGCTTGCTCTTTGTTCATCATACTTGCTTGGTATTACTTCATATAGGGCTAGTAAAACTACAAAAGTACTATTTCTCTTTTTTTTTTTTTTTTTTTTTTGAGACAGAGTCTCGCTCTGTTGCCCAGGCTGGAGTACAGTGGCTGGATCTCAGCTCACTGTAAACTCCGCCTCCCAGGTTTACGCCATTCTCCTGCCTCTGCCTCCCGAGTAGCTGGGACTACAGGCGCCCGCCCGCCACCACGCCCGGCTAGATTTTTTTTGTATTTTTTTTTTTAGTAGATACGGGGTTTCACCGTGTTAGCCAGGATGGTCTCGATCTCCTGACCTCGTGATCCGCCCGTCTCGGCCTCCCAAAGTGCTGGGATTACAGGCTTGAGCCACCGCGCCAGGCCAAAAGTACTATTTCTATAGACTTAATTCTTTAGCTCCTGAAAATTGAAAGAGCCACTCTATTTGGTGGGAAACCAGTCAACCTTTAACTGAATTCAGGTTTCTGAAAAGAACCAAAATTATAGCCATAACTCTAGTAACACATCATTGTAGAGCTTCCAAATAAAATGTGGCAACCTTTATTTCTCACATCTAATACCATCATCATCATCATTATTTTTGAGACAGGGTCTTGCTCTGTCACCCAGGCTGAAGCGCAGTGGTGTGATCGTAGCTCACTGCAACCTCTGCCTCCCAGGCTCAAACAATTCTCCCATCTGAGCCTCCCGAGCAGCTGGGACCACAGGTGCATGCCACCACACCTGGGTAATTTTTGTAGTCTGGTAAAGATGAGGTTTTGCCATGTTGCCCAGGCTGACATCTAACATTATTGACTCACCTGTATGAAGGCATAGTAACAGACCAGTAGATAATAGATGACTTGTGAGATGATAGACCAGGCAAAGCCCTTCTTTGACATCTGAAGGGAAGTGAAGCTTTCCAGTCTCACAGAGGTGAAGAAAGCACCTGAGAATGACAAAGAACACCTGGAGTCAAGAGTCTAAAACTTTTGCCGTCTTCTTGTTAAACTTTGTCTTTGAATAACCCCAACTCTTCCTGTATCATCAAATGTTTCTGAGTCTCAGTGCTCCACTTAGTATTTCCTTTAGAGCTGTCATGAATATTAAATGAGATAATGTATGCAAGGCTATTGGAGAAATACTGGTTTTACAGAAGTCAGTAGTGGGAAAGGATATGCTGTTGACCCTACCTTGAAGGGAGGTGTTGGTGGCTTAACAGCTATTATAGATGTTACCCTAACCATGTCAGAATGGCTGCAGAGAGAAGTCTAAAGCACTGAAACCCCATGAGTACTAATGGTATCCCATGGATACTCAGTCATTTACATAAGGATAGACTAAAAGGCTTCAGCCTTCACCTGGAAGGACACTGAAAATGGTGACATTTATAAAATCATGAAAGGTCCTGTGAATATAAACCTTTCATAAAGCTTCAAAATATTAGTGATGGCAGCAGCACCCTGTCTGGAGTGGCTGCTGCCATGACACTGGCTGCAGTGGGCGAGGTGTGGCCAGGTCGTTGTGCTCTCTTGAGCCGTGGGAGCCAGTAACAGGTGGGAACCCTGCCCCCTTCTGAGGTGGAAGGTTGGGAGCCCCACCCTCCTGGGTGCAGCTGCAGCCGTCCAGCCACAGCTGCAGCCCCGAGCATCCCTGCACTCTTGGGGGCTCAGGAAGCACCCCCTGCCCCTGCAGGTTCAGAAGTGCCTGCTCCCACTGCCTGGCCTCTCTGCACTGCCAGCACCTGCTCTAATTTTGGAACAAAGTTTTGGCCAAGCCTGGGCACTGTCATGACCCAGCTGGATGTGTGTGCCCTTGGGGCAGTGCTGACAAGTAGCCCCCTACTGCCTCGGCCCTTTCCAAACTTTGGACACAGACGAGCATGGGAGGCAGGGAGGGTGAGGGGGCACTGAGGGCAGCTTGGCATGGACCTGCAGGTGCCCCTTGGCACAAACAGCCTGGACACCATGGGTGACTTGGGTGGCGGCAGGAGGCAGACAGGCTCCTGGGCAGAAAGGGGTGGGTCCCCAGTAAAGCCCCACCTTTAAGCCAGGGATGGCCTGAAGCCTGGGGGCTGGGCTGCCAGTTCTGGAATCTGCCAGTTTCACCAACTCGAATGAGAACTTATGGCAGTTTTTCTGGGCCCACCCATGGCTGCCCAGGGACCAATCAGCACACACTTACTCCCCTCTGAAGCCCATAAAACCTCCAGACTCAGCCAGACTTGGGCAGATGGCAGGATGACTTGCCTGCAGATAGGAGCTACCATTCCAGGTCTCTCCGCTGAGGGCTACACAAACAATGAGACGACCTGCCTGTCGATAGGAGCTACCAACTCCAGGTCTCCTGAAAACTGTCTTGTCACTCAGTGAAGCTCCTCTCCACCTCTCTCACCCTCCAGTTGTCTGTGTACCTCATTCTTCCCGGATGCAGGACAAGAACTCGGGACCTGCTGAGTGGTGGGACTAAAAGAGCTGTAACACAAACAGGGCTGAAACACACCCCCTCGCTTGCCACACTGCAGGCAACGAGAAGGAGAGAAGAGCTGTGGCTCTTTGCGGGAGTCCAGACCTACAGGCTCCCTGAGCCAGGGCTGTGACACCCTCTTCGGGGCTCTGTGGTTCCTAGCCTCTCCAAGATTCTGGGCACCATGGCATTCCTCTCGTTCAGACGTAGGCACCCACAGCGGAAACCACGTGCAGTACATCTGGTCCAGCTTCAGCCTTTCAGGGAGCCAGCACCTGTGCCAGCACATAGAGCTTCCCACCCCACCGCAGCAGCCAGTGTGCCTGGCTGTGTGCAGTGGCTGGACCCTGTGCTTGCTCATCCATATATCCCTCACTGCTCCGTGCCTGGCTCTCTCTTGGCAGGTGTGGGATCCAGGCCAGTAGCAGGAGCCAAGAACAGGCTGCCAGGCCAAGTGGGCAGAACAAGCCCAGTGGGTGTAAGCAACACTCAGGCAGAAGGTGCTGCAGGCCACAGAGGTTTCTGGCTGGCAAAGCAACACCCTAAGGATGCTGTGACATTAGAACTAAGATATACCCCTTGTAGGTAAAAAAAGACATTTAAGAACAAAAGGAACTCCTATTTCACCTAGCAAGCTCTCAAGACTGGAACTTTTCCCATGTTTATTTTAATCCCTGTCTATATTTTGTTAGTAACTAAAAACCCCGGGAAGACCCTCAGGAAGCCATTATGCTTCATTAGAAACAAGCATAAGAGAAGTGGTCTACTCTGCAGGTCTGAGAGGAGAAAAATTCCTGATTGGGAGAAAGATGTGATGGAAATGGAAGGATACTTGTGAGCCAATTCTGGGAGAAAGAAGAAAGCGAAGAAGGTGGATTCGGACAGACATCCTGTGAAAGTGGGGGAAATGAATGGACCAGTTTAACTCCAATCCCTTACAAAATGCCACTATAATGAAAGTGAAAGGATAAAGTAAAAACTTCAATAGATGAAGTAAAGGAGGGCAGATGAGAGCAACAAAGTGCTTGAAGCTGAAAAGTAGAGGAATCACATTGACTCAGCAAGTTCAAGAAAGCTGAAATCTAAGGCAGTCATACAGGAAACCTGGAAGCAAGCCCATTCTAACCACGAAACCCTGGAAAGCCTCAGAAATTGCAGGCATCAGGTAGTTCTGAAGGTAGAAGTTCAGATGGAACTGAAAATAGCGTCAACTGAAAGTCAATATATATATATAAACAACAACTAGATTCCAAATTTCCTCCCTCACCATTCACAACCAGATATTTGCTACCCATCTTGCCTTCTACCACCCCACAACTAAAGGTTTGTTTCCTAGTGATGCTGAATGAGAGAATCTGGACTTGGGGCACCAGCTACATCTGAGAGTAACGGTTTACTGGAAAAGGAAAAATTTACATGCTGCCTAGTGAGACACTTCCCAGATCCCTTCCCTCAACTCACTCTGGTAAGTATAATAGGCTCATACTCTCAAGGTAGGAGTTTGGAGTGTCTTTAAAAACTGACTGCCTAAAAAGAGAGACTTAGATACCAGTTGATAAGCTCTATGCATGGGCATAGAGCTTTTTTTTTTTTTTTTGAGATGGAGTCTCACTCTGTCACCCAGGCTGGAGTGCAGTGGTATGATCTCAGCTCACTGCAAGCTCCGCCTCCTGGGTTCAAGCAATTCTCCTGTCTCAGCCTCCCGAGTAGCTGGGATTACAGGCATGCGCCACCAAGCCTGGCTAATTTTTGTATTTTTAGTAGACATGGGGTTTTGCCATGTTGGCCAGGCTAGTCTCAAACTCCTGATTTCAGGTGATCTACCTGCCTCGGCCTCCCAAAGTGCTGGGATTACAGGCGTGAGCCACCGCACCCAGCCAGGCACAGAGCTTATAATTAGCATTTAGTTGCTTTTTTTTGCCTTTTTTTTTTTGGTGGGGGGGTGCGGGATACAGGGTCTGGCTGTCACCCAGGCTGGAGTACACTGGTATGATCTCAGCTCACTACAACTTCCGCCTCCCAGGATCAAACCATTCTGCCACCTCAGCCTCTCAAGTAGCTGAGACTACAGGTATACACCACCATGCCAGGCTAATTTTTATATTTTTGGTAGAGATGAGGTTTCACCATGTTGCCCAGGCTGGTCTCGAACTCCTGGGCTCAAGTGATCTTCCTGCCTTGGCCTCCCAAAGTGCTGGGATTATAGGCTTGAGCCACCGCACCCAGCCTGCGTTTCTTTAAAAGGACAGCCAGGCACTTGAGTCTCTAACGTTGAAAACTGTAGATCAAAAACAACAAATCAAAAAAGGAGTTCAGAGGAATTAGAGACAGTAAAGGATCAGAAGGAAAGAAAACCCACTGTAATATACCAGAGTTAAGAGGATATTGCATCCATAAAAGAACAATAAGAGACTATGGAAAAAACATGAGAACAACAATTTTGGAAATTAAATATTATAGAAAGAAAAAATAGTTTAGAAGATAAAAATTAAAGTAATATTGCAGATATTAGACGAAAAAGATGAAAAACAGAAGCAAAAATATAAGAAAATCGGAACTCCAGGAGTTATAACGTCAAAATGCTAGAAAATCAGAAAAAATGAACAGAGAAAATGGAGAATAAATTAACAAAGAAAAATGAAGAAAATTTCTCAGAACTTAAGGACACATTTCCAGATGATAGAACATTCTATGACATTCTTTTTTTTTTTTGAGATGGAGTCTCACTGTGTCACACAGGCTGGAGTGCAGTAGCACCATCTTGGCTCACTGCAACCTCCACTCCTGGGTTCAAGTGATTCTTCTGCCTCAGCCTCCCAAGTAGCTGGGACTGCAGGCGTGAGCCACCATGCCCAGGTAATTTTTGTATTTTTAGTAGGGACAGGGTGTCACCACATTGGCCAGGCTGGTCTCGAACTCCTAGACCTCGTGATCCACCCACCTTGGCGTCCCAAAGTGCTGAGATTACAGGCATGAGCCACTGCGCCCAGCCTCTGTGACATTCTTTCATAACCCAGAGGACAAAGTAAAAAACCTAAAAACTTTTGAGGTTGGGGACTGGGAATCAGAATGCCAGTATAATACTTTTTAACACTAACATGAAAAATTAGAAAGCATTGGAGCTACACTTTTCAAAAATCTGGCCGGGCATGGTGGCTCATGCCTGTAATCCCAGCACTTTGGGAGGCCAAGGTGGGCAGATCACTTGAGGTCAGGAGTTCAAGACCAGCCTGGCCAACATGGTGAAACCCCATAAAATATGTAAATACATAAATTGTAAAAATAAAAAACTCAGCCAGGCATGGTGGCGGCCACCTGTAATCCCAGTTACTTGGGAGGCTGAGGCAGGGAGAATTGCTTGAACCCAGGAGGCAGAGTGTACAGTGAGCCGAGATGGTGCCACTGCACTCCAGCCTGGGTGACAGAGCGAGACCCCATCTCAAAACAAACAAATGAACCAAAATCCTGCAAGAAAGAAATTATATACAGATAAATTAGAATCTAATGTGATGGGAGAATAAAAACACTTTTGGAGATGTAAGTCTCCAACAAATTTACCTCCCTTGTACTCTTCCAGGAAGTTACCAGAGCACGTGCTCTAGCAAAATGAGCAAGTAAGCCAAGAAAGGAAGACATGGAATCCAGAAGACAGGGAATTCAGTAGAGGAGAGAGGTAAAGATAATCCCAGGGTAATGGTGAAGGGAGAGTCCTGGAGAGCCGTAGAGCAGCCTAGAGAATAATCAATCCAGACTGTACCCAAGAAGGAGGGCTCCAGGGAAGGTGTCTCCAAGAAGATAAAATGACAGTTTACATGGTACTCTAAGAGAATGAGAGATTTCTACTTTTAGGAAGAATTTGGAGATTAATCAGTGACAGATACATAGAAAACCAACCAAATTTTTAAAAAAGTAATATTCTAGAGAAAAGAAAGGATGTATAAGAAAGGAAATCTAATTATAATATACTAATGTCTCATCTTTGAAAAACATAATGGAAATGCTCAATATTAAACTAAATAAATTTTATTACTATGTTGGGAGAATGAGAAAAGATCAAAGATGTGTATGTGTTTGAGATATATCTGGGTGTAAGAAAACTACCTCCGGCTGGCTGAGGTGGCTCATGCCTGTAATCCCAGCATTTTGGGAGGTTGAGGCAGGTGGATCACTTGAGGCCAGGAGTTCAAGACCAGCCTGGCCAACATGGTGAAACCCCATGTCTACTGAAAATACAAAAATTAGCTGGGTGTGGTGGCAGGCGCCTGTAATCCCAGCTACTCAGGAGGCTGAGGCAGGAGAAAGGCTTGAGCCCAGAAGGTAGAGGTGGCAGTGAGCTGAGATCACACCACTGCACTCCAGCCTGGGAGACTGAGTGACACTCTGCCTCAAAAAAAAAAAAAAAAAAAAAAAAATTCATCCTAACAGAAACAGGTAACACCTAAAACTGAAAATTTATGAAATAGACAATAATCTTGTTAATTTTTTTTTTTTTTTTTTTTTGAGACGGAGTCTCGCTCTGTCGCCCGGGCTGGAGGGCAGTGGCCGGATCTCAGCTCACTGCAAGCTCCGCCTCCCGGGTTTACGCCATTCTCCTGCCTCAGCCTCCCGAGTAACTGGGACTACAGGCGCCCGCCACCTCGCCCGGCTAATTTTTTGTATTTTTTAGTGGAGACGGGGTTTCACCGTGTTAGCCAGGATGGTCTCGATCTCCTGACCTCGTGATCCGCCCGTCTCGGCCTCCCAAAGTGCTGGGATTACAGGCTTGAGCCACCGCGCCCGGCCTTTTTTTTTTTTTTTTTTTTTTTTGAGACAGAGTTTCACTCTTGGTGCCCAGGCTGGAGTACAATGGCGCAATCTCAGCTCACTGCAACCTCTGCCTCCTGGGTTCAAGCGATTCTCCTGCCTCAGCCTCCCGAGTAGCTGGGATTATAGGCACCTGCCACCACTCCTGGCTAATTTTTTTGTATTTTCAGTAGAGATGGGGTTTCGCCATGTTGGCCAGGCTGGTCTCGAGCTCCTGACCTCAGGTGATCCACCTGTCTCAGCCTCCCAAAGTGCTGAGATTATAGGCGTGAGCCACCATGCCCGGCCCATGTTAATAATTTTTAAATTCTGAAAGATCTAGTTTAAAAAAACAGAAAGTAGCCTTTGGGGAGTAGGAATGAGGTAGGGATGAACTGAGGACTCCTGTTTTTCCCTTGAACTATTTGACTTTTAAAGTTATATTTAAATATAATAACTTTAATTAAAGTAATATATTTAAATTAATGGTATAAGACAGAGAAAGAAACTGGGACTTCTCCTGAGCTACTCAGGTGTCTTAGTCCATTTTGTATTGCTATAAAGGAGTATCCAAACCTTGAGTAATTTATAAAGAAAAAAGGTTTCTTTGGCTCACAATTCTGATGGCTGGCAAGTTCAAAATTGGGCGTGTGCATCTGGTGAGGGCCTCAGGCTGCTGCCACTCATGGCAAAGGTGAAGGGGAGACAGCCTGTGCAGAGATCACATGGAATGAGAGGAAGCAAGAGAGGGGTGGGGGAGATTCCGGCTCTTTTTAAACAAACAGCTTTCTTGGGAACTAATAGAATGAGAACTCACTTACTCCTAAGGGAGGGCATCAATCTATCCATGAAGGATCTGCCTCCCAGGACGCAAACACCTCCCATCAGGCTCCACTTCCAATGCTGGGAATCGAATTTTAACATGAGGTTTACAGGGGACAAACATCCAACCCAAAGCACAAGATCATAGAGAGAGGAGAGAAGAGAGAGGCCTTCGTACCCACATCACTGGACTCCAACATCAGGATCACAACACAGAATAGGTTCACATTAGCATTGAAGACCACAAACTCCACAAAGAGGCCTTTTGTGCGTTGGTCTAGCCAATGCCTCTGTTCAAGATGCTGTAGAACTCTGGGTAAACAGAGGACAGGGTCAGCTCGTTTTCTCCAATACTGCAAAGGGGGAAAATATCCTGATGTTTCAAATATTACTGTCATATACCAGGTAAGATGTTACAGTTCCCAATCTACTTTTCCTATGAAATATTTTATGATTACTAATGCCCAAACTTTCACTGGTATTAAATTTAGTAGACCATAAAAATGAAAGTTTTTACAATAGTATTCACAACAAGGTTAAATATTCAGGAAAATATACTTGGCATTTCAGGTCTGAAGTAGAATGTCATGCTATGACAAGTATTTCTACTTGAAGTATTAAATGCTACTCTTGACTACCAGCTGTTCAGTTTTGGGAGGTAGGAGGAATATAAATGTCATTATTCAGTTGGCATTGTTTGTGAATAATGAATTCCTTGCATTTAAATGAAGAGATAATTATTTTTATTTAGACTTTTTCTCATGTAATGACAGAGATTCTCAGAATACTAAACCACTCTATAAGTCTCAGGAAATTTAATTTTGGCATTGGACTTTTGGGTTCCTGTATTTTGGCTCATGAACGGCAAGGTTTCCTTTATATGTTAAGATTACAGTTTGTCCAAGCTATGGTTACTTGAATTTAACTTCAGCTAGGATTGAAAATGATAGGTATTTCTCCAGCTACAAAATGAATTTTGGCAAATTGCCAAACCAAAACATACCTGTAGTCTGAGGTTGAGCAAGGAATTTTTAAACCAAAGGGTATATTTCCTTAGAAGTCTAAAATAAAAGTATCCATAAGAGTTACAGACAGTATAGTAGCTGTCAAAACTACTCAAATGGGTCTGAAATTCCTATTTGTCCTATGAATGGCCAAAAGCAAATATTTTGGTCTTCTTGCTCAGGGCCCAGGCTTACTCACCGGGCTGCAGTACTGGAGTTTCTTCCAAGTTTCACAGCGTATCCTCCTCCTGAGTAAGTGGCAAATTCCCCTTGAATGGGAGAACCACCCAGGGTCTCCTGATTCTGATAATGCCAAATGCTATCTGATTTGGTGATGTTTGTATCAAGGGGGCCCCAATTAACCCCATAGTTCTCTGTATCCTCCTGATGTTGGTGAGGTGGCTTCACTTGCTCCTGGGGAGATACTCCAGCTGGGAAGAGTCCGGGATCAGCAATGCGAATCTGACGCAGCAGAACATTGCCCAAAAGAAAGGAGTTCCCATCAGCAATAAATCCTAATGAAAAAGTGAAAGAAACAGTTTTGTTTATATATTTTTTAAAATCTTTTTTTCCAGCACATCCAGAATGCAAAAAAAAGAAACGACGTGAAAAGTGCCGCATTAGGTTAGTAACGAGAAAAAATGCATACTTTCACCATTAGGTTTGAAAATATTTTTGGAGGTTCTAGATAATGCTATTAGGTAAGAAAAAGAAGTACGGCTGGATATGGTACATCACACCTGTAATCCCAGCACTTTAGGAGGCCAAGGCGGGAGGATGGCTTGAGGCCAGGAGTTCAAGACCACCCTGGGCAACACAGGTGTACACGGTCTTTATAGTAAAAAAAAAAAAAATGTTCAAGTAATGAGATATATAAAAATAAAAAAGTGAAATTATCACAATTTGTAAATGATATGTCTAATCTAGATGAATTAAGAGAATCGACTGAAAAACTGACCATTGAACAACACATGTTTGAACTGCACGGGTCCTCTTATAAGTAGATTTTCTCCCACCTCTGCCACCCCCGAGACACCAAGACTAACCCTCTGCTCTTCCTCAGCCTACTCCATGTGAAGACGATGAGGATGAAGCCCTTTGTCATGATCCACTTAATGAACCGTAAATTAGTTTATCTTCCTTATGATTTCCTTAATATTCTTTTATCTAGCTTATTTTAAGAATACAGTATCTAATACACATAACATACAAAATATGTGTTAATCAACTGTTATGTTATCAGTAAGTCTTCCAGTCAATAGTAGGCTATTAGTAGTTAAGTTTTTGAGGAGTCAAAAGTTAGACATGGGCCGGGCGCGGTGGCTCAAGCCTGTAATCCCAGCACTTTGGGAGGCCGAGACGGGCAGATCACGAGGTCAGGAGATCGAGACCATCCTGGCTAACACGGTGAAACCCCGTCTCTACTAAAAAAATACAAAAAACTAGCCGGGCGTGGTGGCGGGCGCCTGTAGTCCCAGCTACTCCGGAGGCTGAGGCAGGAGAATGGCGTAAACCAGGGAGGCAGAACTTGCAGTGAGCTGAGATCCGGCCACTGCACTCCAGCCTGGGCAACAGAGCCAGACTCCGTCTCAAAAAAAAAAAAAAAAAAAAAAAAAAGTTAGACATGAATTTTCATCTGCATCAGGGGCCAGCACCCCAAGCCCTGTGTTGTTCAAGGGTCAATTGTACTTACAAAAAGAATTCAGCAAGGTGGCTGGATACTAAATAAACAAAGAAATCAACAGTGTTCATATGGCCACACAATATTTACTTAGATAGTATACAGAAATCAAACATTTTTTGTTGAGATAGACTCTCACTCTGTTGCCCAGGCTGGAGTGCAGTGGTACAATCTTTGCTCACTGTAACCTCTGCCTCCCAGGTTCAAGTGATTCTCCTGCCTCAGCCTCCTGAGTAGCAGGGACTACAGGTGTTCCACTCAGCTACTTAAAAAAAATTTTTTTAGTAGATATGAGGTTTCACCATGTTGGCCAGGCTAGTCTGGAACTTCTGACCTCAGGTGATCTGCCCATCTTGGCCTCCCAAAGTGCTGGGATTACAGGCATGAAGTATCATACCTGTCCTAAAACATCTCATTTATAATAGTAACACAAAAGGTAAAATAAACCTAACGAGAGATGTGCAAAAATTCTATGGGGAACAATTCTGAATCTTACTGAGAGCTACAAATGAAGATGAAAACAAATAGAAAAGCATACCATGCTCTCAGGGAGGAAGAGAACATAATAAAAATCTTAATTCCCTAATCTTTATAGGTTCTTAGTCTATATCTCTATAAAGATCTAGATCTATAACTATATACATTCTTAATATATAAAAAGCTCCTACAAAACAAAACGGGTAAACAAAACCACACAGCCTGATAAAAAGTAGCCAAAGAATATGGGCGGATGCTTACTCATCCATTCTTTGTATCAGTATGTATTGAGTGCTCAAAGGCACCAGGTCCCGCCTAGGTACCCAGAATATAGCAATGGGTGTAACAGAGTCCAGGCCACCGAGAGCCCATATTTGAGGAGCAAGAGAGATGGGCAATAACCAAATAATATTCAGGTAATGCTAAGGGCTATGAAGAAAAATTAAGCAGAGTAAGGGGATCAAGAGTGATTTGGAGAGGGAGCAACGCTGTTACCTTAGGTAGGATCATCAGAGAAGCTTTCTCTGGGAAGATGGCATAGGAGAGGCCCTAACACAGTCAGAAATCAGTCACAAGGAGAACAGCAAGTTCCAAGGCCCTGAGTGAGAGCATGCTTGACATATTTAAGGAAAGCACAGAAGCTTGAGTGGCTGAAGTCGCGTGAACGAGGGTAAGAGGAGTAAGAGATGAAGTAACAGATGCAACTGGGGGCCAAACCGGGCAGGCCCTTGTAAGCTTTGGAAAGGACTTGGGACTTTTAAGTTTGATGGGAATCCACCGGGCGGTTTTCAACAATGAAGCAACAGATTTATGTCTTAAAAATAGAATATGGGGAGGATTGAGTGAAAAAAGGCAAAAGCATATGGACAAGTATTGCCCCTATGAAAAGGGAAAAAGCATGTCTTAGTTTAAACTTTCATTTTTCTGGGTGCAGTTACAAAGTCTTTCATATATTTCATGGACACTTGAATTGCTTGAAAACACCAATTTTCACCAGGCTGTCTCTTGGGAATGTGGGCAGGTGCTTTCATATATTGCTTCTTGTTTTTTTTTGTTTTGTGTTTTGAGACAGAGTTTTGCTCTGTCTCCCAGGCTGGAGTACAGTGGGACGATCTTGACTCACTGCAACCTCTGCCTCCCAGGTTCAAGCAGCTCTCCTCCCTCAACCTCCTGAGTAGCTAGGACTACAGGCATGCACCACCAGGCCAAGCTAATTTATGTGTGTGTGTGTTTTGTTTTTCTTTTTTTAGTAGAGACGGGGTTTCACTATGTTGACCAGGCTGGTCTCGAACTCAAGTGATCTGCCTGCCTTGGCCTCCCAAAGTGCTGGGATTACAGATGTGACCCACTGCACCCAGCCATATATCGCTAATAGCAGTGTTTATTGGTACACTATGACAATTTGGCCATCTCTTTCTAAATTAAAAATGTATATATACTTTGACCTAGCAGTCTTTTCCAAGGTATTTATCTTTCGATGTATTTGCACCTTTGTGGAATTAAGTACGTGCAAGGATATTAATGATAGTCTTGCTAACAATAAGCCTGGAAATGATCTAAAGACCTATCAGTAGGGAGCTGGGTATATAAATTATGGTACATCCATGCAGTGGGATACTATACAGTAAGTGAATAAAACATAATAGTGGCATCTTCATATGTGCTGATAGAACAAGCCCCAGATTCACTGTTAAGGGAAAAAAGCAAAATGCTTTTTTTTTTTTTTTTTTGAGGCAGAGTCTTACTCTGTTGCCCTGGCCGGAGTGCAGTGTGGTGTGATCTTGACTCACTGCAACCTCCACCTCTCCGGTTCAAGTGAGTTTCCTGCCTCAGCTTCCCAAGTAGTTGGGATTATAGGCACCCGCCACCACGGATGGCTAATTTTTGTCTTTTTAGTAGAGATGAGGTTTCACCATGTTGGCCAGGCTGGTCTCGAACTCCTGACCTTGTGATCCACCCATCTCCACCTCCCAAAGTGCTGAGACTACAGGCAGGAGCCACTGCACCCAGCCATTACCTTTGAAAGAATGTATAATAAATATGTATAATAAATTGGGACTGTAGCTGTCTTTTGAGAGGAGAGACGGGGATCTAGGGGACAAGGAAGAGCTGCACAATATACCCTTTAGTTGTACATTTGGATTTTCTTTTTTTTTTTTTTTTTTGATGCAGGGTCTCACTCTGTCACCCAGGCTGGAGTGCAGCGATGCGATCTTGGCTCACTGCAACCTCCGCCTCCCAGCTTAAGCATTTCTCCCACCCCAGCCTCCCAAGTAGCTGGGACCACAGGTCTGCATTACCATGCCCAGCTAATTTGTATATTTTTTGTAGAGATGGGGTTGCACCATGTTGCCTAGGCTGGTCTTGAACTCCTGGGCTCAAGTGATCCTGCAGCCTTGGCCTCCCAAAGTGCTGGGATTACGGGCATGAGCCACTGTGCCCAGCCAAGACACTACATACTACAGGAGCCAAGGAGTGCAAGAGAGACCATGCCTGCCGTGATGGTGCAGACCTCAGCCAGAGATCCAGTCACTATTTTTGTTCTTGAGATGAGGTCTTGGCTCTGCTCAGACTAGGGTGTAGTGGTGAGACCATGGCTCACTGCAGCCTTAAACTCCTGGGCTCAAATGATCCTCCTGCCTCAGACTCCCAAGCAGCTGGTACTACAGTCACGTGCAACCATGCCTGGCTAATTTTTTTTTTGTAGAGATGGGATCTTGCCATGTTGCCCAGGCTGGTCTTGAACTACTGGCTTCAAATGATACCCCTGCTACAGTATCCCAAAGCACTAGCATCACAGGCGTAAGCCACTGTTCCTGGCCCAGTTACCTTGATTTAGTATTTTGTTCAGGACAAGGTACAATTATAGACTGCAAGTAGCATGTGCCCTGGGCCAGGTGCGGTGGCTCATGCCTGTAATTCCATCACTCTGGGAGGCTGAGGTGGGTGGATCACCTGAGGTCAGCCTGGTCAATATAGCAAAACCCCATCTCTCCCAAAAATAAAAAAAATTAGCTGCGCATGGTGTGGGGCGCCTATAATCCCAGCTACTCAGGAGGCTGAGGGAGGAGAATCGCTTGAGCCCAGGGGATGGAGGTTGCAGTGAGACGAGATCACACCACTTTGCTGTAACCTGGGCGAAAGAGTGAAACTCCGTCTTGGGGGGGGAAAAAAAAAAAAAGAATGTACCCTGAACCCAGAACTGTCACCACCTAAAACTGAACTAAGGACACCAGACTGGGCAACATAGTGAGAACCTGTCTCTAAAAAAAATAATAATTAACTGGGTATGGTGGCACACACCTGTAGTCCCAGCTACTCAGGACGCTGAGGTGGGGGAATTGCTTGAGCCCACAAGTTCAAGGCTGCAGTGAGATGAGATTATGTCACTGCATTCTAGCCTGAGTGGGAGACTGAGACCCTGATTCTAAAAGTAAAATTAAAAAAAAAATTGAACTAAATAGATTCAACATGCAATAAATAGGAGTTATCATCTATAAAAACTCTCTCAAACACACTAACCACACCTTTAGGACTGTAAATGTTTGCTGAGATAAAAATGCATTTTAGATTCTTTTTCAGGAACCTAGGAAGTGATCCAAATCTCATCAGGAAGCCACCAATCCTGAGATAAACGAATGTAACAGTTTCCAGAATGCAGCTTACTTAACAAGATCTAAAGTTAAATAATGACAGTGTTGGTAACTGGTGGAAAAATTTTGAATACAAAACGTTCCTGGCAGATGCGGTGGCTCTCACCTGTAATCCCAGCACTTTGGAAGGCCAAGGTGGGTGGATCACTTGAGGTCAGGAATTTGAGACCAGCCTGACCAACATGGTGAAACCCCATTTCTACTAAAGGAAGCTGAGGCAGGAGAATCGCTGGAACCCGGGAGGCGGAGGTTGCAGTGAGCCAAGATCATGCCATTGCAATCCAGCCTGGGCAATGAGAGCAAAACTCTGCCTCAAAAAAAAAAAAAAAAAGAAAGCCAGATGTGGTAGTGCATGCCTGTAATCCTAGCTACTAGAGAGGCTGAAGCAGGAGAATTGCTTCAACCTGGGAGGTGGAGGTTTCAGTGAGCCTGGATTGTGCCACTGCACTCTGGCCTGCGTGACAGAGTAAGACTGTCTCCAAAAAAAAAAAAAAAAAAAATGCGATCCATAAGAAAGTCATTCTTTAGCATTTCTTCATCACTGTCCACAGCAAGGCATACTAACTCCTCTGCATGGTGGCGTTCCTTGAAGACACAAACCATATCGTGTCCATCTTTTCACTGTTAGCTCCTAGGACAGTTCCAAGCGTATTAGAGAAGTTCAATGCATTTTGTGGGGCTGAACTGGATACCCATGCAAGCAAAGTCACACAGACATCCTCACAGACTTGGGAAAGATGGCTCAGGCCAAAATAGCATCTCATGTGGAGATCCTCCAATGAACCCACATTCCTGGTTTTGCACTTACTGAACAGCCTTCTCTGCTATGTGTGGTTGAGTCCTAGAGGTCACTCTGGTTACTTCTCATGATGTAACTGAATCCACTGTCATTCTTGCTTGTCAGCCTTTTGTGAAGCTCATCAGTGGGGAATCGGCCCCATGGGCCTGGGTGAACAGATGTAACTGAACCTCCTTAGATGAAGTCCAGGGAACAAGCTCTTGGGATGCCCACAGGTACGGCCATATCAGAAAACACCAGCTGACCTTCCTCCACTTTCTCATAGATCGTGGTACAGGGTATTTGGAAAATTAATTGTACCCCATATTTGCAATGAATGGGCTTCAGGACTGCATTCTTACCTCTGTACTCCCCATACAGGCTAGGAAGGAGGATGTGATTGGCCCAGGGATAGAAATCCTGAAGAAGTTTGATTTCCGAGAATCGGGGCGAAAAGGTCTTCTGGATAGCTTGGTGGAGGTAAAATCTATTGGAGTTCTTTACAGAGCAGATTGCAGTCATCAACAGGGTAAGGAAAAGGATTTGTACTAGTTTAAAAGAGGAAAAAAATGTCATAGTTGAGTGGTTAACTTAGAAATCCTCTATGTCTTTTTCTTCATTTTCCTAAGTCTATAGACTTATGCAGGTCAAAACCAGTCAAAAATTGGCAGTTTCATATGGTTCAGTCTAATAATTATAAATACACACACTGACATTTCCTTCCCAGAATTATTCTGCCACTAATCATACATTTTACTTAAAATAAGATACATTGGCTGTGGCCAGGCACAGTGGCTCACACCTGTAGTCCTAGCACTTTGGAAGCTGAGAGGGGCAGATCACCTAATGTCAAGAGTTCAAGACCAGCCTGACCAACATAGTGAAAACCCCTATCTACTAGAAATACAAAAATGAGCTGGGCGTGGTGGTGTGTGCCTGTAATCCCAGCTAACCAGGAGACAGAGGTAGGAGAATCACTAGAACCCAGGAGGCACAGGATGCAGTGAGCTGACATTGCACTACTGCACTCCAGCCTGGGCAACAGAGTGAGTGTCAAAAAAAAAGAAAAAGAAAAATATACATAAAATCCCACACAAGAAATATGGTGTTCAGCTCTAAGGACCAAGCATGCGCTCTGTTTCACTCGTGTGATTGTGTTTACAAGAAGCAAAGTCATGATAAAAACAGAATTTGTCTTCTTTGGACTAGGGAATCCAGTAATGAACTAGATGTGTTGAAGCCAGTCAACTAGCACCTACAGAATAGCCGTTTGCCAAAGCATTTTCGTTTTCCCTCCCTAGATCGTGTTATTAAATTTTGCAGGTAGAGAAAGTGACTTACTCTAGCACAGAATGAAACCTCTAGACTCCAAGGTCAGGGGTCTGTCCAGTTACCATCCCACCTGCTTCACTGGAATCCCAAATCTCATGAGGTGAAGATTTTAAAAGACAGCTTTTCAACCCTTCTTTACTTTCCATTTTATTCTCTCTCTTCCTTTCCCTTCTGAAAAGGTGCTGTATTATCAATATGCTGCCATTTCCTCTCCATACCCAAAATATCTCCAGTCAGCTTGAAGAGTTTCTTCTTTTTCAAGGTTCTTTCTGGACGCTTAGTTGGACTATTCATAGCTGGGGCTACATAGATGGGGTTGTTCTTATCTCTTGAACCTGGTACTGACGAAGAACATTTTGCTGTCAAAAATTCAAATGCAGACCAAAGAAACGTTATATTTCATTAAGCGGCCACTCACCAGTCACTGAACATCTACTGTGCGCATTTCCTTTTAAATGTTAAACAAGCACTTCCTTTTAAATTTTAAATGTAAAACTGCCCACGCAGTGCTTCTTAAGCTCTCTATTATAAAGGACCTGTTTTTAAAACAATTCCAATCAGTTGAGGACTGATACTTTTGTACAATACAGTAAAAATGAGTTACTAGGCTGAACACAGTGGCTCATGCCTGTATTTTCAATTCTAGCACTTTGGGAGGCCAAGGCAGCAGGATCGCTTGAGGCCAGGAGTTAACCAGCCTGGTCAACACAGTGAGACGTTGTCTCTACAAAAAAAATAAAAAATTAGCCAGGCATAGTGGCACTTGCCTGTGGTCCCAGCTAGGGGAGGTGGGGGGAGAGGGGGGATATCAAGTATGGCAAGGTGGCCAGAGTTCCACTGATCTAATATGCTTTTTTCAAAATTAGGTAGTTGTTAGAACTACTTGAGTTACCCAAGAGTGCCAAGATCCTCTTTGTTTGTTGTTCCTTCTCTTTGTTAAGCTGTGGCATCCTGCTCATCATCAGTGAGTATAAGAATGTGAAGAAGACCACCTGGGCAGGAGAATTACAGGAGAACATTGTGAGCAGACGTTACAGACCCAGGAAGATAACACCATATGTAAAGGAAGAGGTGGGCACTCATGAAAAACTTCAATTATTTGGCTCTTCATGTTAATGAAAAACTAATTTCACAGTAATTTTTGCACAATGATGGGGACTAGGAGAAGGGCCATCAGACTCTAAATAATGTTAATATGTATATTTTTTGCTTATAGATCTTAATCTGGTTGGCTGGAGAAGCTGATACCGTCAAACGATTTGTGATGTCTATTCAATAACATCTCTCAGTATCTTTGGAAGACCTCTGATGAAAATCCAGACTTTTTTTTTTTTTTTGAGACGGAGTCTCGCTCTGTCACCCAGGCTGGAATGCAGTGATGCAATCTCGGCTCACTGCAACCTCGGCTTCCTGGGTTCAAGTGATTCTCTTGCCTCAGCCTCCCAAGTAGCTGGGACTACAGGTGCATACCACACGCAGTTTATTTTATTTTATTATTATTTTTTGAGACAGAGTCTCGCTCTGCTGCCCAGGCTGGAGTACAATGGCACGATCTCAGCTTACTGCAACCTCCGCCTCCCGGGTTCAAGTGATTCTCCTGCCTCAGCCTCCTGAGTAGCTGGGATTACAAGCACTCACCACCACACCTGGCTAATTTTTGTATTTTTAGTAGAGACAGGGTTTCGCCATGTTGGCCAGGCTGGTCTCAAACTCCCGACCTCAGGTAATCTGCCTACCTCGGCCTCCCGAAGTGCTAGGATTACAGGCGTAAGCCACCACAACTGGCCTGGGATTTCTGTATTCTTAATAGAGACAGGGTTTCACCGTGTTGACCAGGGTGGTCTTGAAATCCCAACCTCAATTGATCTGCCCGCCTTAGCCTCCCAAAGTACTAGGATTACAAGCGTGAGCCACCGCTCCTGGCCACTATGGATTTTCTGGAGATGGATCCTTAGATGTGAAACCTCTCTAGCAAAAGGATGCAGAATTTGCAGGTTGTCACTATATATTCCCAGACTTCCCTTAACCAGGACTGGCTGTTCATTTCCTTGGCATTACTGTGTATTATTATTTTTCTTTGCCATTATTAAAACAAAAATGCAATATGATAGTTTTATTGGACTAGCGAAGCTGAATTTCTTACATGTGTTTTGGCCACTGCAATCACAGGTTTTGCTTTAAAAAATTTATATCTTAACTTACATATAGTTAAAAAAAAGTTCGCTTCTTGGTGTATAATTCCATGAGTGTTGATTAATACTTACAGTTGTATATCCACCACTACAGTCAAGATACCAAGTTGTTTCATCACCCCCGAAACTCCCTCAGGCTGTCCCTTTATATTTATGTTTTAGAAGGAACAGTCCATATCTTTTAGAAATATAAAGTCTGAAATACATGAAATGGATACAATGATATGAAGTCTGCTATTGTTTCCCCAAATAATAGATGAAACAAGATTGGCCATAAGATGGTTATTGTTGAAGCTGAGTGGTAGGGCTTAGAATGCATTATACTAGTCTTCACACTTTTGTGTGGGTTTGACATTTTTCTCAATTAAAAACATTTTAAGTTTTCTGTTACTTTTTCAAAGTGGTTTGGGTTGTTGATTTGTTACTGTCCTCTTCGCTCCTCAATCCTTTTCTGCCATACTTATTAGTTTTTCTGTCATGAATTTCATGTATCCCTAACAAACGTCAGTTTGCCTTTTTCTTTTTGTTTTTTAGCGTTGAGACAGGGTCTTGCTCTGTCACCTAGGCTGGAATGCAGTGGCACAATCACGGCTTACTGCAGCCTCAACCTCTGGGCCAAGCCATCCTCCCACCTTAGACTCCCAAGTAGCTGGAACTACAGGAGCACACCACCATGCCTGGCTAAGTTTTTCTAATTTTTGTAGACATGGAGTTTCATCATGTTGCCCAGGCTGGTCTCAAACACCTGGACTCAAGCAATCTGCCTGCCTTGGCGTCCCAAAGTGCTGAGATTACATGCATGAGCCACTGCACCCAGCCTGGTTTGCCTATTTGTTTTTTGTTATGTTGCATTGTCAAAACCACTTGACACCCAGGGACCTCAGTGTCCCTAACTTCTGCAACTCCAGTGGTTCTTCCCGTCCCGCACATACCTTTCCTGGCTGGCTGATGAAGACGTTTTGAAGCACTGATAAAATAATTGAAATCATCCAGCTGGTGGCTTGGTCTTTGCTCAATTCCAAGCTATAAAGTGCTGTAAAAAAGGCTGAAGCCAGGCTAGTCAGACCTAGGAGGAGCCAGCAGACTGCAGTTAACCATTTGGACAGGCCATTAGAGATGGGCTTTTTCCCTTCTTCTGAGCTCAGGATGGCGAAACTGGTGACTTCCCTGAAGCACAAAAGTTGAAGGAATAATCCCATAAGCATCAGCTGAGAGAGAGGATGAAGAAGATTACAGGGATAAAGAAGGCTTGGTGTGCTGCATTACCTGGATGGCTCTTGCTCCGTGGGAAGAATATGTATTTCCAAGAGTTCCTGGAGTTTTTGAAGTTGTCTGGCTGCATCTAGGAAGTCACAGGGCTGGTGACCCTGGGTGAGACCCAGCGTGCCTAAGTGAGATTTCAGCCTCTGCAGAACTCTACGCAGGTAACAGCAGAAATGATGGTGGTTTTCAGGAACAACTGAAAATATATTTCAAGTTGACACTCACAAGTAGATTTTTTTTTTTTTCAATCAGTGCTGACGAGGTTGGCCTCGAACGTGTAGCCTCGCCTCCCCGAGTGCCAGGGCAACTAGCCTGAGTCAGGGCAGCTCCCATCACAAGTGGATTTCCATAAGGAGCAATTAGTGGTAGAGATGAACAATTCATTAATTGATTTGAGGCTGTATTTTCCCACTAGCAGAGACTGGACTGTACCCAACCCTTGCAGTACTACCATCTTCTCTGAGGATGCCGGTGAATTTGTAGCAATTGTAAAATTCTAAGCTTTGATCTAAAGACTTTTAAAACCTATTTACTGAGTGCTTCACCAGAGTGGCAGTACATGTGACCTATACTAGTATGTGCTCAGGAGACTCAAATTGTATTTAAGAATCCATAAATTTCATAATCTCACCATCTCATAAAAGAAAAAGGATGACAAGTTTCAACAGTCTTCGACAAAGCAGATAGGATATGTGGGTCTAATACAGAAAACATTTTTTCTGTTTTTTTTTTGTTGTTGTTGAGATGGAGTCTTGCTCTGTCGCCCAGGCTGAGTGTAGTGGCACAGTATTGGTTCATTGCAACCTCCACCTCCCAGGTTCAACTGATTCTCCTGCCTCAGCCTCTCTAATAGCTGGGATTACAGGCATGTGCCACCACCTCCTGCTAATTTTTGTATTTATGGTAGAGACAGGGTTTCATCACATCATCAGGCTGGTTTTGAACTCCTGACCTCAGGTGATTGCACGCCTTGGCCTCCCAAAATGCTGTGATTACACATGTGAGCCACCCTGCCCGACCTGTGTTTCTTTTTTTTTTCCGAGACGGAGTCTGACCATGTTGCCCCGTCTGCAGTGTAGTGGCCCGATCTCAGCTCACTGCAACCTCTGCCTCCTGGGTTCAAGCAATTCTCCTGCCTCAGCCTCCCCAGTAGCTGGGATTGCAAGCGCCCGCCCCCACGCCCAGCTCATTTTTGTATTTTTAGTAGAGACAGGGTTTCGCCATGTTGGCCAAGCTGGCCCTGATCTCCTGACTTCAGGTAATCCGCCCACCTTGGCCTCCCAAAGGGCTGGGATTACAGGCGTGAGCCACCATGCCTGGCTTGTGTTTTTTACTTAATCCTGTACTTTGTATCACCAGATAGAGATAGATTGTCCAGAAATCATCAAGGGGAACAAAGCTATCAACTCCATATTAGAAGCTTAAGGAAATTAAAACAACCAGAAGGTTGTATCAGGCCTGTTGGTTATGAATGAGTAAGAAAGTAAGAGACATGCAAGGGAGTGGGAGGCGGATGGAAGACTGTTACTGAAATCTACTGAAGTTTACCACGTGCCCAGTGGCGCTCTGCCTGCTGATGACAGCTTTGACCCTCCAGGTGAGACGATATGAGGCTGGATAAAAGTTTCACCAGCTTAGTAACGTCACAAGAACTCCATGGCGGCTGCTCACACTTGGAGAGTAGGTATGTATCTCTCCTGAGCAGGAATCTCACAGTTTCCTTTAATTCCTGAATGTAGGACCAAGATGAGAAAAATCAGCCTGTTTTTCATTAACCCAGCATTTGTAGCAATTACAGGTGGTAAGGCCGTTTCCTTTAGTCAGAAGGGGATTTGCTTAGCATGAAGAACCGCAATTTTTCATGTTCCTTGAATTTTTCAGAAAGCAGTCACCTCACAGCTCACGGTAGCTTTAATATCACTTTCATGAGAGAATACAGAATGAAAAAAGAGACAATTTGATCAAACATCAAAGACTACAGCAAGGCCAGAGTAGTGCCCACGCACTCCCATTTAGTTCTCAGAATACTTAATCATCAAGAGTAAAAGCTAAGCGTGTGGTTGATCACAGCTCAGGGGACAGGAACTGGGAAAAATGTATTACAGGTAACAGGACCCTGACAGCCTCCCATGAGATTCTTCCCACTGCTCTCTTCCACTGCGTGGGGAAGGGGAGCATGTCATTTTTTCTTTTTTTTTGAGACAGAGTCTTGCTCTGTCGTCAGGTTGGAGTGCAGTGGCGCGATCTCGGCTCACTGCAACCACTGCCTCCTGGGTTCAAGCGATTCTCCTGGCTCAGCCTCCTGAGTAGCTGAGACTACAGGCTCATGCCACCACACCCGGCTTTTTTTTTTTTAAATCTTTAGTAGAGACGGGGTTTCATCGTGTTAGCCAGGACGGTCTCGATCTCCTGACCTCGTGATCTGCCCACCTCGGCCTCCCAAAGTGCTGGGATTACAGGTGTGAGCTACCATGCCCGGCCGGGAGCATATAATTTATCTGTAAAATTTGATACTGGCTGGGTGTGGCGGCTCACGCCTGTAATCCCAGCTCTTTGGGAGGCCAAGGTGGGAGAATGGCTTGAGCCCAAGGGTTTGAGACCAGCCTGGACAACACGATGAAACCCTGTCTCTACAAAAAAAAAAAAAAAAAAAAAAAAAATTGCCAGACATGGTGTCACATGCCTGTAGTTTCAGCTACTTGGGAGGCTGAGGTGGGAGGATCACTTGAGCCTGGGAGCTTGAGGCTGCCACAGTGAGCTGAGGTTGCACCACTGCACTCTCCAGCCTGTGCAACAGAGCCAGACACTATCTCAAAACAAATAAGCAGGCAATAAAATAAAATATAAAATAAAATTTGATATCAAACTTACCTCAACTACGATTGCGGCAGAGACAGGCTCAACAGAAGCATCTGAGAGGCAGGAGGCCTGGACGGGAGGAAAGAGGGGCAGAGTCTCCTGTGGCTCAATCAACGGGAAGAGCCGCCCAATGACAAGATTGATGGGGAAGAGGATGACAGCAGTGTGGATGCTGATCAGCAGCTCAGACCAGGCCACACCAAATGGACCCACTGAAAGAAAAGCACAACGTCAACTTTTATCGTCAACAATTAACATAATCGCAAAGTCATTCCTCTCCTAGGTTTAACTATTCACTGAGGAAGTTAACTACATTTATCTCGGGATAAAATTATCATGGCAGTAAAGACCATGTTGTGTTCCTAATATTGCTTCATTTATTAATGAATGAGAACACCGAGAACATTTGTTAGAGTATTCTAATGTCAGGGCAGTGGAGGAAAAATGAAGGCACAATGTATTAGTCTGTTTTCACATTGCTATAAAGAACTACCTGAGACTGGGTAATTTATAAAGAAAAGAGGTTTAATTGACTCACAGTTCTTCATGGCTGGGGAGGCCTCAGGAAACTTACAATCATGGCAGAAGGTAAAGAGGAAGCAAGACACCTTACATGGCATTACAAAGCATTACAAAGCACTACAAAGCACCTTACGTGGCATTACACTTTACATGCCTTACAAAGCAAGGCATCTTGCATGGCGGCAGAAGAATGACAGGGGAACTGCCACACACTTTTTTATCCCCCCGAGATGGAGTTTTGCTTTGTCACCCATGCTGGAGTGCAGTGGCGCAATCTCAGCTCACTGCAACCTCTGCCTCCGTGGTCCAGTTCAAGCAACTAAACCATCAGATCTCATGAGAACTCACTCACTATCATGGGAAAAGCATGGGAGAAACTGCCCCCATGATCCAGTCACCTCCCAGCAAGTCCCTCCCCCAATACAGGGGGATTACAGGTGGATGGAGATTCGGGTGGGGACACAGAGCCAAACCATATCACACAACATGATTCTGTTTCTAACCCTGAAAGTAAGGAGAATGGAATACAGTAATAGTATTACATAGTAGGCTAGGCATGGTGACTCATGCCTGTAATCCCAGCATTTCAGGAGGCTGAGGCAGGAGGATCACTTGAGGCCAGGAGTTCCAGACCAAGCCTGGGTAACAGAGTGAGACCCTGTCCAAAAAAAAAAAAAAAAAAGGATTGCTTACTACAAACAACACACATCAGGGCTCATCCGTACATTGCTTATCTCTCTTGGCAGTGGTGCTGTTTATCTTCCAGAACATAACATTAATGACCATGTTGCAGAGTAGCAGTGTCATGCAGCAAGACAGCCGTTGGACCCTTGTAAACTGGTTCCAGGGATGCCGAGTTGCAACTGAAAGCCACAGATAATCCTGGGTGAACTTTTCGACAATCATGGAGGAAAACAGATGTCTGAAAAGAGAAATTAGAAGAGGAAATACATGAGATTTTATTCTGAAAGTGCACCAGTTTAAGATGTGATTTGCCCAGCAACAAGCAACATGACAGCTCCCCAGCCTCTGTTCAACACCTCTGTGAATAAGCTTTCCGATATCGTAATTCTTCTATTTAAATTCTTTTACCACCACACAAATGTGTCCATGTAAGATTCTTTTGTTATTTTAGGATAAAAGGTTGTTGAGGATAATTTATACAGTATGCGAGTTTAAAATTAAAAATGGTTGTTTTAGCTTTATAAGAGTTTTGATAAATCTTTTACTCTTCACAAGTTTACATTAAACTACTGCTCAAAATAGTTTGGTAAATTCATACTCTGAGCACTTTCTCTACTCCAAATATGGAGGCACTATAAATAATATCTAAAAAGAAAGAACCAAAAAGACTTTGCTGGGCTTAAACACAAAATAAACCTTTCTGAGGAAGAGAAGCAGAATGAGAGAACAAGGTGGTGAGAGTGAGGTAGAAGCCACAGGATTACCGAGCTCCTGATCTGGAAGAAGCCAGTACAAAAGTGGGAGCTTGACTTTTGTAGGGTAACTGAACTCAAAATGTTTCACTGGGTACAGGAAAGGGCGGGACAAAACCAACTTCACTGCTAGAAGCTAGGGTTGAGGCTGGAGCTCATGAAAGGATACGTCAGAACAAAACCACCTCTGTAGGGCAACACATTTATATTAAGGAGGTGAGGAAAAAAAGGACAGCTTCATGACCGGCAACTGAGTCAAGAGATCCAAGACTCATGACAAGATCTGCAATACTCCTAGTTTCATTAATTTCACTGAAAAATAGGAGCTCCAAAGTTCCATATAATAAGGCCCAGTTCTAGACTAGAGATGTGAAGGGGTGGAATGAAAACAGTAGCAAAACCACTCAGGGATGGTGTTTGTGGTGGAAGGGGTGGGAGGGATGGTATGTGTGTGTGTGGAGGTGCAGTGGTAGGGAGAGGAGTGGGAGGGAGAGGGAAAATAATCCAGCCCAAAAGAAATTAATGTAATGGGACCCAGGAGGCAGAGGTTGCAGTGAGCCGAGATCGCACCATTGCACTCTAGCCTGGGCTACAAAGAGAGACTCCATCTAAAAAAGAACAAAAAAAGTGGTGTATGTAAACACACACACACAATGGAGTATCATTTAGTTTAGTTTTTTGTTTGTTTTTGAGACAGGGTCTTGCTGGGTCACCAGGTTGGAGTGGAGTGCAGTGGTGAGATCTTAGCTCACTGCAACCTCCATCCCCCTGACTCAAGTGATCCTCCCACCTCAGCCTCCCAAGTAGCTGGGACCACAGATACACACCACCACATCTAATAGGGTTTAGCTGTATCCCCACCCAAATTTAATCTTGAATTGTAGTTTCCAAAATCCTCTCCTCTGTCATGGGGGGAACCAGGTGGAGATAACTGAATCATGGGGTTGGTTTCCCCCATCCTGTTCTTGTGATAGTGAGCGAGTTCTCACAAGACCTGATGGTTTTATAAGGTGCTCCCCACTTCACTGGGCACTCATTCTCCTTGCTGCTACCATGTGAAGAAGGATGTGTTTACTTCCCCTTCTGCCATGATTGTAAGTTTCCTGAGGCCTCCCAAGCCATGCTGAACTGTGAGTGAATTAAACATCTTTCCTTTACAAATTACCGAGTCTTAGGCATGTCTCTCCATAGCAGCATGAGAATGTACTAAATACAACACCTGGCTAATTTTTGTATTTTTTGTAGAGATGGGGTTTTGCCATGTTGCCCAGGCTGGTCCTGAACTCCTGAGCTCGAGTGATCCACCTGTCTCAACCTCCCAAAGTGCTGGGATTCCAGGTGTGAGCCACTGCACCTGGCCCTCACTTAGCTTTAAAAAGGAAGAATTTTTTTTTTTTTTTTTTTTTTTTTTTTGAGACGGAGTTTCACTCTTGTCGCCTAGGCTGGAGTGCAATGGCGCGATCTTGGCTCACTGCAACCTTCACCTCCCAAGTTCAAGCAATTCTCCTGTGTCAGCCACCCAAGTAGCTGGGATTACAGGCACCCACAACCATGCCTGGCTAATTTTTGTATTTTTAGTAGAGATGGAGTTTCACCATGTTGGCCAAGCTGGTCTCGAACTCCTGACCTCTGGTGATCCACCTGCCCTGGCCTCCCAAAGTGCTAAGATGATGGGTGTGAGCCACTGCACCCAGCCCAAAAAGGAAGGAAATTCTTGCACATACTACAACAGGAATGAAACTTGAGGACATTATGATAAATGAAATAAGGTAGTCACAGAAAGACAAATACTGTATGGTTCTGCTTACATGAGGAATGTGAAGCAATGAAGTGTACAGAAATAGAATAGTTGCCAAGGGTTGGAAGGCGGAGGAAACAGGAAGTTGTTCACTGGGTGTAGAGTTTCAGTTTTGCAAGGTGAAAAAGTTCTGGAGCTCTGTTGCACAGCAATGTGAATACATACACTACTACTGAACTAAACACTTAAAAATGTTAAGATGGTAAATGTTATGGTTTTTTCCATAACTTTAAAAATTGTAAAAATAGTGTAAACATAAACATAAATAAATATATAGCTTGCAACATTTCTGCCTTAAAAAATAACTACATGCAGCAGTGATTATAAATCTATGTTATGGACACACAATACATGAAGATGTAATTTGTATGACAACAGTAGCACAAAGGAGCAGGAAGGGAACTGAGCTATAAGAGTGAAATTTTTGTATACTATTGAAATTAAGTTGATAGTAATCCAGCTAGGTTGTCATAAATTAGAATTTTAATTACATTCCCCAGGGGAGGCATAAAGAAAATAATTTAAAAAGATATAGTAAAAGATATGACAAAAGAACAGGGTAGACTGGAAAATATCCATTTAACACAGAGAAGGCAGTGATGTCCACTGGGAGATTCTATGCCAGTAGGTGTGGGTAACTGTTGAACCCCATTTGTGATGGAGATTAAAAAAAAAGGCAGTGATAAAGAAACAGAGGAACAAAAAAGATACGGTACAGACAGAAAACAAATAGCAACATGGCAGATACAAACCTCACCTTATTAGTAATTATATCAAACGTAAATAGGTTAAACTCACAAATTAAAAGATAGAGATTGGCAGAATGGACCAAAAAATGCCTAATCCAGCTATATTCTGTCAACAAGAGACATAATTTAGATATGAAGACACAAATGAACTGAAATTAAAAGGATGGGCAGGTAGTGGTAGCTCATGCTTGTAATCCCAGCACTTTGGGAGGCCAAGGTGGGAGGATCATTTGAGGGCAGGAGTTCGAGACCAGCCCGGCAAACATGACAAAACCCCATCTCTAATAAAAACACAAAAATTAGCCAGGCATGGTGGCAAGTGCCTGTAGTCCTAGCTACTCGGGAGGCTAAGGCAGGAGAATTGCTTGAACCCGGGAGGTTGCAGTGAGCCAAGATCACGCCACTGGACTAAAAAGATGGAAAAAGGTATTCCATGTAAACAGCAATCAAAAAAGGGCTGGAGTGGCTATACTAATAATATAAGACAAAATATACTTCAAGACAAGAATTATTACTAGAGGTAAAGGACATTTTATTAAAGGGTCAGTCTATTAAGAAGATAAATTCGCCTGTGCTCACTTGTTTTCTTGCAAGTCAAATGAAGTGTTACCAGCCAGCCATATAGCTGTCACAGTGTTTCTGCTTAGGAACTGCTCCACAGGCAGAAGACAATGTATTAAAATCTTCAACGTGTTAAGGGAAAAATAACAAAAAATTTCTATCCAGTTAAATAGCTAACTATGAGTCAAGAGTAAAGATGGACACACACTTCTCATTAGAACTATTAAAAGAGCTACTTCAACAAGAAAAAAGCCCAGAGTAACGATAAGAAATACAGAAAACTGGCTGGACGCGGTAGCTCACACCTGTAATCCCAGCACTTTGGGAGGCCGAGGTGAGCAGATCACCCTGAGGTCAGGAGTTCGAGACGAGCCTGGCCAACATGGTGAAACCCCATCTGTACTAAAAATACAAAAACTAGCCAGGCGTGGTGGAGGGTGCCTGTAATCCAGCTACTCAGGAGCCTGAGGCAGGAGAATCGCTTGAATCCAGGAGGCGGAGGTTGCAGTGAGATGAGATCACATCACTGCACTCCAGCCTGGGTGACACAGCGAGACTCCATCTCAAAAAAAAAAAAAAAAAAGCCGGGCATGGTGGGTCATGCCTGTAATCTTAGCACTTTGGGAGGGTGAGGCGTGCAGACTGCCTGAGAGCAGGAGTTTGAGACTAGCCTGGGCAACAGAGTGAAACCCCATCTCGACTAAAATACAAAAAATTAGCCAGGCGTGGCAGCATATGCCTGTTATCCCAGCTACTTGGGAGGCTGAGAAAGGAGAATTGCTTGAACCTGGGAGGCGGAGGTTGTAGTAAGCCGAGACTGCGCCACTGCACTCCAGCCTGGGTGACAGAGCAAGACTCCCGTCTCAAAACAAAAAAAAAGCCACAAAAAGAATACAGAAAACTAAGCTGGGCACGGTGGCCCTCACCTGTAATCCCAGCACTTTGGGAGGCCAAGGTGGGCGGATCACCTGAGGTCAGGAGTTTAAGACCAGCCTGACCAACATGGAGAAACCCCGTCTCTACTAAAAATACAAAATTATCTGGGCGTGGTGGCGCATGTCTGTAATCCCAGCTGCTTAGGGGGCTGAGGCAGGAGAATCACTTGAACCTGGGAGGCAGAGGTTGTGGTGAGCTGAGAGAGCTGAGATAGGGCCATCGTACTCCAGGCTGGGCAACAAGAGCGAAACTCCGTCTCAAAAACCAACCAACCAACCAACCAACCAACCAACCAACCAACCAAACAAACAAAAAGCAAAGAATACAGAAAACTAAAATAAACAGAAAAATTACATTATTAATATATTTAACTGTGAATTATGAAAGGAAAGCCTTTTTTGTGCATCTAAAAACATAATGGTAAAACCAAACCACTAGAGAGTAATTCAAAACATGGGAATTGGGAGAGAGGTTACTCAAGAATGGTTAAAGCATTGCTAATTCTTTGTCATGTTCCGGCAGAAGAAACATTCTTAGAAAATTAATATAGAGAAAAAGCGTGTTAAAAATTAAAAGTAACCAATAAAAAGAATTAGAAGAGGAAAAAGAGGAACAGAAGCAGGAAGTGGAAAAAGAAGAGGAGAAAGAGGAAAAAAATACAATGTATAGTTTCTAAACCAGCAAAGATTAAAAAATACAAGAAGTGGCCAGGCATGGTGGCTCACACCTGTAATCCTAGCACTTTGGGAGACCAAGACATGCAGATTACTTGAGCCCAGGAATTTAAGACTAGCCTGGGCAACATGGTGAGACCCTGTTTCTACAAAAAATAGTTTTAAAATTAGCCAGGCGTGGTGGCACACACCTGTAGTCCCAGCTACTCAGGGAGCTCAGGTGGGAGGATCACCTGAGGCCAGCAAGGTTGAGACTGCAGTGAGCTGTGATCATGCCACAGCACTCCAGCTTGGGTGATAGAGCAAGACCGCATCTCAAAAAACAACCAACCAACCAACCAAGAGGCAGAGAACCTTAAAAAAACCACAAAACCTGTCAATTTGACAATGTGGAAAGTAGATAGAGAATGGATTATAACAAATAATGCAAAATAATATGGTAAAGTAAGTCCAAATGGATCGGTAATCATAATTAATGTAAACATAGTAAAGTCATGTATCAAAAGATAGACATTATTAGATCTGGTTTTTTAAATATCCAGTTATATGTTGCTTGCAAGACATAACTCTAAGCAAAACCATAAAAAAGGCTGAAAGTAAAAAGATAAGAACAAACAATAGAAATAATATCAGTATGTCAACTTTCTTTAGTTAATATAAAATGGAATTTAAGATACAAAGTGTCAACAGGATCAAAGGGAGATCTATATAATAAAACCCCCAGTGTCTCCAGAAGAAATAACATGCACTTAAATGCTCCTAATAAATATCCAATAGACATATAAAATATGTCTGTATGGTAAAAACTTATGTAACTGAAGGAGAATTAAACTCACAGTCATTCCTCTATTGGAAACACAGAGATTAAACAAATAAAAAATCACATTTCAACAAAAATGTTTGAATAAATATACCTATGTATGTTTTAAAAATACTAGAACTTTGGATGCAATGGTGTATGCCTGTAATCCTAGCTACTCAGGAAGCTGAGGTGGGAGGACTGATTGAGCCTAGGTGTTTGGGACCAGCTTGGGCAACATAGTGAGACCCTATCTCAAAAATCAAAACAAAACAAAGCAAACCTAGGACTGCATCGGGTCTAGGGAGGGGAAATAGTATTCACCACTCCTTAAGTTTTCATAAAGGAGAGACAATTTCTGCCAGTTTATTCCTATACAAAAGTAACACACAATTTAAAATGTGTATTTCTTGTTTGTTTTGGAGACAGGAACTCATTGTTTTTTTGTTTTTATTTTATTTTTTTCCCACTTCTTGCTTGCTGAGAGTCCCTGATTTTTGGTTTCAAGACTTATTTGTTTTGAGATGGAATCTTTGCTCCTTTGCACAGGCTGGAGTGCAGTGGCACGATCTCAGCTTATTGCAGCCTCGACCTCCCGGGTTCAAGTGATTTTCCTGCCTCAGTCTCCCCAGTAGCTGGGACTACAGGCATGCACCACTGTGCACGGCTAATTTTTGTATTTTTGGTGGATAAGGGGTTTCACCATGTTGGCCAGGCTGAGCTCAAACTTCTGACCTCAGGTGATCTGCCCACCTCAGCCTCGCAAAGTGTTGGGATTACTGGAGTGAGTCACCATACCCGGCCCTCCCCCTTGAATCTGATTTTCAAAGTGAGGACATAAAAGGCTGAAGCCCCTACTTAGTTCTGTTGAACTGCCCATTCTGGAGGGAGACAGCCACCCTATGAAAAAGGCCACTCTCCTGAGGCTGGAGCCACGCGTAGGTGCTTTGTTGACAGCCACAGATAAGCTCTCAGTTGACAGCCAGCGCCCCCTGCTGACCTTGTGAGCGAATAATTTTTGGAAATCTATCAGGAACTTACAGGTGAGTACAGACCCAGCCAGGATGAAAGAGCCGGAGGGAAAACTCCCCAGCCATGGCCTTACTGAATTTCTGACCCACAAAACCAGGAGAAAAGTAAAGTGGTTGTTTTAATCCACTCAGTTTTGGGAGCAATTTGTTACGCAGCAAGTGTTATTGGAGCAGATCTTAATAAAGAAATAGACATTTCTTGCTGTTCTGGACATCCTAACTACTCAATCACACAAGATCGGGATAGGAGTCCGGTCTCAGAAGAAACAGCTCCATGTTTTTGCCTTTAGGCATTTTAATGTAAGGACATGGTGTTTGGTTGGTTGGTTTTGTTGTTGTTTTGAGACAGGGTCTCTCTCTGTCGCTGAGGCTGGAGCGCAGTGGCTCTATCTTGGCTCACTGCAACTTCCGCTTCTCGGGTTCAAGCCACTCTTCTGACTCAGCCTCCCAAGAAGCTGGGACTACAGTCTCATGCTACCATGTCTGGCTAATTTTCATACTTTCGGTAGAGATGGGGTTTTGCTATGTTGGCCAGGCTGGTCTCAAACTCCTGGCCTCAAGTGATTTGCCCACCTTGGCCTCTCAAAAGTGCTGGGATTACAGGCGTGAGCCACCATGTCCGGCCAGGACATGACGTTTGGGCCTCTTGCAATCATTTTGTTCCCATGAGGAAAAAGCCGAGAGCCCTAATATTGAACCGGAAAGCTGAAGATAAGAAGGATGTCACATAGCAGAGGTATATTCTCCTAGGCATATTCTCATCTTTAGCATTCAGGAGACATAGAAAGATACATGGATACCTAGAAAGATACAGAAGTCAATACGCACATTATACTGTTCTCCTGGTCTGAATTCACCAGTACCACATTGCTTTAATTATTTTGGTTTACTAGCATCTTTGTATTTTTTGAGACGGAGTTTCACTCCATCACCCAGGCTGGAGTACAGTGGCAATCTCAGCTCACTGCAACCTCCACCTCCCAGGTTCAAGCACTTCTCCTGCCTCAGCCTCCTGAGTAGCTGGGATCACAGGCGTGCACTACCACACCTGGCTAATTGTTGTATTTTTAGTAGAGTCAGGGTTTTGCCATATTGGCTAGGCTGGTCTTGAACTCCTGACCTCAAGTGATCTGCCTGCCTAGGCCTCCCAAAGTGCAGGGATTGCAGGCGTGAGCCACGGTGCCCGGCCAGTTTACTAGTGTCTTTGAAAATCAGTTGAAGGCTACAGCCCTCTCATACTTTCCTTTATTTTTATATTTTGTTCTCATAAATAGAAGTAGTGGTATCCTTTTTATATTCTATTGATCTGAGTGATTGTTTTATTCCTTGATATCTTAGTAAATTATTTATAAATGATTCTCTAGGTTAACAGTTTCAGAAAATAAGGGCACTATTTATAATTTTTATACTGCAAATGTCTTTTTGTCTTCCTTCTGATTTTTAAGGTAATGCTTACACCATTTACAACCACAACAGTAAAGCTTATGTATGTTTGAAATAATATATTAATAAAATGTTAATTTGCATTAAAAACAATTCAACAGTGAACAATTCAATTAATAGTGAACATCAATGTTCACTGTTAATAGTAATTTTCCAACAGTACCTAAAGGAAAAGAGCTGTCTCTTTGAAACTGGGATGAAGACGCGGTCAAGCTCACAGTCTCCGAGGTCCACAGCCAGCCAGCAATTGCACAGGAAATGCCACTTCCTCTTCACTGCCATGTCACAGACAATTACCTGGCTGACATACCTGTAGTAAAATGAAGATAATCACGTTAGGCAGGTGGGCTCGAACCAGTTGTTTGTAGTAAGACGTAACCTCGGACCATTAGTAAACTGTCCAAGTAAATGAACTGTTTCATTGCAAGGCAAGAACTAAAGAAAGGAAAGTTGGACATGGTGGTGCGCGCCTGTAATCCCAGCACTTTGGGAGGCTGACGCAGGCGGATTGCTTGAGCTCAGGTGTTTGAGCTCAGCTTGGGTGACATGACAAAATCCCATCTTTACAAAAATATATAAAAATTAGCTGGGCGTGGTGGTGTATGCCTGTAGTCCTAAGCTACCTGGGAGGCTGTGGTGGAAGGATTGTTTGAGCCCGGGAGGTCAAGGCTGCAGTGAACTGAAATTGCACCACAGCATTGTAGCTTGGGTGACAGACTTGAGACTCTGTCTCAAAAAATAAAAACAAAGAAATGAGAGTAGATCTTTCCCTTCCCAACTTCTAAGGGAGTTCACGTACTAGACACCAGACTGCAAACCTTTCTCACGTATGAATAGCTCAGTATGTATATATACTTTTTATAACCTTTCTCTGTCCCATATGTGACAGTGGCTTGCCACCTTTTCAAATATCCCATCTGCCTCTCTTTCATCATCGGGGTATAAATGGGGTGTAGTCTTTAACGTTTACATTAATGACTTTTCGCTCTCCTTAGCCTCATCTCCACTTCACAGAGCCACAGGCCCTGAGAGTTCATCCTTTTCCCAACCACAGTGTTTTATCACTAACTTCTCCACTGCCTTCAGCTGTTTACACACTTGTCCTCTGGGGCACCTGATTGTACAACCTATTTGATTTCACCTCACAACTAGTCAGCAAACCTCCTCCTTTACTGGAATGAGGCTATTTTCCCCAAGGGTCTGTGTTTCGTGTCATGAAACCACTTAAATTTCTCTTGTCAAAATCTTAATTTTAGTTGAAAGTTATTTTCTGTGTTGGGAATATAGACTCCTTTAAACCTAAAGTAATTCTGGGGACTGTCTCACTGAAGCAGTTTATAAAACAACAGGTGACTAAGTTGCATTTGATTCAACCAGGGAGTGCATTTTATACATATAAAGCTTTCACTTAAAAGCAAAGTATGGGCCAGGGGTGCTGACTCATGCCTGTAATCCCAGCACTTTGGGAGCTGAGACGGGTGGATTGCTCGTGCTCAGGAATTTGAGACTAGCCTGGGCAATGTGGTGAAACCCCATTTCTATTTAAAAAAAACACAAAAATTAGCCAGGGATGGTGGTGCATGCCTGTGGTCCCAGCTACTCAGGAGGCTAAGGTGGGAGGATCACTTGAGCCCGGGAGACAGAGGTTGCAGTGAGCTGTGATCATGCCACTGCACTCCAGCCTGGGTGACAGAGCCAGACCCTGTCTCGGAAAATAAGAAAATAAAAGCAAGGTATAATAAAAGCAGAATAAAACAAAATAAAGAAGAAAATACTTATTTTCTGGTTGGTGAGAAACTATTCCCAGGCTTTTTGTGTGTCCAGTGTAACTTTTACTCTTATATTCTTTCAAATAGAAGAAAAAGTAGAGAATCCAAAGTGAGTGTTAGGAAAGTCTAGTTGAGACATTCACTATGATTAGCAGAAATATTATGGAAAAAATTGTCATTTGCTACAAAAAGAAAAAAAGGACTGGCAGTCTTTTTTATGGGAGGTGATTCTTTTGCTTTTCTGTGCTTTCCAAGTTTTCTGCATTAAAGCACATACACTGTTTGCAATTAATAACATAAAAACAGGCCAGGTGCGGTGGTTCACACCTGCAATCCCAGCACTTCGGGAGGCCAAAGTAGGAGGATTGCTAGAGCCCATGAGATTGAGACTGGCCTGGGCAACACAGGGAGACCCCATCTCTATAAAAAATAAATAAATAAGAAAAATTAGCCGGGTGTGGTGACGTGTACCTGAGGTCCCAGCTCCTTGGGAGGCTGAGGTGGGAGGATCATTTGAACCCAGGAGGTCAAAGCTGTGGTGAGCCATAATCATGTTACTGCACTCCGGTCTGGGCAACAGGGTAGGACCTCAAACAACAATGAATAAAACAGAAATGAAAAGAAAATCAAATGGTGACTAGAGAATGCCTTCAAAAGAGCTTTAAGGGCAGGGCGCAATGACTCACACCCGTAATCCCAACACTCTGGGAGACTGAGGTGGGTGCACTGCTTGAGGCCAGGAGTTTGAGACCAGCCTGGCCAACACAGTGAAACCCTATCTCTACTAAAAACACAAAAATTAGCTGGGTGTAGTGGCGCATGCCTGTAGTCTCAAGTACTCGGGAGTCTGAGGCACGAGAATCACTTTAACTTGGGAGGCACAGGTTGCAGTGAACTGAGATTGCACCACTGCACCCCAGCCTGGGTGACAGCACCAGACTCTGTCTCAAACAAAACAACAAAAAAAGAGCCGTAATACCTGATAGGAAGCTCTGGAGGTGACACATAATCCTGAGAATTTAATTGTAACGAATACTTATTGTTACAATATTAATTATAACTTAATTTTAACAAGTATTTATCCAGTTCCTCTATAATCTTGGCACTGTTCTAGCTGCTGAGAATAGAATAAGACAGTAGTATCTTTATCCTTGAGGAGCATGAAATCACTGTGAGCTAAAAAATAATAGAATTATAATCAAAGACTACATATAGAATTAGGATTGATATAAACCAGTGGTAAAAAAATGTGAGAAAAGTAGAAAATATTACATTGATGTAAATTTCTTTGGGTGCTTCCTCTAAAAGAGTTAAATTGTAAAATTATTTTGCTATGATTATAAAATAACATCCATCATTCAATTTTTTCAAAATACCTAAAAGTACGCTGAAGAACATTTAAAAGATTTATAATCCTGCTACCTGGAGATAACTATAATAATTTATTGGCCGGGTGTGGTGGCTCACGCCTGTAATCCCAGCACTTTGGGAGGCCAAGGCAGGCAGATCACGAGGTCAGAAGATCGAGACCATCCTGGCTAACACGGTGAAACCCCGTCTCTACTAAAAATACAAAAAATTAGCTGGGCATGGTGGCGGGCACCTGTAGTCCCAGCTACTTGGGAGGCTGAGGCAGGAGAATGGCATGAACCTGGGAGGTGGAGCTTGTAGTGAGCAGAGATCGCGCCACTGCACTCCAACTTGGGCAACAGAGCAAGACTTTGTCTCAAAAAAAATTAACTTATTATATATACTCTAGACCTTTTCCTATACACATACTTTTTTTATTATTTCATTTTTTTTGAGACGGAGTCTCGCTCTGTCCCCAGGCTAGAGTGCGGTGGCGCGATCTCGGCTCACTGTAACCTTCGCCTCCTGGGTTCAAGTCATCCTCCTGCCTCAGCCTTCTGAGTACTTGAGACTACAGACATGTGCCACCACACCCAGCTAATTTTTGTATTTTTAATAGAGACGGGGTTTCACCATGTTAGCCAGGATAGTCGTGATCTCCTGACCTCGCGATCCACCTGCCTCGGCCTCCCAAAGTGCTGTGATTACCGGCATGAGCCACTGCTCCCAGCCTATTTTATTTTTTTGAGACAGAGTCTCACTCTGTTGTACACACTGGAGTGTAGTAGCATGAATGTGTCACACTGCAGCCTCTACCACCAGGCTCAATGATTGTCCCACCTCAGCCTCCCGGGTATCTCAGACTAAAGGTGTGTGCCACCATGCCTAGCTATATATATTTCTGTATTTTTTTGCATAAATGGGGTTTTGCCATGTTGCCCAGGCTGGTCTTGAACTCTCGGGCTCAAGCAATCTGCCCTCCTCAGCCTCCCAAAGTGCTGGGATTGCAGGCATGTGCCACCATGACTGGCCTATGTGTATGTGTACATATAAATATATATATATATAAAAATATATACATATATAAATTAAAAAATATATATATATATATTTTTTTGAGACCGAGTCTCACCCTGTCACCCAGGCTGGAGTGCTGGAGAGCAATGGTGTGATCTTGGCTCACTGCAACCTCTGCCTCCCGGGTTCAGGCAATTCTCATGCCTCAGCCACCCGAGTAGCTGGGATTACAGGCACGTGCCACCACACCCAGCTAATTTTTTAAATCTTTAGTAGAGATGGGGTTTCACCATGTCGGCCAGGATGGTCTTGATCTCCTAACCTTGTGATTCACCTTCCTTGGCCTCCCAAAGTGTTGGGATTACAGGCGTGAGCCACCACAACCAGTCTATTTTATATTTTTGAGACAGTATCACTCTGTTGCCCAGGCTAGAGTGCAGTGCAGTAATCGCAAATGCATCACACTGCAGCTTCCACCACTGGGCTCAATGATTGTCCCACCTCAGCCTCCCGGGTATCTCAGACTACAGGCATGTACCACCATGGACTGTTGTGGGAAGTCAGGGACCCCAAACATAGGGACTGGCTGGAGCTGAGGCAGAAGAACATAAATTGTGAAGATTTCATGGATATTTATCAGTTCCCAAAATTAATACTTCTATAATTTTTTATACCTGTCTTTACTGCAATCTCTGAACATAAATTGTGAAGATTTCATGGACATTTATCACTTCCCCAATCAATATTCTAATTTCTTATGCCTGTCTTTAATCTCTTAATCGAATCATCTTCGTAAACTGAGGATGTATGTCACACCTCAGGACCCTGTGATGATTGTGTTAACTGTAAAATTGTAAAATGTGTGTGTTTGAACAATATGAAATCAGTGCACCCTGAAAAAGAACAGAATAACAGTGATTTTCAGGGAACAAGGAAAGATAACCATAAGGCCTGACTGCCTACGGGGTTGGACAGAATATAGCCATATTTTTCTTCTTGCAGAGAGCCTATAAACGGATGTGTAAGTAGGAGAAATATCATGGAATTCTTTTACCAGCAAGGAATATTAATAATTGAGACCTTGGGGAAGGAATGCATTCCTGGGGGTAGGTCTATAGATGACTGCTCTGGTAGTGTCTTATGCAATTGAGATAAGGACTGAAATATGCCCTGCCTCCTGCAGTACCCTCAGACTTACTAGGATGGGGAAATTCCAGCCTGGTAAATTCTAGTCAGACTGGTTGTCTGCTCTCAAACTGTTTCTTGTTAAGATGTTTATCAAGACAATGCATATACAACGGGACATAGGCCCTCATCAGTAATTCTAATTTTGCCTTGCCTTGTGACCTTTATTGCCCTTTGAAGCATGTGATCTTTGTGACTTACTCCCTGTTTGTACACCCCCTCCCCTTTAAAAATCCCTAATAAAAACCTGATGGTTCTGTGGCTTGGGGTCACCATCATGGTCCCACCAATATGTGATGACACCCCCAGAGGCCCAGCTGTAAAATTTCTCTCTTTGTACTCTTTCTCTTTATTTCTCAGACTGGCCAACACTTAGGGAAAATAGAAAGAACCTACATTGAAATATTGGGGGCTGGTTCCCCCAATAATGCCTGGTGCTATATATTTACACACACATATATATACACATATATGTACACACATATACACACATATATACATATACACACATACATATACATATATACACATATGTACATATATACACATATACATATACATGTATACACATACACATATACACATATATATACATATATACATATATAGACATATATACATGTATATATATGTGTATATGTGTGTGTGTGTGTATATATATTTTTTGTAGAAATGGGGTTTTGCCATGTTGCCCAGGCTGGTCTTGAACTCTTGGGCTCAAGCCATCTGCCCTCCTCAGCCTCCCAAAGCACTGGGATTACAGGCGTGTGCCACCATGCCTGGCCCGCATACTTTTTTTTTTTTTTTGAGATGGAGTCTTGTCCTGTTGCCCAAGCTGGAGTGCTGGAGTGCAATGGTGTGATCTTGGCTCACTGCAACCTTCACCTCCTGGGTTCAAGCAATTCTTGTGCCTCAGCCACCAAGTAGCAGGGATTACAGGCATGTGACACCACGCCTGGCTAATTTTTAATTAGCCTGGCTAATCTTTAGTAGAGATGGGGTTCCACTGTGTTGGCCAGGCTAGTCTTGAACTCCTGATCTCATGATCCGCCTGCCTCCATCTCCCAAAGTGCTGGGATTATAGGCATATGTCATCGTGCCTGGCCACTTTTTTTTTTTTAAATCAACTTTATCACATATATAATTTATACCTGATAAAATGTACCCATTTAAAATGTACAGTTCAATACATTTTTTCCCTCTTTTGCAGCTGTGACGAACTTTAACCAATTTAATACCCATAATTTGGAATTCTCATTTGGATTTGACCAAGTAAGGTAGAGTTGGTCAAATCTGACAGGACAAAGACTGGAACAAACAACAACAAAACCCAAAACTATGATCACCGAGTGCTCTAATGGTCAGGAGAAATTAAGACCAGCTGGTTGTTAATCTTAACTTTAGCCAAGGCAAAATCCCAATTCAGCTACGTACCTAGGGATAGGTCTCATGCTGAATACTGCTCTCTACTACCCTAGAAGCAGGAAAAAACTCAAATTCACCTTCCCTGTTAGAAGTGAGCTCAGACTCTAGAAAGGAGTTACCTGCCTTCTATCGTCATGAAGGCAGGAAAACTTGCTTTCCTTGTTGGAAGCAAGCAGAACTCCAGAAAAAGGAGTTGTACAGCAAAATAAACTTTAGATCTCGACCAAATTTTGGGCGATCAGAGATTCTCTGGAGGGGGTGCTTCCAGGCCTCAGCAAATTGTCCTATTGGTTTGAGCCATAAAGGTAGCTCGAGCTGGCACCAAGCACCGATAGATTTGTCAAAGGTTAGGGCACCTCCAACTTAGAATCCCTTCGTAGTTACCAAAATGTGAACCCTGAATATCTGAGACAGGTCCCAGTCAATCTAGAAAGTTTACTTTGCCTAGGTTAAGGATGTGTACCTGTGACAGCCTCAGGAGGTCCTGATGACACGTGCCCCTAAAATGCACAGTTCAATGCATTTTTTTTTTGAGATGGAGTCTCACTCTGTCACACAGGCTGGAGTATAGTGGCATGATCTTGACTCACTGCAACCTCTGCCTCCCGGCTTCAAGTGATTCTCCTTCATCAGCCTCCCAAGTAGCTGGGACTACAGGCACGAGCCACCACGCCCGGCTAATTTTTGTATTTTTAGTAGAGACGGGGTTTCACCATGTTGTAGCCAGGATAGTTTCGATCTCCTGACCTTGTGATCCGCCCGCCCTGGCCTCCCAAAGTGCTGGGATTACAGGCGTGAGCCACCGCGCCCGGCCCGTTCAATGCATTTTGACAAATGCTTATACACCAGCACCATCAAAATGTCACCCCCAAAAGCTCCCTATCCCTCCTTCCAGTCACCTCCGGCCCCTCACTCCTGGCCCTAGGAGAACAATGGTCTGCTGTCCTCCATCTTTATAGAATAGTTAGCCTTTTACGGAATTTCACATGTGTGGAATCATACGCTATATATACATATGTATTTTTTTCTTTTGAAACAGGGTCTCCCTCTGTTGCCCAGGCTGGAGTGTAGTGGTGCGATCTTGGCTCACTGCAACCTCCACCTCTTGGGCTCAAGTCATTCTCCCGCCTCAGCCCCCCAAGTAGCTGGGAGTATAGGCATGAACCACCACTCCCAGCTAATATTTGTATTTTTTTTGTAGAGATGGAATTTCACCATGTTGCCCAGGCTGGTCTCAAACTCCTGACCTCAAGTGATCTAACTACCTTGGCCTCCCAAAGTGCTGAGATGAGAGGCGTGAGCCACGGTGTCTGGCCTATACATTCTTTGTGTACAGCTTCTTTCACTAAGCATAATTTTAAAAAATTCATTCATGTAGTTATATATAACAATAGTTTCCTTTTCGTTGAGTAGTATTGCATTGAATGAATATACTAACATTTGTTTATTCGTTAGATAGACATTTGTGATGTCTTCAGTTTTGGGCTATTAATAAAGCTGCTATGAACATATGTATACAGGTCTTGCAGTGGACACATGTTTTTGTTGATCCTGGGTAAATACCTATACGTGCGATTTCTGGGTCACATGGTCAGTGTATGTTTAACTTCACAAGAAACTGGCAAGCTGTTCTCTGAAGTGGCCATACCATTTTACACTCTCACTAGCGGTGTGTGAGTTTTAGTTGTTCCCCATCCTTCCCTGAACTTGGTTTTGTGAGAATTTTTTTTTTTTGGAGACAGTCTTACTCTGTTGCCAGGCTGGAGTGCGGTGGCACCATCCAGGCTCACTGCAATCTCCGCCTCCCAGGTTCAAACAATTCTCCTGCCTCAGCCTCCTGAGTAGTTGGGATTACAGGCATTTGCCACCACACCCGGCTAATTTTTGTATTTTTAGTAGAGACAGGAGTTCACCATGTCGGTCAGGCTGGTCTCGAACTCCTGACCTCAAGTGATCTGCCCGCCTCGGCCTCCCAAAGTGCTGGGATTACAGGCGTGAGCTACTGCACCCGGTCTTTTGTGAGAATTTTTAATTTAAGCCATTCTGATGGGTGGCTAGTGCTCTATCATTTTCATTTACTGATGACTAATCACGTTGAACATCTTTTCAAGTGCTTACTATACATTATTCACCTTTTTAAATAAAACTGGAAGGATGGTTTACAAGCTGATTTGTGCATACTGGAACAGAACGGAAGCAGCAAGACAGTTATTAGGCTCTACTGACCCAGTGGCTGGTACATCTAGCCTGGGGGGAAAAATGTATTTTGGTAATAAATTTAGGCAGACCACATGCTCTCTGCAGGTGGGCAACATTTAGCAACAGATTGAGTGCCTGAGCCTCAAGACTCCACTTCATTTTTCTTTTTTCCTAACTCCAAGGAACCAGTAATCTTCGTTCTTAATTAATTGCATCATCTACTTTCTGTAGCACCTCTCCTAATTCTGGGTGCTGCTGAAGGAAGATGCTGAATCATTCGAACCTAACATATGTTAGGTTCAAGGACTTTATCATCGTCTAGTTATTTCTCTAACTCCTCAGGCACATCTAATACAGTAATTCTATCCTTTCTCTTTCCTTAAGATCTTGACTTTTTTTTTTTTCCTTTCCCCCAAGACAGGGTCTTGCTGTTGCCCAGGCTGGTGTGCAGTGGTGCAGATATACTCACTGCAGCTTCAACCTCCGAGGCTCAAGTGATCCTCCTACTTCAGCCTCCTGAGTAGCTGGGATTATAGATGCACACCACCATGCCTGGCAATTTTTTTTTTTTTTTTTTTTTTTGTAGAGGCAGGGTCTTCCTATGTTGCTAAGGCTGTTCTCAAACTCCTGGCCTCAAGTGATCCTCCTGCCTTGGCCTCCCAAAATATTAGGATTACAGGTGTGAGCTGCTACGCCCTGTCCTTAAGCTCTTAAGTTTGACTCCAAGTTTGACTGTCAGTAGATAGTTGTTTACTAAAGTTAGTCTTTAAGGATATTTTTTCATATTTACAAATACTTTTAATTTGTGGCACTTTCAGGCATTATTTCATTGGTGTTATTTGCTGTTCACAATCATGACATTTAATGAAAATAAAATTAGAGAAAACAAAGCATCTGTTACTCTACCATAAAAAAATATCATATTGTTAATCTCTCACACTTCTTTCCAGGGCTTATTCTTTGTAGATAGCTTTAAAACTGAAATCTAATAGTCGTTTGTTACTATTTGGGGCTCAAAGCTTTACTGTGATTTATTGTGGTGATCTTCCTTCTTCTCTCTTGGATCCACAAAGCAGCAGCAACAGCCAACAGGATATAAGTACTCACCAGGAGGGACTGATGCCAGAATTGTCATGCCAGAGCCGAAGGCTGTGCAGGTCCCCTAGAGAGGACCGAGTGGTGAGAAGGAAGACATCCAGGCCCCCTCGTTCAAAGACTGTCTTCTGGGGGTCACAGAGGTGATGGGGCTCACTCCGTCCCTCTGATCCATAGAGGGTGACGACAACCTACCATGAGACAGGGAAAGATAAAATAGAGGGAATTTTAACACAATTCTTTGGGTTTATCCCTAAGGAGAGAGATGAAGACATAGAAAACTGTATTTAGACAAAGTCTTTCGGATCTTAGACAAGCATAGAGAATTCTTCATACACACAGTATTTTTTTTTTTTTTTTCTGACACGAAGTCTTGCTCTGTCACCCAGGCTGGAATACAGTGGCGTGATCTTGGCTCACTGCAACCTCCGCCTCCTGAGTTGAAGCAATTCTTGTGCCTCAGCCTCCTGCGTAGCTGTGACTACAGGCATGGGCCATCACGCTCAGCTAATTTCTGTATTTTTAGAGAGAAGGGGTTTCACCTTGTTGGCCAGGCTGGTCTCAAACTCCTAACCTTAGGTGACCTCCCCATCTTGGCCTCCCAAAGTGTTGGGATTACAGGTGTGAGCCCCCATGCGCGGCCCACATGTACAGTTTAGAACTAGAAAATACCAATCTCTGATCGTGTTTAAAATGCTATTGGTTGCCAGGATATCACCAGCTCAGAGTGTGTCTCATGTGGCAGAAGACGCAAAGCAAGAACAAGTGAAGAACATTTATTTCATTAACCTTAGCTGTTGTAGCAGCCCTTCTTCGATATCCGGTGTAGACCTGAATAAGGTAGTGAAATTGAGCGCTGGGGTCATTATCAGCCAGGACAGTAACCTTCACCTGCAAGAAAAGCAGAACCAAGCAACTTACTAGGCCTCCACGTAGTATAGCTCCTGCCTCCTCCAACTGAGGAGCAGGAGGATGCACTCTGGCAGGTGTGGCAGCCCTACAGAAAGCAGGGCTGAGGTGTGGGCAGCAGACACACACATGAGCAGACCTAAGCCACTCAAGTGGGGATGAGGCCTGAACCTCCAGGGCCTGTATCTCTCAAGTGAAATAGTCATAGAATCACCCAATCAGGTTTTTTTTTTTTTGAGACGGAGTCTTGCTCTGTAGCCTGGGCTGGACTGCAGTGGCCGGATCTCAGCTCACTGCAAGCTCCGCCTCCCGGGTTCACACCATTCTCCTGCCTCAGCCTCCGGAGTAGCTGGGACTACAGGCGCCCGCCACCGCGCCCGGCTAGTTTTTTGTATTTTTAGTAGAGACGGGGTTTCACCGTGTTAGCCAGAATGGTCTCGATCTCCTGACCTCGTGATCCGCCCGTCTCGGCCTCCCTAAGTGCTGGGATTACAGGCTTGAGCCACCGCGCCCGGCCCCAATCAGGTCTTAAGCCTCTAAATCCTTGCACCTCTCTCCCACTTAGGTACCACATAACAGAGAATACCCGGCTAAATTTGCATTTCAGATAAACTATGAATAATTTGGGGCATGCTTACACTAAAGATGAACTATTTATTTAAAACGCAAATTTAACTAGGTAGCCTGTATTTTTGTTTACTAACGCAGAGAACCCTACACCCAGGGCAACAAGAAATGAACACTTAACATATTCTAGAATTTCCAAGTGCAAGAAAACATAGGAAGAACACACACATGGAAAGAAGAGGCTGTCAAAAGATTTTTGTTTTAAAAAACATACCATATAAGTTTCTTGTATATAGGTACATTTTTATTTTTATTTTTTGAGATGGAGTCTTGCTATGTTGCCCAGGCTGGAGTGCAATGTTGTATTCTTGGCTCACTGCAACCTCCACCTCCCAGGTTCAAGTGATCCTCCCACCTCAGCCTCCTGAGTGGCTGGGACTACAGACATGCGCCACCATGGCCGGTTAATTTTTGGATTTTTAGTAGAGATGGGGTTTCACCATGTTGACCAGGCTGGTCTTCAACTCTTGACTTCAAGTGATATACCCACCTCGGCCTCCCAAAGTGCTGGGATTACAGGCGTGAGCCACCTCACCCAGTCAGTTACATTAAATTATAATTTGATTTATATGTAATTTTTTTTTTTTTTTTTTTTGAGACAGTCTCATTCTGTCATTCAGGCTGGAGTGCAGTGGCATGAGCTTGGCTCACTGCAACCTCTGTCTCCCAGGCTCAAGCGATTCTCCTGCCTCAGCCTCCCAAGTAGCTGGGATTACAGGTTCGCGCCACCACACCTGGCTAATTTTTGTATTTTTAGTAGAGATGGGGTTTCACCATGTTGGCCAGGCTGGTCTCGAACTCCTGACCTCAGGTGATCCACCTGCCTCGGCCTCTGAAAGTGCTGGGATTACAGGCGTGAGCCACTGCACCTGGCCAATTTACATATAACTTTCCTATCCAATGTATAAAGTAAGATAAACTTGCATTTGACTTTAGTTAAGCTCTCTAGGTCTTTTGTTTTCCTTTTTGGAGACTGGGTCTCTGTTGCCCAGGCTGGAGTAAAGTGGCACAATAGCTCACTGCAGCCTCAACAATCCTGGGCTCAAGTGATCTTCCCACCTCAGCTACCCAAGTAGCTAGAACTACAAGCATGCACCACTATGCCTAGCTCATTTTGTTTTTAATTTTTAATAGAGACAAGGTCTTGCTATGGTGCCCAGGCTTGCCTTCAACTCCTGAGTTCAAGTGATCCTCCTAACCTGGCCTCCCAAAATGTTGGAATTACAGGCATGAGCCACTGCACCTGGCTAGTATTTTCTTTTGGCTCATTCCTGTCCTAGAAGGAGTCCCACAAGGGTCCAATCTCGGAACCAAAGGAAACAAAAATAGAGAAAAGGTTCTTAGGTCTTCAGACAGTAGACATGAAGATAAATGTAAGAAAAGTTCCACTTGAATTTCTATGCCTGCCAGTACCAGGCTTTGACAAAGGTGTGTTTTTTTCCCCCATCTTATTTAATTACTCAAGACCATCATGGCAAATCTGTTGAACTCAAAGTCTCGTTACCTTCTGCATATCTGCTTGATCCTTTTTCCAAGCCCACACAACTGTGATCACATAGAATCCTAAAAGGCCAGCCAGCAGTGACACCCCAACAGGATTGTTGGTCACGCGAAGGAACAGTTCAACCGTGTCTTCAACATTCACGGTCCTGGGCACGACAAAGAAGTTGCTGGCAAAGAAGGTCAGGTGGTTACAGAGACACTGTGTCCTCAGAATTGTGCTCTGTGGCCCAACCTGGAATTAGAATCAAGACGTTGATTCTAGTTGGACAGAGTGCTAAGGAGGGGACAGACATAAAACAAACACCAGCAATTTAGAGATGGAAAGAGGTGCCTGGATCTCTCATTCACCGCTGGTGATGACGTAAATTAGTATAACCAATATGGAAAGCAATTTAGCAACATCTAGTACAGCTGAAGAAGCACAAACTCTTTGAATCCTGCAATTCCAGTTCTGAGTGTATATATGTTCTAGGGGAACTGTGCACATGTGTATAAAGATATGCAAAAAGGAATGTTTTGTCACCCTTGATAATTATCAAAAATAGGAAACAACTTATATATGTTCAATAACAGAACATACAAATGAACGGTACATAAGTAAGCAGAGGCAAACTGATGGAATTCTATACAGCAGTTAAAAATGAATGAATTAGCCAGGCGCGGAGGCTCACATCTGTAATTCCAGCACTTTGAGAGGCTGAGGCAGGTGGATCACCTGAGGCTAGGAGTTTGAGACCAGCCTGGACAACATGGTGAAACCCCATCTCTACTAAAAATATAAAAAATTAGCCAGGCGTGGTGATAGGCACCTATAGACCCAACTACTTGGGAGGCTGAGGCAGGAGAATTGCTTGAACCCGGGAGGCAGAGGTTGCAGTGAGCCGAGGCCACACCACTGCATTCCACCCTGGGTGACAGAACAAGACTGTCTCCAAAACAAATAAATAAAATTTAAAAAAAAGGATGAATTAGAGGTAGATGTATCAACATGGATAAATGCTGAGTGAATAAAACAAGAGATATGTACAGTATAATGCCACTTGCACAAAGCCTAAGAAGCATGCAAAACACTTATTTATCTATTCATTGTCAGTTTCCCTCTCTAGAATGTCAGTTCATGAGGATATTGTCTTGTTCATTGTTGTATCTCTAGTTCCTAGACTTGGGCATGGCACGTAGAAGACACTCAATAAATATTTGCTGAAAGAATGAATTCCCCCCTCAAATTCAGGCCAGTAGTTACCCTTTGGTGGAAGGGAAGGAAGGCGAGAGACTAGAGAGGGATACACAGAGGGCTTCAATTATTCCTGAGTGTTTTATTATTTAAGAAAATCTGAAGCAGAGAAAAATACTAACTTTGATAAAGCTGAATGTGCATTCAATGTTTTTTATTATTCCGTATGACTTTCCATATGTTAGAACATTTCTGCATATTTAAAAATATGTCAGTAGGTGATTACATGGAAGCTACCAATTCTGTGTTTGGTTTCGTGGATGAGAAGCCTCCAGTATTGTCATTATGACTACTTCTTTCCATGGCACAGGGTTAAGTCCTGGAGGCCCAAGCTAGTCCACCTTTGGAAGAACTCTTGTGCTGTACTTGGGGCAGGTCAATTTCTTTCATGGTGTCCAAGCACTTCAAAGAGCTTCAGGGAAGTGGGAAATATCCAATGCCTTCTGCAATCAACAGGTGTGTGCTGAGAGAGGAGAAAAGCTCTCAAGCTACTCTTCTCAAAGTATGATTTGCCTAACAAGCAGCACTGGGACAGCTGGGAGCTTGTTAGAAAGGCTTGACCAGAGCTACTGCTTCAGAATCTACATTTTAACAAGCTATTTATAGATTTGCTTGATAGCCATTGTCCAGCTATGACTGCCTGAGGCTATGAATGGTGCAGATACCTTCCTAAGAATCCTCTTTCTCTCAGGCCTGTAATTCCAGCACTCTAGGAGGCCAAGGCAGGCGGATCACCTGAGGTTGGGAGTCTGAGACCAGCCTGACTAACATGGAGAAACCCCATCTCTACTAATTGTCCCTGTTTGCAGATGACATGATTGTATATTTAGAAAACCCCATGGTCTCAGCCCAAAATCTCCTTAAGCTGATAAGCAACTTCAGCAAAGTCTCAGGATACAAAATCAATGTGCAAAAATCACAAGCATTCTTATACACCAGTAACAGACAAACAGAGAGCCAAATCATGAGTGAACTCCCATTCACAATAGTTTCAAAGACAATAAAATACCTAGGAATCCAACTTACAAGGGATGTAAAGGACCTCTTCAAGGAAAACTACAAACCACTGCTCAGTGAAATCAAAGAGGACACAAACAAATGGAAGAATATACTATGCTCATGGATAGGAAGAATCAATATTGTGAAAATGGCCATACTGCCCAAGGTAATTTATAGACTCAATGCCATCCCCATTAAGTTACCAATGACTTTCTTCACAGAACTGGAAAAAACTGCTTTAAAGTTCATATGGAACCAAAAAAGAGCCCGCATTGCCAAGACAATCCTAAGCCAAAAGAACAAAGCTGGAGGCATCATGCTACCTGACTTCAAACTATACTACAAGGCTACAGTAACAAAAACAGCATAGTACTGGTACCAAAACAGAGATATAGACCAATGGAACAGAACAGAGCCCTCAGAAATAATGCCACACATCTACAGCCATCTGATCTTTGACAAACCTGACAAAAACAAGAAATGGGAAAAGGATTCCCTATTTAACAAATGGTGCTGGGAAAAGTGACTAGCCATAAGTAGAAAGCTGAAACTGGATCCTTTCCTTACTCCTTATAGGAAAATTAATTCAAGATGGATTAGAGACTTAAATGTTAGACCTAAAACCATAAAAACCCTAGAAGAAAACCTAGGTAATACCATTCAGGACATAGGCACGGGCAAGGACTTCATGTCTAAAACACCAAAAGCAATGGCAACAAAAGCCAAAATTGACAAATGGGATCTAATTAAACTAAAGAGTTTCTGCACAGCAAAAGAAACTACCATCAGAGTGAACAGGCAACCTACAGAATGGGAGAAAATTTTTGCCATCTACTTATCTGACAAAGAGCTAATATCCAGAACCTACAAAGAACTCAAATTTACAAGGAAAAAACAAACAACCCCATCAAGAAGTGGGCAAAGGATATGAACAGACATTTCTCAAAAGAAGACATTTATACAGCCAACAGACACATGAAAAAATGCTCATCACTGGCCATCAGAGAAATGCAAATCAAAACCACAATGAGATACCATCTCACACCAGTTAGAATGGCAATCATTAAAAAATCAGGAAACAACAGGTGCTGGAGAGGATGTGGAGAAATAGGAACACTTTTACAATGTTGGTGGGACTGTAAACTAGTTCAACCATTGTGGAAAACAGTGTGGCGATTCCTCAAAGATCTAGAACTAGAAATACCATGTGACCCAGCTATCCCATTACTGGGTATATACCCAAAGGATTATAAATCATGCTGCTATAAAGACACATGCACATGTATGTTTATTGCAGCACTATTCACAATAGCAAAGACTTGGAATCAACCCAAATGTCCATCAGTGACAGACTGGATTAAGAAAATGTGGCACATATACACCATGGAATACTACGCAGCCATAAAAAAGGATGAGTTCCTGTCTTTTGTAGGGACATGGATGCAGCTGGAAACCATCATTCTCAGCAAACTATCACAAGAACAGAAAACCAAACACTGCATGTTCTCACTCATAGGTGGGAACTGAACAATGAGATCACTTGGACACAGGAAGGGGAACATCACACACCGGGGCCTATTGTGGGGAGGGGGGAGTGGGGAGGGATAGCATTAGGAGATATAACTAATGTAAATGACGAGTTAATGGGTGCAGCACACCAACATGGCACAAGTATACATATGTAACAAACCTGCACGTTGTGCACATGTACCCTAGGACTTAAAGTATAATTAAAAAAATACAATAATTAGCTGGGCATGGTGGTGCATGCCTGTAATCCCAGCTACTGGGGAGGCTGAGGCAGGAGAATTGCTTGAGCCCAGCGGGGTGGATGTTGTGGTGAGCCAAGATTGTGCCATCGCACTCCAGCCTGGGCAACAAGAGCTAAACTCCATCTAAAAATAATAATAATAATCATCATCATCCCCTTTCTGGCCTCCCAAAGTGCAGGTGGGAGGATTGCTTGAGCCCAGAAGTTCAAGACCAGCATGGGCAACATGGCAAGACCCTGTCTGTCCAAAAATCTAAAACATTAGCCAGGAGTAGTGGCAAATGCCTGTGGTCCCCACTACTTGAGGGGCTGAGGCAGGAGGATCTTTTGACCCCAGGAGGTTGAGGCTGCAGTAAGCCGTGATCACGTCACTGCACTCCAGCCTGAGGGACAGAATGAGATCCCATCTCAAAAAAAAAAAAAAACAACCAATTCTCTTTCCTTCTCTTCCCAGTCTAGATGGTACTTTCTCAGCTCTTTCTAGAACAACTTCATGATCTGAAAGACCTTATACCACATTCTTTTAGCAACCGAGCCAGGACTTTCATCAGGCAGGATCTCACAGAATCATGAGTGTACAAACGTAATAGTGCTGGTTTAAAGCAGTTGGACACCAGGAACAAGGTGATCATTACAAAAATGACAACCTGTCCTCACCAGGCCTAGAATGTACAAGAATCTGAGAACGTATTTCTTGAGCTACGAAGGTTCTCTTTTGTTTAGCAAGAGGTTTCATTTTACCCATCCACAACATATTTAATACTTACAGAATTTTATGGCTTCCACATGTTTTATTTTATCCAAAATTGTCAGATCCACCCTGGACTGTGTTTGAGAAAGAAATTACAAAGATAAAGCACAAAGCTGCTCCTGCTTGGAAGAGCCACACTCACCCTGCCCACTGCACATAACCCTCCTCCTCCTTTGGCCAAGGCAGAGTTATTTGAAACCTCCTATTTTTCTTTCTGGGCTGCCCCAAATGAGATGCATTGGGTTTAACAGCGGCGACGGCAGGAGAGAGACCCAAGAAGCGGCTCAGTTTCTTACTTGGCATCCATTGCTGCTCCATGTCTGGTTGTGGCTCTCCCAGTAGTAACACTGAGTGACGGCGGTGATGACCGAGACCAAGCTGGGCGTCTGCTGAGCACCCTTCTGGCTCTCACTCAGCACAGCTCTTATACAGTAGGTGCCAATCCCGTACTGTAGATGCTCAGGAGTCAGCACCCACGTGTACTCCTCATCTTAGAACAAAGAAGAGTGCTTACTTGTATATCAAACAGAACAAAACCACCATTAGAACCTCTCTTCTAAAGCATCTATTAATATTTTGCAAATGAGATCATGATAAACCTAGAGTCACAAATGATTGGAAAGAAAATGACCAGTGATACAATCCCGGGCTCTGGATTACTGCCATTCCAGGAAAGAACTATTTTCTTTTGGCTGGGTGTGGTGGCTCATGCCTATAATCCCAGCACTTTGGGAAGCCAAGGCAGGCAGATCACTTGAGGTCAGAAGTTCGAGACCAGCCTGGTGAACGTGGTGAAACCCCATCTCTACTAAAAATACAAAAATTGGTGTGGTGTGGTGATGTGAGCCTGTAATCCCAGCTATTCAGGAGGCTGAGGCAGGAAAATTGCTTGAACCTGGGAGGTGGGAGTTGCAGTGAGCTGAAATCACAGCACTATACTCTAGCCTGGACAACAGAGTGAGACTTTGTCTCAAAAAAAAGAATTATATTATTTTGGCATATGAACATTTAGGCCTAATGACTTAGAATACATTATGAGGTTTAGAAAAATGAAATGATCACACACCTAAGTTAGCAGATAGAAGACTAAGGTAACGAATGAAACCCCACGGTGAAGCAAAGATAGGAACAGGGTGGCTTCAGGAACAAAGCCCAGGACTGCACGCCAGGGACCTGAGGTCGGGCCTGGCTCTGTCACAAGCTGGCTGGTAGGGCTAAGGCGAGTCACCCAGTCTCTCTGGGCCTCAAGCTTTCTCATCTTTCAAACAGTCCTGTCTGTCAAACAAAGGCTCTCGAAGGTTCCTTCCAGCTCTCAATGACATCATTGCCAAGATCAGCAAGAGAAACTGAGTGCATGGCCAGGCACAGTGGCTCATGCCTATAATCCAAGCACTTTGGGAGGTTAAGGCAGGAGGATTATTTGAGCCCAGGAGTTCGAGACCTAGCTTGACCAACAAGGCAAAACCCTGTCTCTACCAAAAATACAAAAAATTAGCCAGGCATGGTGGTGCACGTGCCTGCAGTCCCAGCTGCTTGGGAGGCTGAGGGATGGGAATCACTTGAACCCAGGAGGCGGAGGCTGCAGTGAGCCGGCAATGCGCCACTGCACTCCAGCCCGGGCGACGGAGTGAGACTCTGTCTCAAAACAAACAAAAACAAAACTGAGTACCCCTCTGGAATTGGGAAAGGGCCCGTTGGTAATTCACGCAAACTCTGTAGTGGGCAGCCCGGTAGTGAGCATGGCTGCCTCAGGGACTTTGCCTAAAAGCAAGAACTTAAAAGTGATTGTTCCTGCGTGAGCAGGCCCCATGCGAGAGCCAGAGAAAGTTCTCTCAATATGGAAGGTGGTCATGACGGGAGACTGTCGCATGCTTTCTCCATTCAGACTTTTCTCAACGTAAAAACAAATACAGAAGTGTAGCTCTTAAGACTTTTCGGTAAAATGTTTAAAGTTGATACCCACAGAACATGTTTTTGATCCAGTGTATCTGGGCACTATTTCTATCTATCGGGAATTTTTAGTTTTTAGAGACAGTGCCTTGCTCTGTCACCCAGGCTGGAGTGCAGTCGTATTGTCAAAACTCACTGCAGGTTTCAATTCCTTGGCTCAAGCGATCCTCTTGCCTCAACCTCCCAAGTAGCTAGGACTACAGATGCACGCCACCATTGCCCGGCTAAATTTTTTTTTTTTTTTTGATAGAGACAGAGTCTCGCTATGTTGCCCAGGCTGGTCTCAAACTCCTGGGCTTAAGAGATCCTCCTGCCGTGGCCTCTCAAAGTGGTGGCATTACAGGGGTGAGCCACTACACCAGGCTAGACATTTTTAACTTTAATGTTATGTCTCATAAATTCTTAACTTTTCTAAACTACAATACAGTCATTCTGGTCTTATCCAAAGACTTATAGAGATATCATCAGGACTATCTTCCTCAAATCTTAGATTAGAAATAAAGTTGAAATACATACAACATATTTCATATATAGTCATCTGTAATATATAAATGTGAAGTACATGTAACCCATGGTGCTGTGAACACTACTTCTGCTGTGGGTCTCAATATTTTATTATGAAAATCTTCAACAATACAGAGAGAATTTTACAGGGAATAACCATATAACCATTAACTAGATTCTACAATTAATGCTACTAAATCTGCTTCTTCACGTACATATCCTTATCCATCCCCTAATCAATCTTTTAAAAAATGCATTTCATTGTCACATGTGTCTACACATGTGGCAAAACCACACAGAACGCAATACACACACATACAGAAATGTGTCTGTAAACCTGGTGAAATCGGAATAAAATCAGTGATTGTATTAATGTTATTTTCTGGTTGTGATATACTACAGTTATGCAAGATGCTGCCATTCAGAGAAACTGGATGAGAGGTATACAAGCTGTCTCTGTTCTTTTTTTTTTTTTTTTGAGGCAGAGTCTCTGTCACCCAAACTGGAGTGCAGTGGCACAATCTCAGCTCACTGCAACCTCCGCCTCCCGGGTTCAAGCGATTCTTGTGCCTCAGCCTCCCGAGTAGCTGGGATTACAGGTGCCCACCACCATGACCAGCTAATTTTTGTATTTTTAGTAGAGATGAGGTTTTACCATGTTGGTCAGCCTAGTCTCAAACTCCTGACCTCAGGTGATCCACCCACCTCAGCCTCCCAAAGTGCTAGGATTCTAGTGTGATTACAGGCAGGAGTCACTGAGTGCCCAGGCTGTCTCTCTATTTTTTAGAGACCAAGTCTTGCTCTGCAGCCCAGGCTGGAGTGCAATGGTGTGATCTCTGCTCACTGCAACCTCCACCTCTCAGGTTTAAGCAACTCTGCGTCTGCCTCCCAACTAGCTGGGATTAAAGGTGCCCGCGACCATACCCACCCAGCTAATTTTTTGTATTTTTAGTAGAAACAGTTTCACCATGTTGGCCAGGATGGTCTCAAACTCCTGACCTCAGGTGATCCACTCGCCTTGGCCTCCCAAACTGCTGGGATTACAGGTGTGAGCCACTGCGCTTGGCCCGTCTCTGTTATTTCTTATAACTGCATGTGAATCTACAATTATCTGAAAATAAAAATTTTTAAAAAAAAGAAAAAAATGTGGCCAGGTACAGTAACTCATGCCTGTAATCCCAGCACATTGGGAGGCTGAGACAAAGAATATTTGAGGCCAGGAGTTCAAGACCAGCCTGGGCAATATGGCAAGACCCTTTCTCTACAAATTTTTTTTTTTTTTTTTTTTTTTGAGACAGAGTCTCGCTCTTTCACCCAGGCTGGAGCACAGTGGCGCGATCTCAGCTCACTGCAAGCTACGCCTCCCGGGTTCATGCCATTCTCCTGCCTCAGCCTCCCAAGTAGCTAGGACTACAGGCGCCTGCCACCATGCCTGGCTAATTTTTTTTGCATTTTTAGTAAAGACAGGATTTCACCGTGTTAGCCAGGATAGGAGGGTCTTGATCTCCTGACCTCGTGATCTAACTGCCTCAGTCTCCCAAAGTGCTGGGATTACAGGCGTGAGCCACTGCGCCCAGCCTACAAAATTAAAAGAAAAAAGTTAGCCAGACGTGGTGGTGTGCACTTGTAGTCCCAGCTACTCAAGAGGCTAAGGCAGGAGGATCCCTCGAGCTTGACATTTTGAGGCTGCAGTGAACCATGATGGTGCCACTGCACTCCATCCTAGGCAAAACAAAATCAAAGCAAGTTTCTGACAGCTGATTGGGTTTTACCTTTTTGCCACACCTTATCCTTCGGAAGGGTGATGTTTAGGTGGAAGTGAGTGCAGTTAGGCTGATACTGGAACCCCAGGTACAGCGTCATTAAAAGGGGACTGTCAGGATCTATGCTCACTATCAGGGATTTCTCCAAGGAGGTGACGTTCACTGTGATTGTAAGCTGATCTGTGCTCATGTTGAAGCTGGTGGGATGGGTTTCCATGCTAACGTTTCTCCAGAGCATGATCTAGAATAAGAGACAGTTAATCATTATAATGGTCCATCCACTGATGCCTTTCAAAATACTTTATATTGATAAGGTAAGGAAACTTCCTAGGTCTTCCTCCTTTTTTCTGAGATGGGGTCTTGCTATGTTGGCCAGGTTGGTCTTGAACTCCTGGTCTCAAGCAATCTTCCGCTTCAGTCTCCCAAAATGCTAGGATTATAGACATGAGCCACTGTGCCCAGCCAGGTCTTCTTCATTGGATATTAGTAGCTAATACTGCTGGGGTTAAGGGTAAGTACATAGTCCAAGACCTAAAACACTTCTTATTCTTATTATTTTTGAGACTAAGTCTTACTCTGTCACCCCGGCTGGAGTGCAGTGGCACAATCTCAGCTCACTGCAAACTTCACCTCCTGGATTCAAGCTATTATGCCTCAGGCTCCAGAGTAGCTGGGATAACCGCCGCCCACCACCATACTGGGTTAATTTTTGTATTTTTAGTAGAGATGGGGTTTCATCATGTTGACCAGGCTGGTCTCAAACTCCTTACCTCAAGTGATCTGCCTGCCTCCCAAAGTGCTGGGATTACAGGCATAAGTCAATGCACTCAGCCCTCTAAAACACTTTTTCTAAGGGTAAGGTGTACCTCTTTGTAAAAGTTCCTAATATGTTAATAACAAAACAATGGCACAGTCATCGGTCTAACATGATTCCCTTTAAGTTGTTGCATCCTTCGATCCTGTTCCAGAATATCCCATTCTCTTCTATTTTATTCCCTAAGAATCAGTTCCTACCTCAATGTCCTCCACTAAATCATGGACTTGGAGCAATTTGCGATTAGCGCTTAGTAACACACTTCCAATGCTTCCAACAACGTTTCTGTGGTCCAAATCCTTGAAGGGATTGAAAGCTAGTCCTGTTACCTAGAGACAAGGAAAAGTCCAGTTTTATCCATTGCTGAAATATTTTTAAATGACTCCAATAGAAAGATATATCATATATATATGTATATACATGTGTGTGTGCATACACACACACACACACATATATATATATTTTTTTTGAGAAACTCATGCTCTGTCAACCAGGTTGGAGTGCAATGGCGTGACCTTAGCTCACTGTAACCTCCACCTCCCAGGTTCAAGCAATTCTCCTGCCTCAGCCTTCCAAGTAGCTGGGATTACAGGTGCATACCACCACGCCTGGCTAATTTTTGTATTTTTAGAAGAGACAGGGTTTCGCTATGTTGGCCAGGCTGGCCTCGAACTCCTGACCTCAGGTGATCCACCCGCGTTGGCCTCCCAAAGTGTTGAGATTACAGGCTTGAGCCACCATGCCCAGCTGGATATCATATATTAAAGTAAACATTGGGATGTGCCCCCTACTAATACCACAAATGAAATAACATTCCCCATTATAGCCTCTATGAGCAATAGTAAATTAAAGATGAATTATACTTGGGACCCTCAGAATTATTTTTAATCTTTATATCTAGAGGATTCTATTTTACTAGGAAGTAACTATTCTGCTCTTCAGGATAAGGCAACAATGCTACTTTTATTTGTCAGGTAACTGCTGAAAGAAATACAATATACTGATATGACTGGGTTGGTATACTGAGTCAACAATTATTTCAATAGTCCCAGCTTTTTGTAAATAGTGCAGAGGCCAGGCATGGTGGCTCACACCTGTAATCCCAGCACTATGGGAGGCTTAGGCAGGCGAATCACCTGAGGTCCATAGTTCGAGATCAGTCTGGCCAACATGGCGAAACCCCATCTCTATACAAAAATTAGCCAGGCGTGGTGGCGGGCGCCTGTAATCCCAGCTACTTGGGAGGCTGAGGGAGGGGAATTGCTTGAACCCAGGAGGTAGAGGTTACAGTGAGCTGAGATCACGCTACTGCACTCCAGCCTGGGTGACAGATTGAGACTCCATCTCGAAAACAACAACAACACAGCAACGACAACAAAAAAAACAAACTACAGAATTGAGATCAATCCAAATCACGGAACAGAAATTTAGTTAAATCCAGAAATCTGCTTAATGCTCCCAGCTTCTACAGTGGATCACTTTTAAGAGGCCTCTATCCCTGCCAGTGTAAAATAAAAACGAATGCCACATCAACTCTCTCATCTGATCTGGTCTGTTCAGCTTACATTTCATGGTACATTACTTTCACCCAAATGCCTCCATGGCCATCAGATCCCACTTTCATTCTGACCACGATCAATTTCACACTCACTTGGACATTAACTCCTGGGTGTTGATTCAAGAGCTCCTTCAAAGCCAAAGCCGACGGAAAGCCCAGTCTCACAGGGGCTGGGTGACCCAGAGTGTAAGAGCTCAGTGGTAAGGTGGATGTGTTTTGTCTAATGAGAAAAGTTAAAATGGAAGTCAATTTTTGTATGTCCTCTGAAAGTGAAAAACACAGTGAAACTTTCCCTGTTCCTGCCTCTCATTAACCTGCTCAGCAGCAGAGTAGCAACAGAGGAGGTCAAAGTCACTGAAGACTCGGGGGACTGGTCCTGCTCCAGAAATGCTTCCCCGATATTCCCAAGCTCCGCCAAGGACATTTCCAGGATGTCTTCTACCTGCATGGAGAGGAAGACAGCGTGTGACCTGTAAAACCTCAGTGTCTTATGTTAGTAAACTGTTTTGGAGAAGATTGGAAAGGGAATTTTCAGTGACGTAATGAAGGGTGGTATTCCTTAGAGAGGGCCTTGGACTCTCACAGAAACTACTTGCAACCTGGCTAAAGACTTACTGTCCTTTGAACCAGACTAAGAGGGCCTGCCAAGGAAATATGCCTTTGCCCCATCATATAATTGCTCCAGACCTGCTCATGCTAGAGTTTTTAAATGACAGCTTTATTGAGATAACTTTCATACATACACTTCATCCACTCAGAGTATGTAATTTAATGTTTTTTAGTATATTCACAGGGTTGTGCAACCATCGCCACAATCTAATTTTAGGATTCATCCTCCCTAAAACAAATACTCCTGACCTCAGGTGATCCACCTCCCTGGTGGCCGGGTGTGGGGGCTCACACCTGTAATCCCAGCACTTTGGGAGGCTGAGGCAGGTGGATCATTTGAGGTCAAAAGTTTGAGACCTACCTGGCCGACATTGTGAAACCTTGTCTCTAGTAGAAGTACAAAAAATTAGACATGCGTGGTGGCGTGCGCCTGTAGTCTCAGCTACTCGCGAGGCTGAGGTGGGAGAATAGCTTGAACCTGGGAGGCAGAGGTTGCAGTGAGCCCAGATCACGCCACAGCACTCCAGCCTGGGCAAGAGTGAGACTCTGTCTCAAAATAAAATAAACCTGATACCCACTAGCAATCACTCTCCATTTCCCTATCCCTTGTCCCTCTAGCTCTAGGCAACCACGAGTCTACTTTCTGTGTCTATAGACTTACCTCTTTGGGACATTTCATATAAATGAATCACAACATACAGTCTTTTGTGACAGCTTCTTTCACCTGGCATAATGTTTTCAAAGCTCATGTGGGATCATGTACCAGGACTTCATCCCTTTCTGTTGCTGAATAATATTCCATTGTATGAACAGCCCAGATTCTACTTAGCCATCTGTCAGACCGTAGATGTGTGGGTTATCTCCACTTTTTGGCTATTTAGCTACTAAACCATGCTGCTACAAACATGAGCGTACGAGTTTTTGTATGGACATATGTTTTCAACTCTCTTGGGTAGACGCTAGGAGTAGAATTGCTAGGTCACATGGTAATTCTATTTTTTACATTTTAAGCAACTGCCAAATTGATTTCCAAAGTGGCTGCATCATTTTACAATTGAACAATGAATAGGGTTGCAAGTTCTCTGCATCCTTGCCAATACTTGTTATTTTCTGTCTTTTTGGCTGTGAAGCGGTATCTCATTTTGGTTTTGACTTGCATTTCCCTAATGACCAATGAAGTTGAGCATCTTTTCATGTGAATAGCAAACATAACCTATGAGTATTTGCCTTATGCCAACACTTTCCTAAATTCCTTTTTTTTTTTTTTTTTTTTTGATGGAGTCTCACTCTGTTGCCAGGCTGGAGTGCAGCAGCACGATTTCGGTTCACTGCAAGCTCTGCCTCCCGGGTTCAAGTGATTCTCCTGCCTCAGCCTCCTGAATAGCTGGGATTACAGGCACGTGCCACCACGCCTGGCTATGTTTTGTATTTTTAGTAGAGATGCAGTTTCGCCATGTTGGCCAGGCTCGTCTTGAACTCCTGACCTTAGGTGATCTGCCTGCCTTGGCCTCCCAAAGTGTTGGGATTACAGGCATTAGCCACCGGGTTCAGCCCCTAAGTCCTTTTCACTTGATTACAGCACTAGGGAGTATTGGCTCACTGGTAGGTGGGGAGGGAGACCCCAGAGAACGCTTGGCAGAGTGGTTTTTCTGCAGCACATACTTCAGCAAGATTCTCTTTAAAGGTCTGGGGAGAGGCTGTGATACCTGGACCCGTCAAGATTAAAATGCTTCTAAGCAGATCTGGCCACCTGCAGATCTGGCACCTACCTGCTCAGTATCACGCTTGGATTCCAGCCAACTTCCTTCTCCAGCTTTGGTGACATCGTTGAAGGAATGAAAGGGGCAGACAGTTGCAGGAACTTTGAAGTCCAGACCGCTGTTGTTCAGAAATGGGATCCTGAGTAACTCCTCACTCAGGTAAATAAGGGAATTGATGAGATTAACCTGGGAGTATTAGAAAGCAAACATGCATCCTTGAATTATGATTTTTTCTTTTTTCTTTTTATTTTTGAAGACCGAGTTTCACTCCTGTTGCCCAGGCTAGAATGCAATCGGCTCACAGCAACCTCCGCCTCCCGGGTTCAAGCAATTCTTCTGCCTCAGCCTCCTGAGCAGCTGGGACTACAGGCATGAGCCACCATGCCTGGCTAATTTTGTATTTTTAGCAGAGACAGGGTTTCTCCATGTTGGTCAAGCTGGTCTCTCGAACTCCCGACCTCAGGTGATCTTCCCATCTTGGCCTCCCAAAGTGCTGGGATTACAGGTGTGGGCCACCATGCTCAGCCTATGATTGCTTTTTAAAATGGTAAGAGATGCGGTCTTGCTCTGTTGTCCAGGCTGGAGTGCAGTGGTACAATCATGGCTCACTGCAGCCTTGAACTCCTGGGCTCAAGCAATCTTCCTTCCTCAGCCTCCCCAGTAGCTAGGACAGAGGTGTGCACCACGACGCCTAATTTTTAAAATTGTTTTGTAGAGGAGGGGGCTCACTATGTTGCTCAGTCTGGTCTCAAACACCTGGCCCCAAGAGACCCTCCTGTCTTAGCCTCCCAACGTATTTGGATTACAGGCATGAGCCACACACCTAGCACATGATTGCTTAAAATTTGCATACTTCTTATTAGCAGCTTAATATTCTTTATACATTTCAAATGCATTTTATTAAAAAAGTTACAATTTGACGGGGAAGAATATATTATTTCATATAACCTATAAGGGAGGATTCATATTTCATGTTATTTTGACGAACTGATAATTCTTTTTGAGTGGTAAGTAGACCAAATATCCAATTAACACCACCAGACTAAAAAAAGGAATGAAGAAAAGACCAATGCTGAGTTTTTTGTCTTTTTAACTTGAGACAGAGTGTGGCTCTGTCACCCAGGCTGGAGTGCAGTGGTAGAGTCTTGGCTCGCTGCAATCTCCACCTTCTGGGCTCAAACCATCCTCCCATCTCACCTCTCAAGTAGCTGCAACTACAGGCGTGCACCACCACACCCAGTTAAGTTTTGTATTTTTAGTAGAGACGGGGTTTCACCATGTTGCCCAGGCTGGTTTTGAACTCTTGGGCTCAAGCTATCCGCCTGCTTCAGCCTCCCAAGGTGCTGGGATTACAGGCAGGAGCCACCATGTCCCACTGAATGCCCAGACTTGTAACAAATACATCAGCAAGGCAGTAAGCTGATTAATGAACAAACGAACATACAGTATATCTAACAATGTCACTACTGATCAATTTAATTCATAACTTTCCAGATTTAAAGGTACAAATATGCTTGCTAAAATTTAAATATAGTCTTTATAATGCTGAGCTTGGCATAAGGCACAATCTCCAGATTCTCTTTTTCTTTTCTTTTCTTTTTCTGGAGACACAGTCTCTCAGTCATCCAGGCTGGAGCACAGTGGCGTGATCTTGGCTCACTGCCTCTGTCTCCTGGGTCCAAGCGATTATTGTGCCTCAGCCTCCCAAGTAGCTGAGATTACAGGCGCCCACCACCAACCCCAGCTAATTTTTGTTTTTTTCAGTAGAGACAGGTTTTGCCATGTTGCCCAGGCAGGTTTCGAACTCCTGGCCTCATGTGATCCATCCGCCTCGACCTTCCACAGTGTTGGGATTACAGGTGTGAGCCACCGCACCCAGCCTCAGATTCTTTTTCTGTTTTCCATGTTTCCCTCTCTCCTACCTTCTTCCCTCCCAGTCACCCTCCGCTTACCTGAGCTGGCTTAAAAAATCTTGGGGTTAAGGCTGTCAGTTTCTGGAGGAACTCACAAGCTTCCTGTAGTTTGTTATGAGCTTGCAAACCATGAACTGCTCTGCTGAAGTTTCCTGCTATCTCATCTATGACCTATCGGGAACAAAGAAGTTGTCAAAATTACTTCTACAAGATTACTGTAGTAGTCGGGGAGATTGTTTTAATCAAAGTTGACCTTGGATAACATTATAAACTATGAATCACAACTCTCTGAAACAGTGATTACTTTCAGAAGCTTTTCTGTGAGTGGACAGAATTTATTTCTACTTCCATACGATCGAGAAAATGAATAACGAGGTTAGACAATGATTGCTCCAAGGGCAAATGAGTCTGGAAATAAGATTTATAGCAGTAACTTTAAGTCTTAAGGCCATGAGCAAAGATGAGGGAAACTTGGAAATCAAAAAGCCAAAACCAAACTTTTCTATTCAGAAGTATGTTTTCCTGTCAGGTTTCCCTCTGTGCGTGTTTACCTCCATTCAAATGTTCATATTTAAGGCTGGGTGTGGTGGCTTATGCCTGTAATCCCTGCACTTTGGGAGGCCAAGGCAGGCAGATCATTTGAGGTCAGGAGTTCAAGAGCAGCCCGGCCTACATAGCAAAACCCTGTCTCTACTAAAAATACAAAAATTAACCAGGCATGGTGATAGACGCCTGTAGTCCCAGCTACTCAGGAGGCGGAGGCAGGAGAATCTCTTGAACCCGGGAGGTGGAGGTTGCAGTGAGCCGAGCGCCACTGCACTCCAGCCTGGGCAACAGAGCGGGAATCTGTCTCAAAAAACAAACAAGAGTTCATATTCAAGAGGTAATGACTTAAAATGACTCATAACAGGAGGTGGGAAGCAGAAAACCTCCCTCTCCCAAGAAACAAACTGAGCAAGTGGCCGCGGTCCCAATGCTTAAGCGGCCACTGCACTTGTCCTTGAAGTCCAATCCTCAGGCGATCACCGTTAATGCCAACTCCGTGGGCCATTTCTGGAGACCAGCTCACTCTCAGCCTAATTCAATCACATATTCAAGAAATCTTGATTAAATGCTGAACATTGCTAAATTCTCTTAATATTTCTAATAATTTATTATAGATTCTTTTGGATATTCTATACTTCAGGATTTCTATTTAAGGAAAAAAAAAAACAAAACTCTTTGCTTAAACTCCTGTAGGTCAGTTTCTCCCCCCAGTAGAACACCAAATTTCCATTGCCATTGCAGGCAGATCCAGAGTGAACAGGATTATGTTTCAGCAGGGAAATGTTCAACTGCATATAAACAGGGCTCGCTTGAATTTAGGGGAAAAAAAGCGTGGGGGAAGCAGAATTATTTTCTTCAGTCAATACTGTCAAAGAGGCTTTGCCTTTTTTTGGGTGAGTTTTGCTTTGTTGCTCAGCCTACAGTACAGTGGCACAATCACAGTTCACTGCAATCTGGACGTCCCAGGCTCAAGCGACCCTCCCACCTCAGCCCCCCAAGTAGCTGGGACTACAGGTACACACCACCACACCTGGCTAATTTTTTTGAATTTTAATAGAGACAAGGTCTCATAACGCTGCCTAAGCTGGTCTCAAACCCCTGGGCTTATGTGATCCTCCACCTCGGCCTCCCAAAGTGCTGGGATTACAGGCGTGAGTCACTGTGCCCAGCTAATTTTTTTGAACTTTAGTAGAGACAAGGTCTCACTATGTTACCCAGGCTGGTCTCCAACTCCTGGGCTCAAGTGATCCTCTCACCTTGACCTCCCAAATACTGGGATTATAGGCGTGACTCACTCAGTCTGGCTGCCTTGTTGTCTATATTTTTGGGAGGAAGGAAACAAGGCAAAAAGAGAGAACAATGAGTAGAAGGAATTGTCTAGAAGTTTGCTGCTGCTGAAAAAGCAGGGTAGGTGAACAAAACCTCTTCCCCATCTGAAGCATTAAATATAAGAGCATTAAATAGCATCATTAGGGAAATGCTGGGCTGTGTATGTGCCGTCAAATTGACCATTTCCACGGACTTGTTTAGTTTTTCTTTGGATTGGCATCTATGCTGATCTGTCAGACATTCTTAGGTGCAGTTCTACAGGGAGGCAAATGGTAAACCAAGAACTTTTTTGGGGTCCCAAAGCTACCTAGTTGTCACTTGAATTTCCCACGTTTACCTGACCAGATGCATTCTGCAATGACACTTGCAGATGAGAGGTGACGGTATTCAGATGAGCTGCTTTCTTTGGGCTTGAAGTTGTTTCTGCCAGAGATTGCCTAGCACGTGTGACAGACACAGGCGTGGTGAGCTGTGTTATCACAGGGAGAGGCTGGCTGCTGGCTTCAGATGTGGCTGTTATCTGTGATGTGGTATTTTGTAGTACTGAAGGAAACGGGCTGATGGGATGACACAGAGTCTTGGACTAAAAGATAAAAATAAAGGAAAAGGCTGAATCTGATTTTACCATTTAATAATTAAGGCAGCATTTCCCCAAATGCTCTGAAACTCTGTCCTATGAGATACTAATAAGCATTTCTGTTCAAAAATTCTGTGCTCAGAATTTTGAAATTTTGAGAAAGCTGCATATTACTTAAGATTCATGATTTATGTTAGAGTATTTATTGTCAATCATTCAACAACTGTTACACATCTACAAGCGGCTGAGGATGTTCTGGAGAACTGAATATGGCAATGAGCAAAAGGAACCAAGTTCCTGCCCTTGTTGAGCCTGTGTTAGTGGTGGAGGCAGAAAGAGAAATTATGTCATGTATTAAATACGTGCTCTGAAGAAGAAAATAAGGCTAAGCAGAGAGAAAGTGGATATCATGGAGGGTGTTCAGTGGTAAGGAGAGGATTTCTTGAGACTGGGTGTCACTCTGTTTTCTGGGCTGGAGTGCACTGGCACAATCATGGCTCCCTGCAGCCTTGACTTCCTGGATTCAAGTGATCCTCCTGCCTCAGCCTCCCAAGTAGCTGGGACTACTGGCACACACCACCATGCCTGGCTACCTTTTTTTGAGATGGAGTCTCACTCTGTTCCCCAGGCTGGAGGGCAGTGGCGCCATCTCGGCTCACTGCAGCCTCCTCCCGCTGGTTCAAGCAATTCTCCTGGCTCAGCCTCCTAAGTGACTGGGACTACAGGAACACACCACCACACCTGGATAATATTTGTATTTTTAGTAGAGACAGGGTTTCACCACGTTGCCCAGGCTGGTCTCAAACTCCTGACCCTAAATGATCCACCGCCTCAGCCTCCCAAAGTGCTGTGATTACAGGCGTGAGTCACTGCGCCCGGCCTTTTTTTCACTTTTTTATAGACAGGATTTCACTATGTTGCCCAGGCTGGCCTCGAACTCCTAGCTTAAATGATCCACCCGCCTCGGCCTCCCAAAGTGCTGGGATTACAGACATGAGCCACCGTGCCTGGTGCAGATGTTATTTTTAATGAGGCAGGAAGACAAAGGGCTTTGCAGAACAGCGGCATGATTTCACTTCTGTTTTAATGGATCCTTCTGTGTCTTAAATGATCAACCATTCTGTTGAGAAGGATCAGAAAAAGGGGCAAGAGTAGAAGCTGATCAGTAGGAGCCAAATGTAAACGTTCATTTTTTCTTTTCTTTTTTTTTTTTTTTTTTTGAGATAGTGTCTTCTTCTGTCACCCAGGCTGGAGTTCAGTGGTGTGATCTTGGCTCACCGCAACCTCCACCTACCAGGTTCAAGCAATTCTTCTGCCTCAGCCTCCCGAGTAACTGAGATTATGGGCGCCCACTATCACACCCTGCTAATTTTCATATTTTTAGTAGAGACGGGGTTTCACCCTGTTGGCCTGGCTGGCCTCGAAATCCTGGCCTCAAGTGGTCTACCCACCTTGGCCTCTCAAAGTGCGAGGACTACAGGCAAAAGCCACTGCAACCAGCCGGCAAATGTGAAAGTTCAGATGGGAGATGGTGACTTGGACCGTGTGGTGATCGTGGTGACAACGGTGAGAAGGGGTTAGATTTGGGACCTGTTAAAGACTGCAAAGTCCTCTAGTCAAAAGCCTGTGTTTTCTTCTCTTCTGGTAACATATTATAGGGGTGGAACACTCCACCTCCATTCTCTTAGGGCTCCAGCTGGGCCTGAGAATTTAACTGACATAAGATAAACAGGAGAAAAGCACACACATTCATTGAGTCCGAGTTTTACGTGGCACAAGATTCCTCATAAGAAAATGAAGACCTGAAGCAGCAGTTAGAGTCCGTCTCTCCTGTGCTGAATCGGACAAAGAGTAGTTAGTTGTGAAGAAGCAAAATCATGTGGGGAGGCTTAAAAGGTAATGTTATCTTAACAAGGTTTGTGCAGATTTCTCCGGGTCTTGACTGCTGCTCCTGGAGGATAAGAATATTGCATATTCTACATGGGAATTTTATCTCCTGTTTTTAAGAAACAGTACCAAGGTCAGAGTGCTGTTTTTGCACCTGCTGTTTTTCAAATGCCTTTAACTGAAATCATCAATATACCAGAGTGGCATATTTTTAACCCTTTCAATTTCAAGGGCTAGTGGTTGTTGCTCTGCAGAACACAGCTTGGGGAATACTGATGTGAGGGATTTTTTTTACTTCATCCCGATTGTTTTTTTTTTTTTTTATTGAGATGGAGTCTCACTCTGTCACCCAACCTGGAGTACAATGGCATAATCTTGGCCCACTGCAAACTCCACCTCCCGGGTTCAAGTGATTCTCCTGCCTGGCCTCTGAGTAGCTGGGATAACAAGGCATGCATCACCATGTCTGGCTAATTTTTGTATTTTTAGTAGAGATGAGGGTGGAGGCTGGAGTTCAGTGGTGTGATCTTGGCTCACCGCAACCTCCACCTACCAGGTTCAAGCAATTCTTCTGCCTCAGCCTCCCGAGTAACTTTGAGATTATGGCGCCCACTATCACACCCTGCTAATTTTTCATATTTTAGTAGACATGAGGTTTCACCATCACTGGCCAGGCTGGTCTCGAACTCGACCTCAGGTGATCTGCCTCGTCGGCCTTCCAGTGCTGGGATTATGGGCATGAGCCACCATGCCTAGCCCCTGTTTTTTTATACCGTTACCTGTTTTTTTATACCGTTAGAAACACTTATTTTTGCAGTAAGCATTGAGTCAAACAAATGCATATCTGTGTTTAGGCATCAACTGAAGGGTTTCTACATAGGACACAAGGGCAAGAATGCTGAGAGATTTCTTGAAGGTGAAACTTTACAGATTGTATGGACAGTTTCTACCTTTATTTTCCTTTCCCTTTCTGTTTGATGTTTACATTTTATTGCATTGTATTTTTGTAAGATGCCACAAGTCCTTTTTGGAACGAAGCAGGGAATAAACACCCAACCAACAAATACATGATAATTACATCAGCATGACAGCCAGAAAGATAGGCTTTAGAAATTCCTATAACAAGTCTGCAGATGGTGGCTCGCACCTGTAATCCCAGCACTTCGGGAGGCTGAGGCAGGTGGATTGCTTGAGGTCAGGATTTTGAGACCAGCCTGGCCAACAGAGCAAAACCCCGTCTCTACTAAAAGTGCAAAAATTAGCCGGGTGTGGTGGCACAAGCCTGTAATCCCAACTACTTGGGAGGTTGAGGCAGGAGAATTACTTGAACCCAGGAGGTAGAGGTTGCAGTGAGCCAAGATCACACCACTGCACTCCAGCTTGGGTGACAGAGTGAGACCCTGTCTCAAAAAAAATAAGAAAAATAAAAAATAAAAATAAATCCTTGAAGCACCTATTAAACCCAATTTTTTTCCTGCACGTAAGTACTTTATTTTCCTTATTAGAAAACTATATTCAGAACACTCTAGAAGATCGAGCTCTGACCAGATCTACCAGGTATGACAAAGAGATCAACATTTCACAGTGTATGTTGTCAGGGGAAGTACTTACGAGATGAGCAGGAAGAGGATGGTGACATGTGGTTGAAAGAGGACCAGGCCCTATAGAAAAAAGAAAGCAGACTAAGTTCAAGTAAAAGCCTAAGACAGAAATATTTGTTTTACTTGAGGACTTCTTATTCATGGCTAAAAAATAATGCAAATTGTTTTACATAGGAGACCAAGGCCGGGCATGGTGACTCATGTCTGTAATCCCAGCACTTTGGGAGGATGAGGCAGGCAGATCTCTTGAGGTCAGAAGCTTGAGATCAGCCTGGCCAATGTGGTAAAACCTCGTCTCTACTAAAAACATAATAATTAGCTGGTGTGGTGGCAGGTGCATATAATCCCAGCTACTCAGGAGGCTGAGGCAGGAGAATTGTTTGAACCTGGGAGGCAGAGGTTGCAGTGAGCCGAGATCGTGCCACCGCACTCTAGCCTGGGCGACAGAGCTAGATGCAAGACCCCCCCCCCCCCCCCCCCCCCCCAAAAAAAAAAATAAAGATAAGGAAGGAAAGACGAAAGGGAACCTAAGATGATCACTCAAGAACCTGGGAATGGAATCCAGAGGACTCCAAGAAAAGCAGAGCCCTGAAAATTATCAACAGCAAAATCCAGAAAAAAAGTTCAGAAAGCTGTAAATAGGTCCTTAATAGGAACGAAACAGGTTATTTCCCCAAATAAAAGGTCTCACATATTTATTATTGCATCAGCTTACGAGTGAAGAGCATAGAAACAAAGAGAAAAACCATTTTCCCAATAAAACATGCCTGAAAATGTGGTGACATATTCAGCTTGAAACGGGGAGATGACAGTGATGGATACAGAGATGACCTTGACTGATACAGCATAAGCACATGTGCCATCTTAACTGCAATTCCTTCCAGACCCAGCATGCCTCTTCTCCAGTGTCTCCTCCTGGAGTTGTACCTGATTTTATCAGTTGTATGTGATTTTATCATCCACTGGGGGAATCAGATGATTTTGCTTTTATTTCTTGGCCAGGAATCACTTGATTCTGAAAGTCTTGTGAGTAGACATGGCAAGAAACCGAGTCAACCACAGACACCATGATGATGGAGAAAGGTAGAGGGAACCAAACAAAATCGTAAGGATAAACTATTTGAAGCTAACATGCGCCAGAATGAGGTACATTAAAAGAAAAATAAACGGTATCAAAGGATTTCAAGATGACAAAAAAAAAAATACTGCAGAAAAATTAAAATCCACCTGGGAGGGAATACTGAGCAGATGTGGAAAAATTAGTCCCTGATAAAGAAGATAAATGTAAGGTGCCCTCCTCTAACAACAGAAAGGGTGATCAACATGAAACCATTCTTTTCATTTAAAGAGAGTACAGGAAAGATACAGAGGATAGGAAGTAGCAATACGGCACATAGATACCTGATATTTCTTAAGGACAGAACCAGAACAAATGAAATAGAAGTGATACATATGTAGGATATTCTTGATTCAAGAAAGATATGTATATGTAGCATCATGTTCTAGGCACAATGAGTGAAAAGTAACCTAGATACACACTAAGAAAATTTTTGAATTACAAAAAACTTTTACAATCTGACAGAGACTTAAAAAGGCTGCCTGGAATGCGGGGACTTGATTATGGCTCTAACAGCCTCTAATTCTGGGTTTAAACTATCCTCCTGCCTCAGCCTCCTGAGTAGCTGAGACTACAGGCATGCACCAGCAAACCTGCCTAAGTTTTTTAAATTTTTATTTATAAAAGTTTTTGTAGAGAGAGACCCAGTATGTTGCCCAGGTTGGACTCGAACTCCTGGCCTCAAGCAGTCCTTCCAACTCAGCCTCCCAAAGTGCTGGGATTACAGGTGTGAGCCAACGTCTGCTGAGGGGAGATCCAGCCCGCAAATTTTATAAAGGGTTCTACATACATAAATATTAGGCATATTGCTTGTTAGGTAAATTGCCCCACAATAAGGCAGTCTACATTTTTCCCAATGAGGAGATTTTAAAAAGCATTTCTGGGGCAAGCTTGACAATATAAACTTAAAGGATGTAGGTGAAATAGTCAAATGTCTATTTAATTCAGTAATTTAGTTTTACTATGACATTTAAGCCACATGTTATGTAAAGTAATATTGGAAGCATTGCTCTCACGAAACTCACATTTCATGACACAGTTTAAATACTTCAAATGTGTCTTTAACATCATTGCATTAATTATCATCAGAACAACTTTTGGATTTAACAGTTTTCCAAAATACGTCTTTACTTCCACCTAATGCTATCACTAAATATTTTCCTACAACTCACAAGTCCCCTTTTACAAAGGATTGAGCAAAGTGGAATTTTACATTTGTTCTTCAAATATATATTCATGTCTCTAAATAAAACTTTCTAAATTGCTAAGTGATATTTAAAAGGGTGTGTTGACCAGGACGTCTAACACTTGCACTGTGAGGTCATACCCCGAGGAATGATCACGAGATCCACTTTAAATTGATCTGTTTTACTTCTTTCTTTCCAGTGATCTCTATAACCAGCCATCCACTGACATTGATTGCTATCATTTCAGGCTAATGCATCCTTCCCAAATAGTACTTGGTTTTCAAAATTAAATAAACAAGTGTTAACACCATAATTTGAAAGACTTTGCAAGAACTTTAAGACGACTTTCTCTTTGTTGATGAAAATTGTTGTGGGAATAAAACCTTGTCTTTTATTTGGGAATATATGAAAAGAAGATGGCCAAGGGCGTATCAAGAAAACACACATATAAAATGAAGGCAAAGATTGCCATAATAAGATCAGACAGAATAGAATGCAACGAATATTGGGCACGTGCTATAATACATTTCAGCATTAATTCAATCTCGTGCATTCCTTTAGCAGAAACTGATTCTATGGATTTTTAAGGTTACTAGAGGAGGAATACATTACCTGGGGGCATTTTGTCTCTTGCTATTGCAACTCCTCTTTTTATCTTCTCGGTTCTCTGGCACAAACGAGAATTATTTTCATTTCTTTCATAATGGGCATCTCTGTCCAAAACGCCATCTATTTGGAAGCCAATACACAATTTATAGGTGATAGTTATGGCTACAAGTCTATAAAACCATCATTACACGCACTTATGTGATAATTAGGAAAACACAAATTGAAAATTCCTATCGAGGTTTTAAGGACACTACGAATTCTGCAGTAGCCCTTTTGCTGTGGAGGCTGCTTACATCACATTATGGTGTCCCACATTTCAAATTAAGTCCACTAGTTGGGTCAACACTGAGAAGTTCATTAACCCATTTATGCCTAGTGTTCCATTGTTGGAACACTAAGCTTGTGGAGCTATTTACATCCTACTGCTTAAGGTCATCGCCAGGGTCTGATTTTTCACCAAAAAAGTTTGCAACCTCCAGCATAAATGGAAAATTCCATACTAAGCGTAATATTCTCCTTTGTGTTCTTTAACTCTCATTGGCAGAGATAAAAGAGTTCAGAAGGTGGGTGATAACATTCTTTTTTTGAGATAGAGTTTTTGCTCCGTTGCCCAGGCTGGAGTGCAATGGCGCGATCTTGGCTCACTGCAATCTCCACCTCCCGGGTTCAAGTGATTCTCCTGCCTCAGCCTCCCAAGTAGCTGGGATTACAAGCACATGCCACCACGTCTGGCTAATTTTTGTATTTTTAGTAGAAACGAGGTTTCACCATGTTGGCCAGGCTGGTCTTGAACTCCTGACCTCAGGTAATCTGCCCACCTTGACCTCCCAAAGTGCTGGGATTACAGGCGTAAGCCACCACGCCCGGCTGGCAATAACATTCTTGAACATGCCTCCTTTCATACATGAGCGAGAGTTTCTCACACACGCTGTTGGACACGGCTAGAGAAAATCATATAACCACGATGACTATGGCTTTGCTTAAATTCACGATCATGAAGCTCGGGCGGCCTGCCTTCACACTGCCTGGCAACCATACTGTTTCCACTCTCCCAGGTGACTCCCACTTCCCTCTCTCTACTCAACCTCCAACACCTGGGAGCCTCCCTCAGTCTCATTCTCAGGTCAGGTGATAACCTTGCTTTCTAACTCAAGGAGAATATCAGAGCAATTTAGAGTCCTTCCATGACTCTGACCATCAAATCTAGCTCCTACCAGCACCTGTACCTGTAGAGCGCCAATGCCTTCTCTCATGCTGCTACAAATCTTCCTACTCCTACCCAAAGTGAATCCCTCCAGTTGTTCGGTAGCTCAGATTAAGTACATCATTCACTGCATGCTATTTTTTCTGTCTTAAAAAAAAACCCAACAACTTATATTGGCCTTATGAACTATTGCCCCAGCTGTTTCCTGCTCTTGAGCAAAATTACCTTAAAAACTGTCCAAACTTGTTAGCTCCAATTCTTCTCCTCTCCTCTCTTTCCCTACTTTTAGGGATTGCTTTTTAAAATGTTAACAGGCCAGGCGCGGTGGCTCACGCCTGTAATCCCAGCACTTTGGGAGGCCTAGGAGAGTGTATCACCTGAGGTCATGAGTTCTAGACCAGCCTGGCCAGGATGGTGAAACCCCCCTCCGTCTCTACTAAAAATACAAAAATTAGCCAGGTGCCTGTAACCCCAGCTACTTGGGAGGCTGAGGCAGGAGAATCACTTGAACCCGGGAGGTGGAGGTTGCAGTGAGCCAAGATTGCGGCGTTGTACTCCAGCCTGGGCAACAAGAGCGAAACTCCATCTCAAAAAAAAAAAAAAAAAAAAAAAAGTTGACGTAAATTGTTTTATAATTGCTTTAGACTGTTTTGTGCTGCTATAACAGAATATCACAAACAGGGTAATTTATCAAGAACAGAAATCTAAATCTCACAGTTCTGCATGCTGGACGTCCAAGATGAAGGCACCAGCACTCGGAGTTGGATGACGGCTGCATCCGCATAACATGGGAGGGCAAGAAAAGCCCTCCTTCTGCCAGCTCCTTTTATAAGGACACCTAATCCCATTCACGAGGGAGGAACCCTGTAGGCCAACCCACCTCTTAAAGCCCCACCTCTTAATGCAATCACATTGGCAACACCTGTTTTGGAAGGGGCACATTCAAACCATAGCAATAATTATGGAAAACACTGAAAGAGTTCCAATGCCAAACTATAAAACCAGGTACATTTCGAAAGGTCTCATTTCCATCTTCATCCTTTCTGCCCTGTTTTCTCTCTCTCCCATAGGTAACCATTTCCATTAGTTTTTGTTTCTCCTTCTGTTATATTTATATGTACGTGTATGTATATAGGCAAATATATATGTTCTGTACCTTTATTATCCACTAAAAAAATCCATCATAGAGATAACCCCACTGCAGTATATGGAGATCGTTGTTATTTGCTTTTTACAACCAGTTCCTTCTTGATGGGCATGTGGATTATTCCTACTTTTTTGCTATCACAGAGAGCTACAATGAACAGCCTTATGCGTGCATCTTTTTGTACTTTTGCTGGTTTGCCTTTCGGATAGTTTCCTAGCAGTGGACGCTGGTTCAAGGGTAGATGTATATGTAATTTTGCTAGATATTGCTGAGTTCTCCTTTATTTATAAACACATAGAGCTATCTTACTGCATTCTCACTAGCAGTTTCTGAGAGTACCTATTTTCTTAAGGCCTTGACAACAGAATATGTTGTTAAGTTTGTGGATTTATGCCAATCTGATAGATGGGAAAGGGTATTTCAGTTTGTTTTTAATTTGCGTTACTCTATTTTTTTTTTCAAGAATACTGTGTAAGTGATATGTATACTTACATCAGGGCATTTTTCTTTTTTAAAAAAATGTAACTTATTATTTTGAGATAATTGTATATTCACATGCAGATGTAAGAGAAAATGCAGAGAGATGCCTGTATCCAGTTTCCAAGGGTAACATCTTGCAAGGGTAACAACAGGATATGGACACAGATACAGTCATGTCAAAATTTTTTTTTAGTTGCTATAAGAATCCCTCACATTGACCCCCCCCCTTTTTTTTTTTTTTTTTTTTTTGAGACAAGAGTCTCACTCTGTCACCAGGCTGGAGTGCAGTGCAGTGGTGCAATCTTGGCTCAGTGCAACCTCTGACTCCCGGGTTCAAGCCATTCTCCTGCCTCAGCCTCCTGAGTACCTGGGACTACAGGTGCATGCCACCACGCCTGGCTAATTTTTGTATTTTTAGTAGAGACTGGGGTTTCACTATGGTGGCCAGGATGGTCTCGATTTCTTGACCTCGTGATCCACCCGCCTTGGCGTCCCAAAGTGCTGGGATTACAGGCGTGAATCACTGTGCCTGGCCCACATTGCCCTTTTATAGCCATGCCTACTTCCTTTCTGCCCCCATGCCCTTCTTAGACCCCGACAACCACTAATCTGTTCTCCATTTCTATCATGTTATCATTTCAAGAATGCTCAATAAATGGCACCATAGAGTACATAACATTTTGAGATTGGCTTTGTTCACTTGGCATAATTCTCTGGAGATTGCTATGTGTATTAATAGTTTGTTTCTTTTTATTACTGAATTGGACTCCATGGAATCCAATTCAACAATCAGAGGGATTCACTTTGGGTAGGAGTACGAAGGTTTGTAGCAGCATGAGAGAAGGCATTATCTTGCTACAGGAACAGGTGCTGGTAGGTGGCTAGATTCAGCAGTCCGAGCCTTGGACGGACTCCAAATTGCTTTGATTTTTCTCCTTGAGTTAGAAAGCAAGGTTATCACCTGACCTGAGAATGAGACTGAGGGAGGCTCCCAGGTGTTGGAGGCTGAGTCGAGAGAGGGAAATGGGACAGAGTCACCAGGGAGAGTGGAAACAGTGTGACTGCCATGGCTGGACCATTCACCTATTGACAGACATCTGAATTGTTTCCAGTTTTGCTCTATTATGAGTAAAGCTGCTATAAGCATCTATATACATATTTTTATGTGAGCACAGGTTTTCTCTTTCTGTGATAAATGCCCAGCAACTGCTTGGTTGTATGGTTGTTTTTTATTTTTTTTATTTTTATTTTTTTAAGAAATCACCAAGGCCGGGCACAGTGGCTTATTCCTGTAATCGTAGCACTTTGAGAGGCCGAGGTGGGAGGATTGCTTGAGTCCAGGAGTTCGAGACAAGCCTGGGCAACATAACAAGACCCCATCTCCATATAAAAAAATAAATAAATAGGCTGGGCGCGGTGGCTCACACCTGTAATCCCAGCACTTTGGGAGGCTGAGGCAGGTGAATCACCTGAGGTTGGGAGTTCGAGACCAGTCTGACTAACATGAGAAACCCCCATCTCTACTAAAAATACAAAATTAACCAGGCATGATGGCACATGCCTGTAATCCCAGCTACTTGGGAGGTTGAGGCAGGAGAATTGCTTGAACCCGGGAGGCGGAGGTTTCGGTGAGCCAAGATCACGCCATTGCACTCCAGCCTGGGCGACAAGAGCAAAACTCCATGTTGGAAAAAATAAATAAATACAACAACTACACACACAAAAACGCATACATACACACATAGCTTAATCCTGATCTACTTCTGCAGAAGCGAACCTCAGATAACAGTCCTGTCACCCTTCGCCTTCTCATCTTCCTCTGCCATATTCTTTTCTCCTCCTTCTCTTTCCCATCCTTCCCTCGGAATCCCAAATGCTGATTGAATTATGAGTGTGCATGTGGAAAATGGTGTCGCCAATACAATTTCTTCCACACTCTGCCCAAGTCAAAACACGAGGAGAACATCAAGGCGCAACTCTTTCAACTCCCGTGGGGATGGATAAGGGAGTCACTCCAGATGAGTTTCTCATGCTAATCAGTATCATGAAAATCAATAGCTCTGTATCATCCCATGGTCTACCACTCACAGATTATTTAACTAATACTCTCACATGCACTCCTTATTTAGAATCAGTTTTTAAAATGTGGGTCTTTGGCAGCACGTAACTTTATCACTTACCAGTCTGGCAAATGAAATAGTGTCTCAGGAAGCAATTGTCCTCTTTGGATAAGATCCGACTGAGGTTTCTGGACAGGTAGGTGCAGCTGGGGGGCTTTGGGGCTCCGGGGGCTGCAACATCTGCTGAGGGGAGATCAGACCCAGGTGAGCCTCATACTCGAAAGCCAGGCTTTTAGATTTATTTCTTATTATTGTTTTCAAGACAGAGTCTCACTTTCTCGCCCAGGCTGGAGTGCAGTGGTGCCATCACCGCTCACTGCAACCTCCACCTCCCAGGTTCCAGTAATTCTCCTGCCTCAGCCTCCCAAGTAGCTGGGATTACAGGCACCTGCTACCACACCTGGCTAATTTTTGTATTTTTAGTAGAGAGGGGGTTTCACCGTGTTGGCCAGGCTGGTCTCGAACTCTTGACCTCAGGTGATCCATCCACCTCCGCCTTCCAAAGTGCTCAGGTTACAGGTGTGAGCCACTGCACCCGCCCCGCCAGGCATTTTTAAAAAGTAAATATGAAAGCCAAATTTGGCTGGCTTCCAATAGATAAAAATGTAGAATTTCCTCCCATAGATTATAGTTTATTTTTTTGTATGTGTTCCTTACCACAAGGCTTAGTATTACTTTACCTACACATTAATGAGGATGATGAGAATGATATAATAATGGCTTGGATTTGTCTCTAAAACTTCAAGATTATGGTGCATAGCTTTGAAAACACTGTAAGAAATACAATAGGTAGATAATCTTCCTCTTAGTTTTGTGTTAGAAAACTTAAAGATCAGAACAATGAAGAGATGTTTATTAGGAAAAAAATGACCACCAAAGGTTTCTGTCTTTCGAACCTAGCACAATTTTTTTTTTTGAGACAGAATCTTGCTCTGTCGCCCAGGCGGGAGTGCAGTGGCGCGATCTCGGCTCACTGCAAGCTCCACCTCCTGGGTTTACGCCATTCTCCTGCCTCAGCCTCCCGAGTAGCTGGGACTACAGGCGCCCGCCACCTCGCCCGGCTAATTTTTTGTATTTTTAGTAGAGACGGGGTTTCACCGTGGTCTCGATTTCCTGACCTTGTGATCTGCTCGCCTCGGCCTCCCAAAGTGCTGGGATTACAGGCGTGAGCCACCGTGCCAGGCAAACCTAGCTCAATTCTTTTAGTGAAAGGTTAGGTAAGTTAACTTTAGATGGGTTCTAGGAAAAATTGCATCACTTTTGCGACACGGACAAATCAAAGGCTGTAGCACAAAATGGAAATAATTTCAGAGGAAAGATGGTAATGAAGTAAAGTGATTGGTTTTTCTGTGTACAAAAGCAGAAAGATTAAGATTTTCTTTTTTTTTTTTTTTCTGTCCCAGAATAAAATATAACAAAGTTTCCTTCATAAACACCAAACCCTAGAGTCTTACCTGGGTAGTTTTCATCTTGATGCTTTCTCAGTGGCATTACATTTTGCCCAATCCACCACTTCTTTCCTTCTTCCAGAAAGTCCTGGATGAGATCTTGAACTTCCTGGTTCCAAATATGAGCTAGGAATCCTCTCTGCCCATGACAGTAATGCTCTGCTTCCTCAAAGCTGCAGTGAAATCTGTTAAACTGGTAACAATTATTTTGCCCATGTGGCCCTGGGCTGTTTAGTTCACTTCCTAGAATGATACTTGTTCTGATGTATAACCAAAGCCAGCTTCCTCCTTTGAAGAACATGTTCTCTGAATTGTAGCAAGAAAAAGTGTGGGGGTTTAGCAGCTGCCTGATCCTTTAAATATACATATTGACGGGCTTGTATTATTAGTGTTCTTCTTTTATGAGTTGGGAACAATTTACCAAGGATACAAAAGGTTTTGTTTTGAGGACCCAGGTGCAGTTCCTACAAGCTGAAAACAAATAGCAGAGATCAATAAAGCAATGGCCCTTTGTGTCTGGGGCCCCACCATCTGTGTCTACCTACCAAATATGACTTTAGCAAGTAGAGATAGATGATAAAGCTGAGTCTAAGCTGCACTGGGTAGAGGATGATGAATATCTAACATCTAAGTTAGTGTGGCTAAAAATTAGTAAGTGTAGCTTTTTTTTTTTTTTCTGAGACAGGGTCTCATTCTGTTGCCCAGGCTGGAGTGCAGTGGCATGATCTCAGCTCACTGCAGCCTCGACCTCCCAGGCTCAAGTGATCAATCTTCCCACCTCAGCCTCTCGAGTAGCTGGGACTATAGGAGCGCACCACCACCACCACGCCCACCTCTTTTTTTTTTTTTTTTTTTGAGATACTGTCTTGCTATGTTGCCCAGAGTGGTCTCGAATTGCTGGGCTCAAGACATCTGCTCGCCTTGGCCTCCCAAAGTTGGAGAATTACAGGTGTGAGCCACCACACTCAGCCATATATATATATATATTTTAAAGAAAGTCATTCTTGCAGACCCTCTAAGATTTTTTTTTTTTTCTTTGAGACAGAGTTTTGCTCTTGCTGCCCAGGCTGGAGTGCAATGGCGCCATCTCAGCTCATTGCAACCTCCGCCTGGGTTCAAGCGATTCTCCTGCCTCAGCCTCCTAAGTAGCTGGAATTACAGGCATGTGCCACCACACCCGGCTAATTTTGTATTTTTAGTAGAGATGGAGTTTCACCATGTTGGTCAGACTGGTCTCAAACTCCTAACCTCAGGTGATCCACCCACCTTGGCCTCCCAGAGTGCTGGGATTACAGACGTGAGCCACTGCACCTGGCCTCATTTTTTAAAAAAGTAAATTGTATTGTGTATATTTAAGGCACACAGCATAATGTTATGGGATACATATAGATATTAAGAAAGTTACTATAGTAAAACAAACATATTCAACACCTCACATTAGTTACCCACTTTTTTTTGTTTTTTGTGGCAAGAGCAGCTAAAATCTCATCCAGCATGAATCCGGTCTACTGTATGGTTTTGTTGCCTGCAGTCCTCAGGGTGCACATTACATCTCTCGACTTGTTCATCCTACATCTCTGCTACCGCCAGGACTGATTTAAATTACTGTATTCTGTCTCTTCAGTACATACAAACAGAACTAGACATAAACTCTTTTTTTTTTCTTTGATATGGGGGTCTCATTATGCCACCCCGGCTGGAGGGCAGTAGCGTGATCAGAGCTCAGTGCACACTTGAACTCCTGGACTCAAACAATCCTCTCACCTTGGCTTCTCAAACTGCAGGTGTGAGCCACCGCCCCTGGTTCATGAGCTTTATCTTAAAGCTCTTACACAGTCATAAAAACCAAACAATATTAAATGGAAGAATGAATACAAAGTAAATACAAACAAAACTGAAAACCAATGAGATCCATGTTTTGCCAAGCTCAGTAGCAGACAAACAGGGTTCTGGCCTACGACTACTCAGGTTCCTTTAAATCTGGCATGCATGCTATTTTATGATATGGGGAGGATTCAGTTCTGATAACACGTTTCTTTATTTGACTCACTAAACAAAACAAAACAAAAACAACAAAAAAACCCTTTGTTCACACAGCAGGTCATTTGGTCTCCACCTGTTGCATACCCACCCTGTGGATTACAGCTGGTTCTTTCTCGGTGCCAAAAAGTGATCATAAACTCAAGCAAATGTGGACACTGAACCACTTGGCAGGTTTCAGGGTTAAGATGGTTATCCAGATAGTGCAAATGATGCTTATGTTACTCTAAAAATCAGTACAGGAGTGGCCACCAACATTATGAAATTCTCTAAAACACAGACTGCAAGAATACATCCTGTTTAGAAAACACTGCAGTAATCAACCAAGGCCGGTGGCTCACGCCTGTAATCCCAGTGCTTTGGGAGGCTGAGGTGGGCAGATCACTTGAGGTCAGGAGCTTAAGACCAGCCTGGCCAACATGGTGAAACCCTGTCTCTACTAAAAAAACAAAATTTAGCCGGGCTTGGTGGCCCGTGCCTGTAATCCCAGCTACTCAGGAGGCTGAGGCAGTAGGATCACTTGAACCAGTTGGCGGAGGTTGAAGTGAGCTGAGATAGAGCCACCGCACTCCAGCCTGGGCGACAGAGCAACACTCTGTCTCAAAAAAAAGCCCCAAAACCAAAAAAACCAAAACACTGCAGTAATCAAATGAAAGATAAATACAGTATGATCCTCACTTTCAAAAAGTCCAATTAAGGAAGAAAAGGCACAATAATTGTAATTAATACAGGCAGTGAAAAGTGCCAGCCTCGAGGGACAGCTCAGGTGCTGCCGTGAAGGTTCAGATAAGGAAGAAATTACTTCCAGCTTTTGGAATGAACACATAAAGATGGCAATATTTAGACAGATGAAATGGACATCTCGGCAGAGGAGTCGATGTGAATAAATACACAGAGGTGGGAAAGTGGAAGGTATTGATAAAGAAATACGTGTGTGTGTAGGGGGTACCTGGTGCAACAGTAGTGGGAACTGTAACCAGAAAATGGGAGTGTTTCAAATGCCAGGATAAAGGGTTTGCGGTTTATTTGGAAGTTTTCTGAGCAGAGTAGTCCACCCTTACAAGAGTGTGTGGCAATGGAATCATCTGGATGTGGGATGCTTTTGTTTTCCAAGTTCACAGAGCCTCAACTTCTAAACATCATATACGTACAAAAATAAATATACGATACAGCCACACATATGTTTCAAGCTTTTTTTCCAGATTAAAAAATGATACTTTATTATAACTTTTAAAATTGCAGAACATCAGGCTGAATATCATTAGACACATACACAAAACCACTCATTTCTTTTTTTTTTTTTTTTTTTCTGAGACAGAGTCTCGCTCTGTTGCCCAGGCTGGAGTGCAGTGGCCAGATCTCAGCTCACTGCAAGCTCCGCCTCTCGGGTTTACGCCATTCTCCTGCCTCAGCCTCCAGAGTAGCTGGGACTACAGGTGCCCGCCACCTCGCCCGCCTAGTTTTTTGTATTTTTTAGTAGAGACGGGGTTTCACCGTGTTAGCCAGGATGGTCTCGATCTTGTGACCTTGTGATCCGCCCGTCTCGGCCTCCCAAAGTGCTGGGATTACAGGCTTGAGCCACCGCGCCCGGCCAAAACCACTCATTTCTAAAGTCATCTTCTATACCCTCTCAAAATTTGGCCAATGAATTATGCCTCAGGGAATTTTCCAGTTCAACCCCATACATAAATGGAAACACTAGCCTTTTGGTTTTGCCCACAGTTCCAAAGTGCTATTACACGTGGAGTATATGCTGCAGGAAGTCATTCTTGCTGCTGTGGGTGTGAGTAAAATGTCCATCTGTATGCCTCTGGTCCTGCAGGCTTTGTTCTCTTTCTCCTCATTTTGTCTCCTTCTACAGGGGTTGCCTTACATACTGCAATCAAAAGACATCTTCTGCTCAGAATCACAACAGATAGTGAGAGGTTCAAGTGAGAAGTAATGTTACACAGTAAGTTAGTGAATTTACAATAAGAAATTGAACTCTGGGGTTACAACTCAAATATGATTTCAAGGTAAAGAAAATAATTACTTGGCTGGCTGGTGAAATGCTTAGTTCCTTCTAAAATCATAATTGCAATATGGACTTCTGCTTCATGCTGCATCCCAAGGCACCAATCAGCTAACCTACATCTCCCAAATGATCAACAGAGCATTCCTTCCTATTTTACCCTCAGTGCTGAGAAATTACTCCTGAGCCCAGAAGTTGTTGCATAGGTGACTTGGGTGACTTGGTGCTCAGGCAACAACTGCCACAGGCCCCACCTTGATGAACACCATCGATTTATTTAAATATGATGATACTAAGATGGAGTCCCCTGCTCAGAGGAAGCAAGGACGTAAAAGCTGGGACAGGCTGCGTGCAGGGTCACTATACTAACAGACCCAGATGACACGATGGAACGTGAATACTGAAGCCAACAATCTTCTGGAAATCTCTTTTTCAAAACTCATACACCATTTTTTCTAACGGCGAAATCAGGGACAGGGAAACATTCGCATAATTACCCATCAACATGTTCTTCTTAACAGAAGTGAAGATTATTTTAAGAATATGAAAAGTGTTTCAAGACACCTGTTTTCAGGGATAGACCACAGCAACAGAAGTACTTTTCAGAGTTAGTTCGTTTTAAAGTCTAGCTCAAGAACAAGGGCAGCTGGCTTTCACAAGGTACCAAGACATGTTCTAGCCAAAACATTTTCACTTTAAGTTATATGCAGTCAAGTTCAACTATTTTATACATATCTGATCCTTTTATGTCAGCAAAAAAGGTAAAATTTTTTTAAAACTCCAAAGTCAATCATTTCTGGGTAGGATGAAAGTAGAATTTTGGTTGCATTTTATACTTCAGAACACAGATGAAACCAAAAGGTCTGCAATTGTCTCTACATTCACATCTTTCAAAGGTCCTTTTCTCCTGTTACATGAATTCATCTGAATCACTGCCATCCTGATTTGAAGACATATTTTCAACTTTCATTCGTGATGAATAGCTCCTAAGTTCATCCATTTCTCTCTTCTTCATATTTTCTTTTTCTCTCTTTTTCATTTCCTGAATTTGGGCTTCTTTCTCATTCTTCTCTTCACAATCTCTGCATTCTTTCTCTGCTGCTAGGTCTGGGAACCGCTCCACTTTGCTTTTTTCTAATCGGTTTAGGATCTCATTTACTTTCTTCTCCATTGTCACAATTTTTACATCCTTCTGCCTGTGAAATACTATCTGCCCCACATCCACGTCAGCTGTTTTCTTCAGATTAGACCACAGCATATATACCACATTAACGCTGTTCATTTTGCAGCCTTGAATGCTATTGGCCTTCACAAGTGGGCACAGTCTATCAGCACTTCCTTTGGAATGTCTTCTATATTCTCTCCCTTATGCAACCGAAGGTACATATGAGCCAAAGAGACTTTGGCCACATGAAACCAGATATATTGAGGCCAATCATGCTTGATCAGATCTTCATGATGATATATGGGTTGGTAGGAGAGAGATAAAACTCAAGGGCGAGCGCGGTGGCTCACGCCTGTAATCCCAGCACTTTGGGAGGCTGAGGCCAGTGGATCACAAGGCCAGGAGATCCAGACCATTCTGGCCAAAATGGTGAAACCCTGTCTCTATTTCAATTTATCCTTTCCCATGTAAATAGTGCAGGCAGATGAATTAACGCTGCTGCTGGTGAAGTAGAACACCATGATCCTGGTAGTGGTGCAAGGACTCCAGCACGGAGCAGCTGTGCTCAACTGCGGCGGCCGCCTGGTCCCTGGAATTCTTTTTTTCTTTTTTTTTTTTAATGCATTACGGAAACTTTTAAATGTGATTTTTGTACATAAGGAGTATGAGAGTAACCCTTTTACAAACGAACCTAATTTACTAGAACAAACAATGACAAAACTGAACTGATATTTGATGTGAATCCATAGGAGTTTAAGCTTCAAATCCAGCCAGAAGTTTGTTACAATCTCCGTCAGCTTTGCATCTGAGTCTTCTGAGATCTTTCCATCAGCCCTGATAGTGCCCAGCAGGGCTTAGTGCTGGCTGACAACACGAGACAAGAAAGCATTCTCAAATTTCGTAATCTTGCTGGGCTCCAGTTTATCACGATACCCCCTTTACACCCACATAGATAACAGCCACTTGTTCTTCAGTAACCATGGGAGAACACTGTCCTTGCTTCAGCAACTCAATTAGACGCACACCACGACTCAAAAGTTGAGTGGGAGCACTGAGGTCAGAACCAAACTGGGCTACTCAGGAGGCTGAGGCAGGAGAATGGCGCGAACCCCGGAGGTGGAGCTCGTAGTGAGCTGAGATTGCACCACTGCACTCCAGCCTGGGCAACAGAGCAAGACTCTGTCTTTAAAAAAAAAAAAAAAAAAATCACCGCAGTAAACCACACTCCAACAGGGCTGCACACTCAGGGTCTTGATGAGAAACAGTATTAAAAAAAACACCTCCACATCTGTTGCACCAGAATGCCAAGGTTTAACCAGGGACACTTTCTCCAGGAGGCATAACAGGCGCAGGGCCAGGGAAGGGCCTCTGACACTTTTAGGGTCTCAAGAAAATGGGGTTTTTTTGGTTGTTTTTCTTTGTTTTTGAGACAGAGTCTCGCGTTGTCGCCCAGGCTGGAGTGCAGTGGTGTGATCTCGGCTCACTGCAACCTCCACCTCCTGGGTTCAAGCGATTCTCCTGCCTCAGCCTCCCAAGTAGCTGGGATTACAGGCGCCCGCCACTACGCCCGGCTAATTTTTTGTATTTTATTTTTTTAGTGGAGACGGGGTTTTGGGTGTTGACCAGGTCTCGAACTCCTGACCTCAAGTGATCCGCCTGCCTCGTTCTCCCAAAGTGCTGGGATTACAGGCGTGAGCCACCGAGCCTCAAGAAAATGTTTTAATTTCCTTAAAAAACCTTAAGAAAAATCAACTTTTAAGTTGAAAAACTTTATATATTGACATATTCATCTTTATATCAACACAGCAGTAAAATTCATTTTTTAAAGTGATAAAAACTGTACAAATATTTCTGGTGTGAAACAGCGTTTTGATGTCTACACTAAAACAACTTCAGGAAGTGGCCCACAAAAGTCACAACGCGGCCCCGGCAGAAAGGCAGCGGTGTGTGGCACGACCTCAACACCTGTCTTCCTCACAGAGCCCCGACGCCTAGCGGACCCTCGGATTCGAGGCTGCAGTACCATGGACAAACCCCGCGCAGCAGCTTCTCTGCCAACCGCCGGCGACCAAGCGGCAGACCGTGAGCAGGGCGGGCGGAAGAGGTGTGGCTGCCGCTACTGCGCACACGCACCCAACCAGAACCTGGGGTGATGCCGGGCCTTCCCCGCTGCGCGGAGGCGACCGCTCAACCCTTCTGCCCGGCGATTGGTGGGCTGGCGGCTAAGGGGCGGAGATAGGAGGGGCCGCTGCCATCTTCTCCAATGGAACGGAGACAGGGGCGGGCTTATTGACGGAAGGAGCATGGCGTGGAGACACCTGAAAGTGAGTCCCGCGAGTGAGCAGTGTGAATCGGGAACCGGGGACCCGGGCGGGCAAGAACGGAGACTCAGGCCGGGCGAGGCATGGACCGAAGGCGGCTCCGGGGGTGTGGGCCCCCCGGGACGTGTTCGTGTTTCCGGGGAAGCCTGTAAATGCTCGCGCGTGTGCATATGCACGTGGACTCGGTCAGGCGTGAGCAGACAGCGCCTGCAGGGCTGGGTGGGTGCTGATCTGAGTGTCTGCGCCTGGGCCATGTTTTTGAGCCTGGCACAGGGGTGCTTAGTGAACACATGACCGCCTAGCGTTGTGTGCAGGATCCAATGGGGAATGAAACTAGAGTAGGACATGGTCCCAGTCCTTTTAGGTAAAGTTTTGTTAGGGCGGGGGGCTCTATGTGAAAAGTTCTTAGTTGTATCCCCGTATGTAGTAGGTGTTCAAATATTTGTTGATTGGCATGGGGTTGGGGGGGGGGGGCGTGCAGTCTCCAAAGGAGGCAATGAAAACCTTGAGTCTCTTTTTATTTATTCATTTGAGACGGAGTCTCGCTCTGTCGCCCAGGCTGGGGTGCAGTGGAGCGATCTTGGCTCACTGCAAACTCCGCCTCCCGGGTTCAAGCGATTCTCCTGCCTCGGCCTGAGTAGCTGGGATTACAGGCGTGCACCACCACGCCTGGCTAATTTTGATATTTTTTGTAGAGACAGGGTTTCACCATTTTGGTCAGGCTGGTTTCGAACTCCTGACCTCGTAAGCCTCCCAAAGTGTTGGGATTACAGGCGTGAGCTACCGCGCTCGGCCTGAATCTTTTTTTAAAATAAATACATGGAGAGAGATGGGATTTCACTGTGTTGCCCAGGCTGGTCTAGAACTATTGGCCTCAAGGGATCTTCGCGCGTCAGCCTCCCAAGGTGGTGGGATTACAGGCGTGGGCTACCGCACCCAGCCAATGAATACTTGATCTACATCTCTTTAGCAGTTTGGAAGTATCTTTAAAAGCAAATCTGATCATGTTATTTCCTGGCTTAGGGAACAAAACTCACATCTTGATTTTGGCCAAACTCCTGCTCATTTCTCCTGTTTCGTCTTAAGCCTTACTTTCCCTCACTCCTCTGTTCCAAACTTTCTCCCTTTCTCATTCTCTTCTGCTACTGAGAGAGCCTTTACACGTTTTCCTCTCCCTACTGCCTTCTGATTAACTTTTTAAAAATAATTGAACCAGAACAGGTTCAAAGAGACTCCCAACAATTCGTTTATCCCTTGAGTATCAGCTTTAAGTCATTTCCTTAAGGAAGCCTTTCTTTACCTCTAAGATTAGGTTGAATACTTTCATTACCTTATACTTTTTATCCTTCATCACAGTTGCCATGACTACGTATTTGCATGATCATTGATTTCTGTCTGTCGCTTCATAAGATCACACTCTCCATGAGGGTAGGGGCAAGATCTGTTTTGCCATCTTTGCTCAATCAGTATTTGATGAATGACTAAACTAATGAATGAATAACTCAGCATCTGGCAGTGATAATTAGAGAAAAGCATCGTGAACCACTTTTGATCCAATAAGATCTGAAGCTTCTGTTTTATATTTTACACCCCCTGAAATGGAATATATGTATAATATCTTTGTATGTATACATTTTTGAGAGAGTCTTCACTCCATTGCACAGGTGGAGTGCAGTGGCATGATCCCAGCTTGCTGCAGCTTGGACCTCCTGGTCTCAAGGGATCTGCCCACTTCTGCCTCCCAAGTAGCTGAGACCACAGATGCACCACCATGCCTGGCTAATTTTTTATATTTTGTAGAGATGGGGTCTCACTATGTTGCCCAGGCTGGTCTCAAACTCCTGAGCTCAAGCAGTCCTCCCACTTTAGCCTCCCAAAGTGCTGGGATTACAAGCATGAGTCACCAAGTCCAGCTATGTGCAATTTTTGAAAGCCAGCATAATTAATACCCTAAGTGGAATATAAAGGAGAAAATTTAAAAGTAGTTTATATTAATAAAATTACATGTATTTCAGTATGTAAATATTGCTGACTCCCCTAGTGAGATAGTTGTGTTTAAGCCTCTACTTAGAAATGCAAGTGCACAGGTGTGTTACATTATCAAACACCCCAGCAAAGCACTGTACCATTCCCGATGAGATTTTCTGAAATGAACAATTCTTGGGAATGTTCTATGCAACACTGTATAGTTGTCCCTCCATTTACAAGATACTTGTACTGTATGTGAAAACCATGTGAAGGCTGGGCACTGTGGCTCATGCTGTAATCTCAGCACTTTGGGAGGCCAAGGCAGTACTAGTACTGCCTTGAGCCCAAGAGTTCTAGAGCAGCCTGGGCAACATAGCGAGACTCTATCTCTTCAAAAAATTGGCTGGGCTTGGTGGCATGTACCTGTGGTCCCAGTTATTTGGGGAGGCTGAGGTGGGAGGATTGCTTGAGACCAGGAAGTCAAGAAAGACAGTGTATATGGTAAAATAGAGTTTGGCTCAGATAATATGAACATATAATTTTTTACGCACACGAATGTCAGTAGGATGTTCAAAAGTCACACAGGAAATGGGGCAGTTCATGTCAGATAGTCTCAAGCCGAGAAGGATGTCTGACTTTCCGGATTCCTGCCCACCACATCTATTAGCATTACCCTGTCACTGTAACCAGTAGCAGTGTCCACCACAATCCCCCTAGGGGACAGTATGGTCCCTCTTGAAATTTCTGGCCTGAGAGTCCCAGGAAAGCCTTTAGGACCTGAAGAGGTGTGTAGGCAGAAGTGTCAATACAGCCTCTGACTGTAGGGGCCAGTGTTAGCAGAAGGCTAAGGGCGTCTGTTTCATGTGACCTGCCGTTATGCCCTCTATGTGCCTGGGTGTGAAGGGCTTAGGGAGGGTGCTGCAGCCTGGCCTGGAGGGCCCCCCTAATAGGCTCTTCTTTTGCAGAAGCGGGCCCAGGATGCTGTGGTCATCCTGGGGGGTGGAGGACTTCTCTTCGCCTCCTACCTGATGGCCACAGGAGATGAGCGTTTCTATGCTGAACACCTGATGCCAGCTCTGCAGGGGCTGCTGGATCCGGAGTCAGCCCACAGACTGGCCGTTCGCTTCACCTCCCTGGGGCTCCTTCCACAGGCCAGATTTCAAGATTCTGACATGCTGGTAGGTGTTCCTGGATACCCTGTGCATTAAATACAAAGGTGAAGGCTGAAGTCCCTAAACTTCTCAGCTAGGACTGATCTTTTTGAACACCAGAACCTCAAGTGAGCAGTGGAGATTTGGAATTCAGTCTGAGCATTCTTTTTTTGTGTCATGTAATTAGCAATGATGATTATCTATTACATATATGGGATTGTGTTAGGCGATGTTCTTGTTTGATCCTCCCAGCTACTGCATGAGCTAGATCTGTTACCATCCCCAGCCATGGATCAGGAGACCAAGAAACAGAGTAAGGAATAACAGAAAGGAACTCCAGTCACACAGCTAGGGGGTAGCAGGACCAGGATTCAAACCCACGGAGTCTGACACTGGCTTCCTGCCCCTTGGCCGCTGTCCTGCCTTGCTGAGGTTGCAGGTAGCTCAGTCTTCCCCTTGGCTAAATGGGGAAACTGCCAGAGTCATTGAGCACCGTGCGAGACAGGAGCGTTGGGTCCCAGCCTCACTCAGCCGTATGTTCAGCACACAGGCCCTCTCCACATGCTTGAAATCTTTGGCCTAGAGTCCCAGGAAAGCCTTTAGGGCTGGAAGAGGGTGTGTAGGCAGAAGTGTAGATACAGCCTCTAACTGTAGAGGCCAGTGTCAGCAGATGGCTAAGGGCCTCTGTTTCATGCAACCTTCCGGGCTTAGTGCAGCAAACCGAATAGAAGAATCCCCATCCTCATAGAAGCTGCTTCCTCATGGAAGTCTCGGCAGTTTCCTTTTGAGAGGCTTCTTTTCAAATGGGAGGACATCGGAATGATTTGAGTGTGAAAACGCAAACAAGAAGTCCTCAGAACTCTGGGGAGGAAGGGTCACTGTTACAAATTAAAGGGGCCTTCACCGCATTTCCCCTTCCGACCTTAGACTCCTTTTCACTCTCTGATTGTATGCTGTTGAGCAGATGTGTCATTTCCCCTGACTCGCCATGCTCACACACTAACAGGCACTGTAGGCTCAGACAGAGCACTCTGTTAAACTGTCCTCAACCCAGACTGCTAGTTTGAGAGCCCTGGAGTGAATGGGAGTGAATAATGAGTGGGATGCAGAGATGAGGAGAATTTAGAAGGAAGTGTGTGCCTGAGGGCGCAGGCTATGTCTGTGTAGACACAGATGACAGAGACAGGCAAACCTGACCTCGGAGGTGTTGTCCTAAACACCGCTGCCTGTGCCCACGCTTGCAGCAGCTCATTTAGAATGTGACTCAAACTTTTTAACTTGGTAGCCAGGACTCTTGATGATTTCACAGCTTTCCTGGTTTAGCTCTCCACCCTTCACCTGTGTCAGGCATGTTAGAATCCCCCGGGGTTGCATTTGGAGTATCCAGATGCCCTGGCCTGGTGCCAGACCAGTTTCACCGCCACATCTGAGAGTGGGACCTGAAAGCTGCCAGGGGCCTCTGTGGTACAGCCGGAGCTGAGAACCGCAGTCCTGGAGGAAGGCCCCTAGTCCAGCCACACACATCTTGCCTCCCAGTCTCCTGAGGTGCTGCGAGCATTCTCACCTTCATTTGTTGTTGTTCTTTCTTGGAGTATCTCTCTTAGCCCCTGCTTCCAGGATCCCACGGTGTTCACCCTGGGAGGCCTTTGCTAGTCTCCTGAAAGGTCGCTGGAGCCCATCAGTCAGTTCTGCCCAGCTGAACACCTTCCTTCCTCGGGTTCCCTGTGGGAGGCTGGAGGTCGTGGCTGGGGCTTCTTACCAGCCTGGATGAGGAGGGACACAGCTGGAGCTGATGTTTATTAAGCTGATTAAAGGGTTTGCTGCTTACCATGCCTTGGTTTCAGGGAGGCACTATCTAGGGCCTGACACCAGCGAGCTACTCTCTCCCACCAAGGCTAGTTGATAAGAAGGTATGAACCTTAACCACAATTGGAAAAGGCAGCGCTTGTCTCCTGTTCAACCCATGGTGGAAACACCGTTTCTCCCCCCAGGCTTGCTAATAATAAAGCCCCGTGGTTTTCAAACTCTAGTAGGCGTCACAGTCCCCTGGAGAGCCAGCACTGTTAAAAATAGGTTCCCCCAGTGCTCCATTCCTCCCCCAAAGATTTTGACCTTGGGGGTGGGCCCTGGGATCTGAGGTTTCACAAGCTTCCCAGGTCATTCTGGTGTAGCCGTGCCAGGAACCATGCTTTGAGAAACACCGGGATAGCCTTGCGTGCCTCTGACTTTGTCTTCCTCTTCCCAGGAAGTGAGAGTTCTGGGCCATAAATTCCGAAATCCAGTAGGAATTGCTGCAGGATTTGACAAGCATGGGGAAGCCGTGGACGGACTTTATAAGATGGGCTTTGGTTTTGTTGAGATAGGAAGTGTGACTCCAAAACCTCAGGAAGGAAACCCCAGACCCAGAGTCTTCCGTCTCCCCGAGGACCAAGCTGTCATTAACAGGTAAGTGAGCGGCCCAGAGTTCATGGGGGATGCCCTCTTTCCAGCTGGGCTTTCAGAGATGTAAGATCTGCCTCTGTTTTTTTCTCTCATACAATGTGGATATTCTTCTGTCGTTTGGAATGTTCAGGAACCCCGTTCAGCATCTACTATGTGCCCCAGGCATCTATCTTGAAAAGCAGGCTTTGTCACGTCCATTTAACAGTTGTGTAGACGGAGGCTCGTAGAACCAAATAACTCTGCTTCGGTCACGGAGATAATAAGCAGGAGAGCTTGGGCATGGCCTGGGCTTACTGGACTTGAGAGTTTGTGCTCTGTCCATGCTGTTTCTCCAGTGCTCTTACTCCACACTGTCCAAGAGAAATGTAATGTGAGCCCATGTGTAATTTAAAGTGCTCTAGTGACCACACTAACACAGTAAACAGAATGAGTGAAATTGATACTTACTTAAAATTATAATTTAGTTATATTTAATGTGTTACAAGTATTTAAAAAAACATGTGTTTAAAACACCATAAAAAGTATTAATTCGCTGTTTTTACCTTCTTTTGCCGGTACCAAGTCTAAGAGCCAGTGTGCATTTTACTTCCAGCACCTCTCCCTTTGGACCAACCGCATTCCCAGCAGCCAGTAGCCACATGTGGCCAGCAGACGTGTATTGGCCAGCACAGCCCCAGCCTTTAGCAAACAGGAGAATGTAATATTCAACATGCACAGCTGCTCTTAGTAAGAGAAATCCTTCTAGACTGTATAAAGCCCTTCCCTTTGTCATCCCTGGGTAATTTTTACTGCAGCAAACCCAAAAGGTGAAGAAGTGCCTACTTTTTGGTAAGAGGATTTTGAAGAGCCTCCTTGGGGAGATTTTGATGGGCATCTTTGGGGTCACTGGTGGCCTCCTGGGAGATGGACCTGTAGGACATTTACTTGGCCATGCTTCCTGCTTTCTTGTGCTTGTTTCAGGGAAAATCTGCAGCATTAGAGATCAAGTTATCGATCTTTCTGCTGCATTGCAGATGGGGATCAATATCTTCAGAATTGGCCAGGCAAAATATATTTGCTTATCATTCAGCTGCTACAGATAACTGCAGGTGCTGGGATGATGGTACTTGGTGAATCCTATAGGTGAGCAGGGGTGTGAGATCATGCTCTGAGCACTGTGTGTGTGGCCTCCTGGCTTCGTGGCATGTAGTGAGTGTGCTGTAAATACTTGCTGAATGAATGGGTGAAGTTATTAAGTCATCAAATATGTGTGCCAGTGTGTCTATTATAGATGCTTTTGGTTCTAACAAAGTGGCTTAAACAACAGGCACATTTGATACTATTTTCTTCTCATAAAAGGTGCAATGGGCAGGCCCAGGGTTGGTTGAGCACTAGGGCGGTGTTGAGACTCTGGTCCAACTTCTTTGGGCCTTTCCTTTTTGCTTGTCAGAGAGTGACCTCGGCCGCGAGTATTACGTTCTTACACGGATGCTCAAGAGCAGAAAGGAAAAAGGGCAGGGATGTTCTCAGAGGCTCCCAGTAGGCCTCACTTGTGTCTCAGTGTCTACACCTGGGCACACACTTTTGCTTCACTTGCCAGCAAGGCTGGGAAAGGAGTCATTAGCATTTTTACCCTGTATCAGGGCAGGTGGGTTTCACTGGCAAGGAGGAAGAGGAAGGGGGACTGGCCACCAAGTCAACACCCACAGTGGGGCTGGGGATACAGGGATGAGGTCCCTGCCTTTGGGGAGTGTCTAGTGACAGTGATAGAGGGATAAGAGAGGTATGAGATGTTGCTTGCCCTCAAGAAGACTGTAACCTAGTATGGGACCTTAAGCACATATGTATGTGTCTATCCCGAGCCAGGAGAAAGGTAGGTCCAAAGCTCTGTATGAGCCAGGGGGATGAGGGATGCTTTGCAGCTGGGAGCTTTGTGCAGGAGGAGAGGGAGCATTTGCTCTGAGCTAGGAAGAGAGGTGATTTTCACAGGCAGAAAGCATAGGGAGATATAGTGGCTGCAGGGGCTTCAGGAGGCTGTTTGGGAGCCCAGGCAGGTGGCAAGTGAGCGTGCAGTTCTCAGAGTGGCTGGGTAAGGAGTGGGGATCCAGCAGGTCTGGGGCAGCTGCTGCTGCATCTGGGCTGTTTCCAATGCTAGTTGGCTGAGCATTTGCAAATTTTAATCTTTCCCCTGGGTATTGGATAGTGTTCTGGCAAGTTCTCTAGGAGCCCCAGGAGTCTTCAGACCCTGGAAGTGTAAGAACTGACTGTGATTTTTTTTTCTCTTGTTTTAAAAAGTCCTAAGTGTACAGGAAGTGGCTATGGTGCCCTCTCACTCTGCCCCTCTCATCTGCTTGTGGCTCTGCAGGTATGGATTTAACAGTCACGGGCTTTCGGTGGTGGAACACAGGTTACGGGCCAGACAGCAGAAGCAGGCCAAGCTCACAGAAGGTAAAGTGAGTTGCATCAGAGGGCCTTTCTTATTTATCAGGAGGAAACGTGGGAGAAACACTGGGAACATTTCTAGTGAAATAAACATGATTGAGCAATAGCAAAAACCACTGAGGACCTCAGGGCACCTCTCCTAGAGGGATTTTCCTGGTCCCACACAGCCTCCAAGAGTTTAACTGGATTTCACAATTTAGCAAATACTCCCTTTGCCTCTGCCTCGTTATGTAACCTGTTACCGTAACTAGGGAGGCCTGAAAGCAAGTGAAGCGAAGCGGCTGGGCTGTGATCACACAGGCAGGGAGGGCGGGAGCAGGACTTGAACGTCATCTTCCTGTGGCCCACTCTGTCCTCCCTTTTTAATCGTCTATTGTGTAACTAATGTTCATTAATTACAGAAGACAGTAAATACAGAGAAGCGTAAAGAAAGAAAGTTCAAGAAACGGATACTCCTCCCTACTCAAGGATAACTAATATTAGCATTTGGGAAAATATTCTTCATGAGTTGTTTTGGAAACTGCTCATTTTTGGCTCGACACAGTTCACACCTGTAATCTCAATACTTTGGGTGCCCAAGGTGGGAGGATCGCTTGAGCTCAGGAGTTTAAGACCAGCCTGGGCAACATGGTGAGATCCTATTTCTCTAAAAAACCAAAAACAATGTGCATTTTTTTTTTTTTTTTTAAATGGAGTCTCGCTCTCTCTCCCAGGCTGGAGTGCAGTGGCGCGATCTCAGCTCACTGCAAGCTCCACTTCCCGGGTTGATGCCATTCGTCTGCCTCAGCCTCCGAAGTAGCTGGGACTATAGGCGCCCGCCACCACGCCCGGCTAATTTTTTGTATATTTAGTAGAAATGGGGTTTCACCATGTTAGCCAGGATGGTCTCGATCTCCTGACCTCGTGATCCACCCACCTCGGCCTCCCAAAGTGCTGGGATTACAGGTGTGAGCCACCATGCCCGGCCACAACATGGTTTTTGAAGGTGCCTCCGGCAATGCGGGTGTTCTCTGTGGCCTGTGCCTCACTCGCTCTCAGGAGGCACTTAGTGGTCACAGCCCTCTGTTGTCCTGACCCTGATGCCCCGGGACTGTGGATTGTGTGGGGGGGGCTGCGGCTCAGTAGTGACCACTGTCTTCTTTGGGTCCTTCTGAAACTCCTTCCAGGATGTCTTAGTCCCAGATAGTCCTGGTAGCAGGATGAAGAAACCAATGGATATGGGATTCATTTCAGGAAGTGAGGTGGAAAGGGCTGAGGCACTCAGCAGTGCCAGATTTGGGGAATAGGAAATTATCTTTTGGAAACCCCTGGCTTGGCTGGAAGCAGACCCTGCTGAACTGCAGAGCTGCCCACCTGGGGAGCTTTGGAGGTCATCACAGGACTTGCATGGTTTGTGATGCTTGCCTGCCTTCGTGCTTGCTTTTTCTTCTCGGTGTCTGCAGTGCAGTTTCCTGGCTTATCCCCTGTTCTTCCTCACCCAGCCCTCCCGCCCAGTGGCCCTCCTGGTCTGTGGAGTGAAGCAGAGCCTGTAGCAGGGCTCTGCACGGATATGTCTGCCAGCAGCTTAGAGGTTCATGGCAGCTTGTTAGCACCATGCCAAGGAACATGTGTTGACAAAAGCTTTGGTGCCCTCTGGGGACAGAGTAATCCAGCAATTTCTGTCTAACTCCCAAATCTTGTCGGTTTGGGCAGATGACTCCTAATCCATTAGCTACATGAAAGTGATATTCTCCTTCAAGCCAGTTTACTTGTGTGGAAAAGAATTCAAGCTTACAAATGATCTGGGCTTGATGGGTGCTAGACTGGGAAGCTTGGAGACCTATGATAAACCTTTTGTCTAATTGGATTCTTTGTTTTTTTGAGACAGAGTCTCTCTCTGTTGCCCAGGCAACAGTGGTGCGATCTCAGCTCACAGCAGCCTCCAACTCCTGGGTTCAAGTGATTCTCCTTTCTCAGCCTACTGAGTAGCTGAGATTATAGGTGCCCACCACCACACCTGACTAATTTTTATATTTTTAGTAGAGATAGGGTTTCACCATGTTGGCCAGGCTGGTCTTGAACTCCTGACCTCAATTGATCCGCCCGCCTCAGCCTCCCAAAGTGCTGGGATTACAGGCATGAGCCGCTGTGCCCGGCTTCTAATGGGGTGGGTTCTGATCCCCTCCTGCAGTCCCCACCCTGGAAAGTAGCTACACTAATCTCATTTGCTAATGATGCGAGAGTGTGATTGGGTTGTGAGAAGGTGGTGAGCAGTACAATAGATGTTGTTTGATCCTCTCTGGCCTGACAACACATTTTGTGAGCTACTTGGTGTTCTAAGTCTTTCCCCAACTCTCAGATGGAAAAAACAGCCTGTGCCATTGATGTACCACTCCTCATGCAGATAAGATAGTATCTTAGGAGAAGTCAAGTAGAGACAACCCTTTTCTTTTACACATAGTGTGTTTCTGAAAATGTGTTTTTCTGGACGTCCAAAACGCAAGTCCATTGATAGTCAGTCCCATGGATTTTTAAGTAAGCTGACCTCATTGCATACATGTAAACTGAGACCCTCTTGAGAGTAAAAAAGGGCAGGTGCTAACAATGATGCCCAGGCTAGGGGAGTAATCAGGCTGTCCGGGGAAGCACCGAAGACACAAGGTCCCCTCAGTTATTATATGAGGGAGAGTCCCTTTCCTCAGAGAACTAAAATTATAAGTTAGAAAACAATTACACCTCTACATTTTAGGCATGATAATTGAAAACATTTGGCCAGGCATGATGGCTCATGCCTGTAATCCTAGCACTCTGGGAGGCTAAGGCAGGTGGATCACTTGAGGTCAGGGGTTCGAGACCAGCCAGACCAGAGAAGGGGTGAAACCGCTTCTCTACTAAAAATACAAAAATTAGGCCAGGTGCGGTGGCTCACACCTGTAATCCCAGCACTTTGGGAGGCCAACGCGGGCGGATCATGGGGTCAGATGACCATCCTGGCCAACATGGTGAAACCCCATCTCTACTAAAAATACAAAAATTAGCTGGGCATGGTGGCACATGCCTGTAATCCCAGCTACTCAGGAGGCTGAGACAGCAGAATTGCTTGAATTCAGGGGGCAGAGGTTGCAGTGAGCCAAGATTGTGCCACCACATTCCAGCCTGGGCAACAGTGAGACTCCGTCTCAAAAAAAAAAAAAAAAAAAAAAAATATATATATATATATATATATATTTTTTTTTGAGACAGAGTCTTGCTCTGCTGCTCAGGCTGGAGTGCAGTGGTGTGATCACAGTTCACTGGAGCCTCAGTCCTACTTCAGCCTCACGAGTAAGTAGCTGGGACTACAGGTGTGCACCACCGCGCCCAGCTGAGTTTTTTAATTGTAGAGATGGGGTTTCACCATGTTGCCCAGACTGGTCTTGAATTCCTGGGCTCAAGCAATCCTCCACCCTTGGCCACCCAAAGTGCTGGGATTATAGGCATGAGCCACCTCACCTGGCCTGTTTTTCAGAATTTTATACATATTCTTTCATTTTGTTTTTTCTTCGCAACTGTACATCTAGTCAACTGAGCCAAGGCCAACAAGCATCCCTTGAGGTGAGCGTTGCCGGCCTGACGTGCCTACTGAATTCTGTCTGTTCTCAGTTTTATTCAATTTATGAGGCCCATCTTTTGCCCCACAAGTATTTGCACTAATTTGTCCGTTTTCCATGAAAAATTTTTTTAAAAAAGGGCAAAATGCAGCAAAACATCCTTGTAGCTGCCCAGACTTTGCTAGACAAGGCCGGCGAGTGGTTTTGGTAGGCAGGCCCAGGCCGCAGCTGAGCACCTGTCAGCTGGTGTCGGGCCGGTCAGGTTTGGAGGGAAGACCTGCCCAACTGTCCGCGGTAGTTTGGTCAAGGACAGCCTCAGAAAGTGGCACAGGAAATGGTGTGCGGGCTGCAGGCCTGACCAGCGACGTTTGCAGATGGACTGCCGCTGGGGGTCAACTTGGGGAAGAACAAGACCTCAGTGGACGCCGCGGAGGACTACGCAGAAGGGGTGCGCGTGCTGGGCCCGCTGGCCGACTACGTGGTGGTCAATGTGTCCAGCCCCAACACGGCCGGGCTGCGGAGCCTTCAGGGAAAGGCCGAGCTGCGCCGCCTGCTGACCAAGGTGGGCAACTGCACCCCTTCTCCAGGCCCCGTCCCACCAGCCTGCCCCACCCGCTCCCCTTCATTCTCCAGGGTAAAGCTTCAGCATCACCCTCAGAAGCTGTCCTTAGCACCTGGACCAGTAGGACCCCTGGCTGTGCCTTCCCAGGGTCCCCTCTGATCCCCTGTCATGACACTGATTATACGGGACAGTGACAAATTATCTGTCCCTGCTGCTGTAAACCACGAGGTCTGTAAGAGCAGAGACCGCGTCTCTCCCATTTGTCACTCTGACCCTAGCACCCAGAGCTCTGAGTGAACTGAAGGACTTCACCCAGTACTTGTGGTAATATTTCCTGGCTATCTTTTAGGAATGAAAGTCTAAAAAAGGCTGGGCATGGTGGCTCATGCCTACAATTCCAGCACTATGGGAGGCCGAGGCAGGTGGATCACTTATAGCCCAGGAGTTTGAGAGCAGCCTGGGCAAAAGAGCAAGACCCTGTCTCTACAAAAAATTTAAAAATTAAGCCAGGCACAGTGGCTCAAGCCTATAGCCCCATCTACTTGGAGGCTGAGGCAGGCAGATCACTTGCGCTCACGAGTTTGTTTGTGACCAGCCTGGGCAACTTGGCAAAACCCCATCTTACAAGAAATACAGAAATTATCTGGGCATGGCGGCGCACACCTGCAGTCCCAGGTACTCTGGAGGCTGAAGTGGAAGGACTGCCTGAGCCCAGGGAGGTGCAGGCTACAGTGAGCCATGATCATGCTACTACACTCCAGTGTGGGTGACAGAGTGCAACCTTGTCTCAAAAAAAAAAAGAAAGAAAAGTCTGAAACACCCTTAAGCTATGAGCCAATGTCCATGGGGATCCCTTGGCCTAAAAGAATGGACTCGGATCCATCTCGTTAGTGCTCCTCACGTGTCTGAGGCTGGCTTTCCTGAAAAGGAGAAATTGTTCCTGCTTTAGTCTGATTTCTTTTGTGGAAACCGACTGACCTGCAGTGTAGGTCGCAGCTGCACTGGGGGGCTGCGGTCTGCAGGGTCCCCAGCTCTGGCCGTGTGTCGCCCTAGGTGCTGCAGGAGAGGGACGGCTTGCAGGGAGTGCACAGGCCGGCAGTGCTGGTGAAGATCGCTCCTGACCTCACCGCCCAGGACAAGGAGGACATTGCCAGTGTGGTCAAAGAGGTTTGAGTCGGGGCCTGGGCCCAGGGTGTGCCTCCCATGGTCTGCAGAGGCTGTTTGGCCAGCTGGGTTAGCTCAGAATGGTGGCCTTTATGATTTCCTCTCCTTGGTATTGAAGGCTGGTTTGGTGTCTGTCATGGACTCACCCTGTGGTCAAAAGTGAATGTTGGAATCAATGCTTGAAGGAGTTTTTCTCATGCCTCCTCTGTTTCCTCATCTGCATCCAGCAAGGTTAAGGCTTGAGCCTGGGTCCTTGGCCAGTCTTGACCGGCACTCAAAATTCTTTCCCTCACTCCTCTCTCTAGCCTGTCTGGACAGCGGGTCTCTGTGGCATAGGAGAGTAGTGGAAATAGCCTGAGCCTGGCCGTCATGGGTTCAAATCATGGTTCCACCACTTACTACCTGAGGGCCTCAGACAAGACACTGTAATTGGGTTGTTTTAAGGACTGGACCCTGTCCTAGGGGAATGCTGTGGGTCGTCAGTGTGTGATGGCTGCTGTTGTCACGTTATGGCTCATTCTAAAACTTGTTGAGGAAAAGATGAGTAGTAAGGTCTGGTGTAGCTCTTGCTTTGGGGGCTGTAGGTGTGGGTACCTGGCCCGGCTGCTGCCTTTGACTCCCAGAGGAGCGCCTCTGCGTCCTTCGGTGCCATGACTCATGGCTTTTTCTCCATCTCACACTGCAGTTGGGCATCGATGGGCTGATTGTTACGAACACCACCGTGAGTCGCCCTGCTGGCCTCCAGGGTGCCCTGCGCTCTGAAACAGGAGGGCTGAGTGGGAAGCCCCTCCGGGATTTATCAACTCAAACCATTCGGGAGATGTATGCACTCACCCAAGGCAAGGCTTCCGGCATCTGTGTCTTCAGATCTGCGTGTGGCTTGGGCTCCTGGGTCCTGATGGGAATCATCATTCCCTAATCTGCCTTGATTGTGGGGGACTCTGGGGCGGAAGCCATATCCTTCTTTACAGTGTCACCATGTGCTTCTCTGTAGGCCGAGTTCCCATAATTGGGGTTGGTGGCGTGAGCAGCGGGCAGGACGCGCTGGAGAAGATCCGGGCAGGGGCCTCCCTGGTGCAGCTGTACACGGCCCTCACCTTCTGGGGACCACCCGTCGTGGGCAGAGTTAAGCGGGAGCTGGAGGCCCTTCTGAAGTGAGTGAGGCTTGAAACAGAAGTTAGGCAGAGGTTAATTCAGAATCACTCAAGTCAAGGAGATACTGTTGATCTGTTTCTTACTCATTCAAAAAGGAGTTGAGGGGTACACTCTGAAAGGGGAGAGAAACTCTGGGTTACTCTTTTGATGAAGGACAAACAGTGCCAAGGAGAACTGAGGATTAACCTCCAAGGCAATAGTGTTTCTATGGCAGAGTTGTCCATTTGCTCGAGGGAGAAGAGCCTAAGGACTCGCGTCAGCATTCCCATTAATTAAACAACACTGGTTCAATGTTGGGAGCTGTCAGTACTTAAAAGCACTTTCCTTCCTGCTCTGTTCCTACCTGGGTAGAACTATCCCTGTGTCCCTGGGTGAAGAGTGTAGAGGAAACCAGATGTGCCTGGGCCGGGATGATGCATTTCTGGGTGAACATGGGCTTCCTGTAAGAGCAGGGCCTGTCCTCCACTGTTTGCTGAAATTGCTTTGTTTGCTCTTTTTCCAGAGAGCAGGGCTTTGGCAGAGTCACAGATGCCATTGGAGCAGATCATCGGAGGTGAGGACAGCGTCTGTTGGGAAGCCTGATCTCGAACCTTCCCAAGGACTCAGGCAAGCCTTTATGGCTGGATCGTGAGAGGAGGGACTCTGTCTTGAGCCATGTCCCCCAGCCGTGGCATAGCTGCACCATAAACGCCAATCAGGGGTCACCAGGATCAACCGCAGGCTTTCTTCAGTCCCTTGGTCAGACTATAAACTGTGTTTGTGATTCTTTGTGGATTCAAACCCTAGGATCCGTCAGTCTTGCAAGGACATTGAATATTAGGGGGAAAAAGTTATGGAAAAAATAAAGGCATTTAGAACCTGGGTTTCAACGCTAGCCCTTTCTGGTTTGCCACAGGCCCTGCCCAGACGCTGCAGGTCCTTCCAGGCCTCTGCTACCTGCATCTCCAGTGGGCTTCCCAGGAACTTGACTGTCTTTCATTTGATCTTTATTTTTATTTATTTAATGTTTTAAACTTTATTTTTAAAATATTTCAAACATAAGGGTGGGGTATGGTGGCTCATGCCTGTAATCCCAGCACTTTGGGAGGCCGAGGTGGGCGGATTACCTGAGGCCAGGAGTTGGAGACCAGCTAGGCCACCATGGTGAAACCCTGTTTCTACAAAAAGTACAAAAAATTAGCCAGGCATTGTGGTAGGCACTTTTAATCCCAGCTACTGGGGAGGCCAAGGCAGGAGAATCGCTTGAACCTGGGAGGCGGAGGTTGCAGTGAGCCAAGATTGCACTAGTGCACTCCAGCTTGGGTGACAGAGCGAGACTCCGTCACACACACACACACACACACACACACATTTTTCCCATTTCTCTCCCTCCCTCCCTCTATAACATGGATAAAATATTCACATGTATTATGTATTTATTATTGTTGAGTCATTGGTGCCTTACTCTTAAGTGTTTCAGTCTGCATCTTCTAAGCATCCTGATACTAGTTTTTTGATTATAAAATTGACCTGCATTCTTTACTAGCAATCCAAATGGTACAGCACTCTTGAAGTGTAAACATTCCTGTTCCTCCTCACTCCACTCTGCAGACATGCCTTTCTGTCTATCCTCCTGGACTTTTTCCCCTGCATAAAGATGTTCATTTTGTACATACACTCAGACATATATGTGGCTGTATTTTTTGTATACCTATATATGGATGGAATGCACACTGTTTTCTGTATAGTTACTTTACATTTTCATACAAATGACATCATCCTACAAATATGATTCTGCCGTTGACTTTCTTCACTATTCTCATGTGGGCATGGTTCATGCTGGGCCTTGGTCTTTTGAGTGGGGTCTATTTAGCCAGTCCCCTGTTGGTGATCACATCACTAACTTCCGGCATTTTCCTATCACCGTCGGTGCCTCGGTGAACATCTTGTGAAAGTGCTTGTGCCTTTGTTCTGGCGTCAGTGCAGAGCAGGGTCCAAGGAGTGTGACAGCTAGGCTGAGGGGCTGGCATGTTTCACATTCTGATAGATAGAGCCAAGTTGCTCCTATCAGGTTTTCAGGCTGCCCATTTCCCACCATGGAGACAGCAACAGAGGAGACATCCCCAGCTCCTCTGGCTTTGCCTGTTCAAAGCTACCCTGTGAGGCCTGAAGACAGCTGCCATGAAGGCAGCTCATGTCCACCAAACACTGACTGTGGGCCGGACGCTGTGCCAAGGGCTTGACGTTTCCTCTTTATAGATGAGGAAACGGGCAGAGAGGCAGCTGATTGTCCAGTCCGCCTGCGTGGAGGCTGCTCGGCTGGGCTCAAGCCTGGCGGTGTTTTCACAGAGCATGTTGTGCTGAATGGCTCTGCCATGGACCAAGCCTTGGCTGCTCTAAAAGCCGGCTCATTGCCTCATGCTTCTCTATATTCGTTCCTTACTCCAGGAAGAGCAGTGCACTGAAGGAGAAACGGGAAAGGGCAAAAGGAGCCACATGCTGGCCAGTCCACCGTGGGGTCACTTTCCTCATCAGCCTGGGCTCCCACACGCCACGTCAGGTGCCAGCGCACACACTCTGGATACCCTCCTCGTTCTCTCTGGGCTTGGATGCTCTCTGTGAGTCACCTGCCCTCCCTTCCCCACGTTACAGGCATCTACCTTGCTCTGTCCCACCTAATAGCTTTAGGACTGAACGATTCAGGAAAGGGAAGGGAAGGAGTGAAGGAGAAGGGGGAAGAGTCGGCCCTTGGAAGGTTCTCCATGGGAGACTGACTTTTTTTCTTTTTTTGAGACGGAGTCTCGCTCTGTCACCCAGGCTGGAATGCAGGGGTATGATCTCAGCTCACTGCAAACTCCGCTCCTGGGTTCAAGGGATTCTTCTGCCCCAGCCTCCAGAGTAGCTGGGACTACAGGCGTGTGCCACCATACCCTGCTAATTTTTGTATTTTTAGTAGAGATGGGGTTTCACCATATTGGCCACGCTGGTCTCGAACTCCTGACCTCTTGTTCCACCTGCCTCGGCCTCCCAAAGTGCTGGGATTACAGGCGTGAGCCACCGCGCCCAGCTTCAGAGACTGACATTCTGCCTCAGCACAGCTGGAAGAGGCTGCTTGAGCACTGGGGTAAAGAGCTGTCTTTGCATTCAGGTGCCATGTGGTGCAAGGATACCTATTTTTTTTTTTCTTTTGTTTTCTTTTTTGAGACAGAGTCTTGCTGTGTCGCCCAGGCTGGAGTGCAATGGCACAAACTTGGCTCACTGCAACATCTGTCTCCCGGGTTCATGCAATTCTCCTGCCTCAGCCTCCCAAGTAGCTGGGATTACAGGTGCCTGCTACCACACCTAGCTAATTTTTGTATTTTTTAGTAGAGTCGGGGTTTCACCATGTTGGCCAGGCCGGTCTTAAACTCTGACCTCAGGCAGTCTGCCCGCCTTGGCCTCCCAAAGAGCTGGGATTACAGGCATGAGCCACTGCACCCAGCTCAAGGATACCTATTTTTCTTAATGCTGGAAGCCACACTCAGACCCCAGAGCAGCTCTCAGTGCTGGGAGACCCGGGAGATTGATGATGCCTGCGTCTCCCTTTGGGACTGAGGATGGTAGAAGGGTGTGCAGAATTCCAAATGTTATTTACATTACTCTTGTGTTTTCTGTGGAGTGCATAATTGTCTTTGCTTGGCAATTTCATATCAGTTAAATATAAGCAGTAAGCTAATCCTATTCTGTGACTTACTCTTCTCACATGTCATCATAATGATATACTTCAATATTTAGCCCTCAGATCGGCCTTGCTCTAACAGCCCTGTTCACAGCATAAACACATCAATGTTTCCTTATGGGTAAACACAAAGGATATTTTCAGGTTTCACATCAGACAGTGCTTCAGTGCTCAGGGCTTATGTATCTTTGTGGTCTTCTGGTAGAATTTCTGTAGATTCCCAGCAGTGGTATTGCTTGGGCAAAGGTTATACACACTGAACATGTTGATAGTTATTGCCAAATTGCCATGAGAGAGGGCTGTCCAGCTTTGTCAGGGAGGGCCTCTTTCCTCTTATGTTGTTCCACATGGGAATTTCAATTTCACTGGTCTGGAACAAGCTGTTCTTCCTTCTCAACTTTTCCACTAGGAATAGCTTGCATTATGGCTCTCCCTTGGTTTAAAAAAAAAGAAAAACAGAGAGAGAAAAGAAATGGAGGGTTTAGCAAGTTACTTTGGGCTGCAGCCAGAGTGATTGCCACATGCATTTCTCTGTCTCTTTTTCTCTCCTCTTTCCTACCATAGGCTCAGCTCTGTATCAGAAAGGGCTGAGGTTCCTACGTGCACCAGCTTCCTTCAAAGGGGCAGGTACGTCAGGTCATATACACAGTATTTTGAAAGAATCCATTTCCCCATTGACTTTCTGATAGGCTGCTTCTGGGTCAAGTTCTGTAGCCAATACCTTTTTTTTTTGAGACGGAGTCTCGCTCTGTCGCCCAGGCTGAAGTGCAGTGGTGCGATCTCAGCTCACTACAAGCTCTGTCTCCCGGGTTCACATCATTCTCCTGCCTCAGCCTCCTGAGTAGCTGGGACTACAGACGCACACCACCACGCCTGGCTAATTTTTGTTGTATTTTTTAGTAGAGACAGGGATTCACCATGTTAGCCAGGATGGTCTCGATCTCCTGACCTCGTGATCCACCCGCCTCTGCCTCCCAAAGTGCTGGGATTACAGGCATGAGCCACTGTGCCCAGCCCAGTGATTCTCCTGCCTCAACCTCCAGGGTAGCTGGGATTACAGGTGCTCGCCACCACGCCTGGCTAATTATTGTATTTTTAGTAGAGACGGGGTTTCACCATGTTGGTCAGGCTGGTCTCAAACTCCTGACCTCAGGTGATCCACCTGCCTCGGCCTCCCAAAATGCTGGGATTACAGGCATATCTAGTAGTTTTACTTATATATATTGAATATAATTTTAACTCTTAGTAGCCCTAATTTCTAGTGGAAAACTTAGGAAGTGATGTTGAATTATTTTATATCAGTATTTGTAGATGAAGACCATTTTGTTTCCTCAATTTTTTATTAACAGATCTAAATATATTGTTTTCTATACCATATAGATGACTTAGACATTCTATGATTACCTATTATTTAACATAGCATGATTTTAAGATTTTTAAATTAATAATTTGAAAGGATGACACAGGTACCCTTCCTAATGTTTTTTTCTGTTGTCTTGGGTCTCAAGTGCCATGTGGCACCCAAGGACAGCTGTGAAGGGCAGGTCTTGTTGGGGTCCCAAATTTACATACCAGGTATAGTGCTCAGGACAGGACAGAGTCGTGAAGATAATGCCTGGAGAATCCAACCCATCCCAGCAGGCAAGGAGGCAAAGCTAGGCCAGGGAGGATGGGGCCATATTAGGCTTGGTTCTGCCTTACAGCTGGCGGTCAGGAACTGAGGACATGTCCCCAGGTCCCACCATGGCCAACCTGTCCAGACCCTAGAATCCAGATGCTCAAAACTGGAAGGAAGCTGACAGTAAGATATGTCCAAGGCTTTGGGGAGCCCAACAGCCAACTCTCATAGCTTTAGCTCACAGACAAAAGAAGCAGCAGTTTTATGACCTTACAACATCTATAGGCTGGGCGCAGTGGCTCACACCTGTAATGCCAGCACTTTGGGAGGCCGGGGCAGGTGGATCATGAGGTCAGGAGATAGAGACCATCCTGGCCAACATGGTGAAACCCTCTCTCTGCTAAAAATATAGCTGTGCCTGTAGTCCCAGCTACTCGGGAGACTGAGGCAGGAAAACCGCTTGAACGAGGGAGTCGGAGGTTGCAGTGAGCTGAGATCGCACCACTGCACTCCAGTCTGGGTGACTGAGTGAGACTCCGTCTCAAAAAAACAAAAACTAAAACAAACAAAAACAAAACAGAAACAAAAACATCTACAGAAACCACCTAAACCTGTCTGACCAGTACATTCAGGCAGTAAGTCTGAGTCAAATTTAATACGGACAATTCTGAAGACGTTTAATTTTATTTTGCCAACAATTTAAACTAATTTTATTTACCAGAGATTACTAGAGTCACATGAGCTAAAAAGCATTTGAGTTAGTTTCTATTTTTCTGATAAAGTATTTTGATTTAAGCACTTACTTTTTCATTAAGCCAACTAATGAGAGCTCTTTCGTCTATTTTGGTAGTGAAATATCACATACACGTGACACATATAAACATACAAACAGAAGAAGATTTTATAGCTTTACAAGATTCTTCATTTGCCAGTTTTCAAATAGTTTTTCTCCCCTCTGCAGACAGACTATCAAGCTCTAAGCAGTTGTTAGCTAGGCAACCTGAAATTTGTACTTTCAAAGACAGGACTTTTGTGGTAAAAATTTACATTTTAAAGACACAGAACTTAGATATAAACACCATTATTTGCCAAGACAAAAAGGGGTACGTAAAAGCCCAGTCAAGACAAGCTTTCCAGGAAAAGTATCTTAAACAAATGTAAGGTTTGTTATGTAAACTTTAAGACATCTTCCTTGTTGGAAAGTTTGTAGTGGTTTAAGTGTGGGGATGCAGATGCCCTTACAAATGGAGATTTTTTATATATGTACATTTATTTTATGAAAAATTTCAAAATAGCCAGCTAAATTCCAGAAAATAGTTTGGTGACCAATCTAATTAGATTGGTCTTTTTAAATTAGGTTGTTTCTTGATGAGATGATTGAGCCCTTTAACAGGGTGAAGGCAGCCTTTTCAATGCTTGGACTTAGGAAGTCTAGTTTTACCTCAGGGCCTATCTTTTTTTTTTGAGACGGAGTCTTGCTGTGTCACCCAGGCTGGAGTGCAGTGGCGCGATCTCGGCTCACTGCAAGCTCCGCCTCCCGGGTTTACGCCATTCTCCTGCCTCAGCCTCCGAGTAGCTGGGACTACAGGCGCCCGCCACCACGCCCGGCTAGTTTTTTGTATTTTTAGTAGAGACGGGGTTTCACCATGTTAGCCAGGATGGTCTCGATCTCCTGACCTCGTGATCCACCCGCCTCGGCCTCCCAAAGTGCTGGGATTACAGGCTTGAGCCACCGCGCCCGGCCTAGGGCCTATCTTTTATAAACACTTTCGTTAGCTTGTTTTTTCTTTTGAACCAAAGGTACCTTTTCAAATAGTTCACCAAAAGCAATAACCCTTAATCAAGGTTATGACTTGGTTAGTCAAAGATGAACCAGGCATCTCCAAGAGGTGCAAAAAAGCAGTCCTCACAAGATCCAGAACGACCCCAAAGTCAGCTCAAAGATAAAAAGTCTTGTTAGCCACAAATGGAATACAACCTATTCTTCTAGCTGGCCATATTTTCTAGGATCTCAGCTTCTCAGCTGAGCACCTATGCGTAAAGGCCCAAAGGCCCCATATGCCCCATAGAAGGAAAAAGACAGGAAATCAAATCATGTTTTAGGTTACATTTTTGCCCTTTAATTTTGTCAAGAGAGTTTCCAAGGCTATTCATGACACTCCTAAGTGTCCATGGAAGGAAAAAGGATCAATAACAAATGGGTACCCACAAAGGGTCAAGAGTCAAACAATTTAAAACAAATGGGATTACTTCCCTGACTGGGAATTGAACCTGGGCTACAGCCACAAGAGCACAGAATCTCAGCCACTAGACCACAGAGTGGAGGGCTTTTTATAAATCCTACAGGGGATCAAAAGCAGGCAGTTTGAGCATAAAAATTATTTTAGCTTTATTTTAGATCATGTTTTTGCTCTTTAATTTTGTCAAGAGAATTTCTAAGGCTAGCCATGAAACTATTGTTTTTATATTTTAACTTAATCTTTTTATAAATACAAAGAAGGCATTTGTTTAGAATGAGAGATCTCTAAAATATTTTTAAAATTTAGGAGGGTAATTTAAAGGATCTGTTTTCTGGCCATTGACAGTTAGAATTTTCAATGGTGTACTCATTTCAGTAATGGCACAATCCAATAGCCTCTTTATGGAAAGTCCAGAATGTAATTTTCCAGGTGTAGGGTAAAATTTTTTTTTTTTTTTTTTTAACCAGTTAAGAAACAGGTGTTTCCTGGAAAGGGTATAGAAGAGGTAATGCCAAATATCCCCCTACGCAAAAAAATTCACTCCCAGGAATAGGCTAAGTTGGCAGAAGACTCTTGTTGCCACAGATGGTCAAGGATGATGGTGTTTGTACATATGCTGCCTCCAGCTACCTACAAGTCTGTGGGGGGTTGCTAGTCACAGACCTGTCAATCTGTGACACTGGGCAGACCTCCTGGAATTGACTTCTCCAGTACTAACCAGGCAACAAGGGTTGAGATGAGAGAAGCCCCACAGCGACTTCTTTTCTTTCTTTTTCTTTTTTGAGATGGAGTCTCGCTCTGTCGCCCAGTGCAGTGGCGTGATCTTGGCTCACTGCAACCGCCACCTCCCAGGTTCCAGCGTTTCTCCTACCTCAGCCTCCCAGGTAGCTGGGACTACAGGCATGTGCCACCACACTCAGCTAATTTTTTGTACTTTTAGTAGAGACAGGGTTTCACTCTGTTGGCCAGGCTGGTCTCGAACTCCTGACCTCGTGATCTGCCTGCCTCAGCCTCCCAAAGTGCTGGGATTACAGGTGTGAGCCACTGCGCCCAGTCCCCACAGTGACTTCTTAAGACAAACTCCTCCAAGAACTTGCCATATTCAGAACAAAATGTGTGTTGAAGCCAGGCACTGCAGCTCATGCCTGTAATCCCAGCACTTTGGGAGGCCAAGGTGGGAGGACTGCTTGAGCCCAGTGAGGCAGAAGAATAGGGTCTGGAGATAGGGAACATAAGGCTGATTCACACTCCCTTCCTAGAACTAAATCAAATGGAGACACTTCAGCGATGACAGGAAATACCCTCTCCATTTACATAGGGCATACACTGGGTAAATGACTTTGTAACCTTACTTCATCCTCTTCATTTACATAGGACATACACCAAGTAATCAATGGAAACCTCTAGAGGGTATTGAAACCCCAGAACATTCTGTAACGGGGCTCTTGAGCCCCTGTGCTCGGCCTGCTCCCACCCTATGGAGTGTACTTTCATTTTCAATACATCTCTGCTTTGTTGTTTCATTCTTTCCTTGCGCTGCTTGCACATTTTGTCCAATTCTTTGTTTAAGACTCCAAGAACCTGGACACCTTCAACCGGTAACACCAGGAGTTCGGGACCAATCTGGGCAACACAGCGAGACCCTGTTGTTTTTTTAATGTATGTACTTTCATTGGGACAGGAAAGAGACCTTGTCTCTACAAAAAATTTCAAAACTGGCCAGGTGTGGTGGCAACCACCTGTAGTCCCAGCTACTCAGAAGGCTCAGGTGAGGGGACTGCTTGAGCCCTGGAGGTTGAGGCTGCAGTAAGCCATGATTGTGCCACTGCCCTCCAGCCTGAGTGGCAGAGCAAGACCCTGCCTCCAAAAAAGTATGTTGATCGGAACCACAAACTGAGCAGTCTGCAGGGCTGGCTTGAGTAAGTGGGCTTCTAGGGGCTTAGGCTCCTGTTCTATCCCTTTGTGTTCTATCCCTGTTCTATCCATTCTTTGTGACAGAATGACACAGAAAGATGAAGACAAAGGAAAACACTATTTCAGTGAGGAAAAGGGATCAAACAATAAATATTCATACCAAAAACTACCAAAAAGCACACCAGAGTTCTACACCCCAAACTAGTCACACAAATCCTTTTCTCCCTGAATTAGTCAGTTCTCTGCTGCTAACAAAGACATACCCGAGACTGGGTAATTTATAAAGGAAAGAGATTTAAAGGACTCACAGTTTCACATGGCTGGGGAGGCCTCACAATCATGGTGGAAGATGAAGGAAGCGCAAAGGGATGTCATACATGGCGGCAGGCAAGAGAGAGCGTGTGCAGGGGAACTCCCCTTTATAAAACCATCAGATCTTGTGAAACTTACTATCAGGAGAACAGCACGGGAAAAACCTGCCTCCATGATTCAGTTACCTCCCACCGGGTCCCTCCCATGACATGTGGAGATTACTACAATTCAAGGTGAGATTTTTGTGGTGACACAGAGCCAAACCATATCACTCCCATTAATCGAGATTATGTAGAGGAGATAAACGGTTATTTTTTCCTGTCTGCTCAACTGGGTTTCACAAGAAGACAGGCTGGGAGCCTGACTGTTGAGGAATTCTTACCCTTTTGCCCATTGTCAAGCCCTGGGTTCCCTTCACTGTGGCTGCTAGAAGAGCAGAGTGGCTTTGGTGAGCCTGCCCACAGCACCAAAACTGTAGGATCCAAGGGAAAGCTTCCCCTTTGCCTTCTGAAAGTTCACTGAAAAATCACCTCACAAAAGAGTTTTAGAAATGGCATACAGTTATCCACGTGCACACAGGGGAGAACCCCAGAGTGATTACCCGCTTCCTGAGAAAGATAAAGCCTCAAGGAGAAACTCACCACTTCATCGAGGAGTGAGAATATCTAGCTGAACGGAACTCAGGACCGGAATTGTGTGGGAAGTCTGAGACTCAGGAGAAAGGCACCCAGTTGTCTTCGATCTTGGAGGAGCTGGAGGGGCTCAAAGGGCTTTTGCTGGTACCCTCAGGGTCCCTGCAATGTTCCAGGCAAACAGTGGTGGTGAGATGGGAAAAATGGAGGTGGAATGCAAGTGGGGGAGCAGGGAGATACAGGGCTCTCTGTTTTAGGGTCTGAGAGTCTTTCAAGCTTTCAGAGACGTGGTTAATTGTTCTGGTTAGTCTCCTTTAAAAATTTAGAGACTGCCAATTGCATTTAGAGCTTTCAAAAATGCTGATTAAAGGAAAGCCTCTGAGTGTTTTTGAGAAGTCCAGACTCCTCTTTGTTCTAATTGTGTGCATAGTTTAATTTAGATGCATCTCTCAGGTCGATCTTGTCTGGGGGCAAAATTTGACAATACCAATCCTTGGTAGTGATTAGTAATGTCCATGAACCAGGGGCACTGGTGGAGGACTTAGGGGTATATCAGGAAAGTGGCCCATTCCATCCAGGGGTGGGGCAGGAGGGCCCCAGGGGGTGTGCTATTGACCCCAGACTCACTGGGTGTAGGATTGAAGTATAGACATTGGAGTCAGCCTTGTAAGATATACCTCACCTCCCTGAGGCCCTGTTTTCTCAACTGTAAAAACAGTGGTTTGGCAGGTTCGATGATATGCTAACAGCAACTTTTTTGTTTTTGAGACAGAGTCTTGCTCTGTCGCCCAGGCTGGAGTGCAGTGGCCGGATCTCAGCTCACTGCAAGCTCCGCCTCCCGGGTTCACGTCATTCTCCTGCCTCAGCCTCCCGAGTAGCTGGGACTACAGGCGCCCGCCACCTCGCCCAGCTAGTTTTTTTGTATTTTTTTAGTAGAGACGGGGTTTCACCGTGTTACCCAGGATGGTCTCGATCTCCTGACCTCGTGATCCGCCTGCCTCGGCCTCCCAAAGTGCTGGGATTACAGGCTTGAGCCACCGCGCCCGGCCAACTTTTTTTTTTTTTTTTTTTGAGGAGTCTCACTCTGTTTCCCAGGCTGGAGTGCAGGCAATGGTGCGATCTCAGCTCACTGCAACGTCCGCCTCCCAGGTTCCAGCGATTTTCCCGCCTCAGCCTCCAGAGTAGCTAGGATTACAGGCACTTGCTACCACATCCGGCTAATTTTTTGTATTTTTAGTAGAGACGGGGTTTCACCATCTTGGTCAGGCTGGTCTTGAACTCCTGACCTGAAGTGATCTGCCACCTCGGCCTCCCAAAGTGTTGGGATTACAGGCATGTGCCAGCGTGCCCAGCCACAACAGCAACTTCTAAAAGGATGAATATTGGCTGGGCATGGTGGCTCACACCTGTAATCCCAGCACTTTGAGGGGCTAAGGTGGGCAGATTACTTGAGGCCAGGAGTTTGAGACCAGCCTGGGCAACATGGTGAAACCCCATCTCTACTAAAAATACAAAAATTAGCCAGGTGTGGTGGTGCGTACCTACATGTAGTCCCAGCTACTCAGGAGGCTGAGGTAGGATAATCTTATGAACCTGGGAGGTGGAGGTTTCAGTGAGCCAAGATAGTGCCACTGCACTCCTGCCTGGGCAACAGAGCAAGACTCTGTCTCAAAAAAAAATAAAAAGTAAAAGGATGCAGGCTGGACACAGTGGCTCAAGCCTGTAATCCCAGCACTTTGGGAGGCCGAGACAGGAGGATTTCTTGAGCTCAGGAGTTTGAGACCAGCCTGGGAAACATGGCGAAATCCCATTTCTACAAAATATACAAAAATTAGCTGCATATGGTGGCGCGCACCTGTAATACCAGCTACTTCAGAGGCTGAGGCAGGAGAATCGCTTGAACCCAGGGGACAGAGGTTGCAGTCAGCTGAGATTAGGCCACTGCACTCCAGCCTGGGCAACAAGAGCAAGTCTCTTTCTTTAAAAAAAAAAAAAAAAAAAAAAAAAAAAGGATGCATATTATGTGCCTGTCACATTATATACTTATTAGCTGTGGGTGATCATGTAAATTTTGTGTGCCTCAGTTTCCCAATGTGTAAAATGGGAATAAGGACAGCACCGATCTCAGAGGGTTACTATGCGAATTAAATGTGAAGTGCTTACAATAGTGCTTAGCATATTCTAAATTTCTCATAAATGTTAGCTATTGTTTTTTATGTTTCTGATCACAAATAGGTCCTGAAAATAGATATTAGTATACCCATAGTTACAGAATAAACAAGTGCTTTGAGAGATTAAATAACTTCCCTAAACCATGAGGCTAGGATTCAACAGAACTGGAGCCCCCAGGGTATGAGCATCTCCTCCCGATGCAAGCTGTTGGCAGGAAGTGTAGGTGAACTTCTCCATAGGGCTGCTTGAGTGTCCTTACTACATGGCGTCCAGCTCCTCCAGAGTGAGTAATCTAAGAGGGAGCAAGGTGAAAGCTACAGTGCCTTTATGACCTAGTCTTGGAAGTCACACATCATTACTTACGCCACATTCATTCTATTCTTATTTTATTTATAGAGACAGGGTCTTGCTCTGTCACCCAGGCTGGAGTGCAATGGCATGATCACGGCTCACTGCAACTTCCCAGGCTCAAGCAGTCCTCCCACCTCAGCCTCCTGAGTAGCTGGGACTACAGGCACATGCCACTAGGGCTCACGAAGTTTTGTATTTTTTTGTAGAGACTGGGTTTCACTATATTGCCCAGGCTGGTCTCGAACTCCTGGGTTCAAGTGATCCTCCAGATTTGGCTTCCCAAAGTGCTAGGATTACAAGCATGAGCTACTGTGCCCAGCCTCATTCTACTCATTGGAATAGAGTTGCTAGTTTAAGCAAAATTAAAACAAAATTCAAAACAAAAGTTAAATTTGAATTTGAGATAAACAACGAATACACTTTTAGTATAAGTCTATCTCATGCAGTATTTGGGACATACTTATTCTAAAATTTACTTGTTGTTTATCTGAACTCAAATTTCATTGGGTATCATATATTTTCTCTGGAAACCCTGTGTTAGAAGCAAGTCATTTTGTCCAACCCACCACTCAAGGGAATGGCTTTCACTTTTGTTTTCTTTTTTTCCAAGCAAGCTGGTGAGAAAGATGTGGTGGCTTCCACTTTTGAAGGGAGGAATGTCCAATAATTTGTGGAGATATTTTTCAACCACCACAAGCAGGGTTTTGAAAAAGTTCACCTGGTTCTGGGGTCTGTGGATAATTGCATGCGAGCCTAACAGGATGAAGCAGTAGTTCAGGGACAAGCAAGGTTTTCTTCCAAATGGTCCTGCACATTTACCAGAAATCACACACATTATCTTATTGAAGCCTCAGACAGCTCTGTGGAGCAGGTGAGGGTGGCAATTACAATCCCCATTTTACAGTCCAGGAAACAGATTAAGCACCTGCCTCAAGGTGATATGGGCAGAAATGGTGGAGGGGGCAACAAATTCTCCTAATCTCAAGTCTGGCATTTGTTCTGCTCCACCCAGTCATGTCCTGACAGAGTACTGATGTCTCCACTACGTAAGATGTCTTAGATTCATTTTCTATCTTCTGTCGTGTTGTTATCTCAAATAGGTGATGGGATTTGTGGATCCTTGCAGCAGTGCTGGGTGATGACAGACTATCGGAGAAGCTGAGGCTGGAGGGCAGCTTTCTCTCCCTACATCCACAAGCTCTAAGATCCATCCTGGCTGAGACCATGGGCTTCAACCCACTCCTCAGACCCTTTGTGTTGACTGGTTCCAGAATACTGACAGGAACCTCACTCATTTTCACCAGGAGGCCATCAGCCTCACATGAGAAAGCTGAGGAACAGTCAGCACAAATAGATAATTACCCTCCTATAATTTGTATTATAAGGAATTTTAGGCTGGGCATGGTGGCTCATGCCTGTAATCCCAGCACTTTGGGAGGCCAAGCTGGGCAGATCACTTGAGGCCAGGAGTTCTAGACCAGCCTAGGCAACATGGGGAAACCCTGTCTCTACTAAAAATACAAATATCAGCTGAGTGTGGTGGCGGGCGCCTGTAGTCCCAGCTACTCAGGAGGCTGAGGCAGGAGAATTGCTTGAACCTGTGAGGCAGAGGCTACAGTGAGCCAGGATCGCACCACTGCACTCCAGCCCGGGTGACAGAGTGAGACTCTGTCTCAAAAAAAAAAAAAAAAAAAATTTAGATATACAGGAAATCTGAAAGAAATGGGTATCCATACTCCTTCCACCTACACTCAGTAATTCTTACTATCTTTTCCCTGTTGGCTCTGCCAATCTTTTAGCCTATTTTTATTGTGTATTTTGATTCACTCCTAAGTACTTTGTAACCTGCATTATCTACGTACATGCTCCTATGTAACCATAATTCTATAATCACACATAAGAGAATTAACCATGATTTGCTAATATCATCTAACACTGAGTTCATGTTCAAATTTCTCCTGTTGTATCCAAAATATCTTCCATATCCAATCAAGGCTCATCCATATGCCTCTTCAGTTTCCTTCTTTATTTTATTTTATTTATTTATTTTATTTTATTTTATTTTTTTGAGACGGAGTCTCGCTCTGTCACCCAAGCTGCAGTGCTGGAGTGCAGTGGTACGATCTCGGCTCACTGCAAGCTCCGCCTCCCGGGTTCACGCCATTCTCCTGCCTTAGCCTCCCAAGTAGCTGGGACTACAGGAGCCCGCCACTACGCCTGGCTAATTTTTTGTATTTTTTAGTAGAGACGGGGTTACACTGTGTTAGCCAGGATGGTCTCGATCTCCTGACCTCGTGATCCACCCGCCTCAGCCTCCCAGAGTGTTGGGATTACAGGCGTGAGCCACCACGCCCGTCCTATTTATTTTTTGTGAGAGGGAGTCTCACTCTGTTGCCCAGGCTGGAATGTATTAGCACAATCTCTGCTCACTGCAACCTCCACCTCCCAGGTTCAAGCTATTCTCCTGCCTCAGCTTCCAGAGTAGCTGGCATTACAGGGGACTGCCACCACACCCAGCTAATTTTTTTTTGTATTTGTAGTAGAGACGGGGTTTCACCATGCTGGCCAGGCTAGTCTCAAACTCCTGATCTCAGGTGACCCACCCACCTCGGCCTCTCAAAGTGCTGGGATTACAGGCGTGAGCCACCACGTCCTACTAGTTTCTTTTAATCTAGAACAGTAACCTCTCATGAGATCAGGCCACTTATTTTGTAGATGGCTGTTTTAATCTGTTCTCATGCTGCTAATAAAGACATACCTAAGACTGGGTAATTTATAAAGGAAAGAGGTTTAATTGACTCACAGTTCAGCACGGCTAGGGAGTTCTCAGGAAACTTACAATCACGGTGGAAGGGGAAGCAAACATGTTCTTCTTCACATGGTGGCAGAC